CGAGTCGAACATGAGTAGCTTACGTCGGCGGTCCAAAGTGTGGCTTCACTTTTATAAAAATAACGAAATCTCGGCAAAATGCAAAATTTGTGACAGAAGGAGTATTTGTGACAGGAGCATTTCCTTCAGAAAGACCGTTGGTTAGCAAGGTTAGCTAAACTTTTTTGACCCCGCCTCTTAAAAGAATCGGAATCGAGAATCGTTAGGAACCGGAATCGAAACAAGGAATCGGAATCAGAATCGTTCAAATTCAAACGATACCCAACCCTAATCTCTACACACTGTAACTCTACACACTTTACACTCTAACTCTACACACTCTACACATTATAACTCTACAGACTCTACACTCTATAACTCTACACATTCTACACACTATAACTCTACACACTATAACTCTACAACTCTACACACTATAAATCTACATGCTATAACTCTACACACTATATCTCTACACACTGTAACTCTACGCACTATAACTCTACACACTGTAACTCTACACACTCTACACTCTAACTCTACACACTCTACACACTATAACTCTACACACTCTATAACTCTACACATTCTACACACTATAAATCTACATGCTATAACTCTACACACTGTAACTCTACACACTGTAACTCTACACACTAAAACTCTACACACTGTAACTCTACACACTCTACACACTAAAACTCTACACACTCTGCTATTCTAGCGTCGGCTCATGGTGTGAGAGTTCAGAGGTGACGCTCCGGTCGAGATCTCGTGTTCGACACAAACCATAAACCCGGGTTTTGCTCGTCTGTCGTGAAGCTCTGGCACTGAGTTGATTTATGTCTGTGTGTGTGTTGTGTAAAGGAGCAGTCCTCTATCCAAACTAGATCAACTAGTTTCCCGTTGGTGGCACATGTGCTCGAGGGTGGAGTGTGTGAGAGACAAACATTCACACTCGCACGTGTGTGTGTGTTTCTCTCAAACACGAGCGTTTGCAGGCTTTTATCTGGGTTGTTTTGGACCCACAAACCTTTGGACCCCGCTGGACTCTGATTGGTTGGGGAAGAATGAACAGAAACGCCCCATAAAGAGAGGTCAGGTTTCAGCCGACCAATCAGGGAGTGCTGTGGGCGGGGCCATCGGTGTTTAAGGCTGGTTTGAACAGAGCATGCTTTATGCATCAATACAGGAGGGTTTGATCACGGTTTAACACTCGATTTCTACATTTAAACTAAGTGTTTTTAAGTCAGTTTGCTCATCTTGGATCCACCTCTGGGCCGCTGCTTCGCAATCCTTTCAGTTTTAGCATCTCTTAGTGGTGTAACGATATATCGCAATACAGAAATGCATCAATATTTATCATGGATAGTGACTGTGTATAGTGTATATTTCACCCACTAAAATTCAAGTTTTAGTGTCAGTACTACATTAAACTACTATAAAATGTTGAATATAATGTATAATAATGCAATGAGGGATTTTTGTGTGTCCTGATAATGTCAAAAGTGTCCTACATTATTGTAAATATATCTAGTCAGTGATGGAGTAAAGCATAAAATAATTCAGTTTTCAGCTTCAGAATCATGAATATTGTTATTCTGGTGTCTCTATTGTCCTGTTTTGGGTTTCAGCACCAAGTCCAAGAATATTCACTTACACACACAATGTAAAACCAATTCAGCATTTTAATAAACCGTTCATTTTTTGTTAACCTTTTATCATGTCTTGGAGTATCGTGATTATATATCGAACCGTGGCATGAGGGCATCGTTACACCTCTAGTATTTATTCATATTTTTAACAGGATCATCATGTGTTGTTGCTGAAGTGCCGCTAACACACACGGATCTTCAGTTTTCTGTGTCAGTGACTGATCCGAGCGCTGTGATCACAGATGCCGTACAGCAGCGGCCCGCTACACTGGTGCCAGCTGACCCGTCGCTAACGCTGAACCCTCGCTCGGGGAACCGCTCGCAGCGCTGATGACCACAGACTGACCCACACATCAGCGTTAGGTGGATTAATAAACGCCTCTCGTACAATATTACACATCTTCTGCAGAGAATCTGTGTTTGTGCATCGGTTTTAGACACGTGTGTGTGTGATGATCGTGTCATGAGCATGAACGCTCTGCTTAATCCTTGTCAACTGTTTGTTAATCAGAACAGAAAAACATCTATGCGGAGGCGTTTTCACGATACTGGATTTTCCAACTTTGATATGATACCTTGAAAAATATTGATATTCCATACCATTTTTGACAGGGAAATCTGCCTTTTATTCATATATATATATATATATATATATATATATAAAGGCTTTGTTTCACCTTTTAAGCTGAACTACTGAAATTAACTTTTGTATATATATATTAGGGCTGCGCAACGATTAATCGCGATTAATCTCATCTAAAATAAAAGTTTGTGTCTACTTAATAAGTGTGTGTGTACGGTGTATAATTATTTTGTATATAAAAATTCACACACATGCATGTGTATATATTTAAGAAAAATGTGTTATTAATATAAACAATATTTATATTTAATATAAATTATATATAAATATATATATACAACATGCAAATATTTCTTAAATACATACATGCATGTGTGTGTATTTACATATGCAAAATAATTATACACGCCATATATATATATATATATATATTTAAGTTCAGTAATTTCACTTAAATGGCAATTGATAGGTTATCTTCATTGTCATTTAAGTGAAATTACTGAACTTAAAAATACAAGCTTGATAAAAATTATCATTTTAGAAGAAAATTTGAAATGGCACTTAGAGGCTTTTGCATCTGAACTCTTCATATATATATATATATATATATATATATATATTGTGCAAAAGTTAATTTCAGTAATTCAACTTAAAAGCTGAAAAAAACTAATATATTATATATAGACTCATCACATGCATATTTGTGATGCATGTGATGAGATCTTCCGGCCGAGATATTTCAAGCCTTTATTTGTAAAGATTTTGATGATTGTCTTACAGCTTATGAAAACTTTTTCCACAATATTCTAATTTTGAATTTGGGGTTTTCATAATCATCAAAATTATAACAAATATAGACTCATTACATCCAAAGTGAGATGTTTCAAGCCTTTATTTGTTATCATTTTGATGATTATGAAAGCTTATGAAAACCGCATTCAAAATTAGAATATTGTGGAAAAAGTTTTCATATCTGTAAGACAATCATCAAAATCTTTACAAATAAAGGCTTGAAATATCTCACTTTGCATGTAATGACTCAATATAATATATTAGTTTCAGCTTTTAAGTTGAATTACTGAAATTAACTTTTGCACTATGTTCACATTCAACATTCATGATGTTTTGATAATTTGGTTAATTTTGTTGTAACCGCACAGGGAGGCTTTATTTGAATCGTTGAACTACATTTACAAAAAAAGGCAAATAAACGGCCCGTAATAAAATACGAACAATTGAACAAATTGCAAACAATAGCACAGATAATATACAATAGAATAAAGAGACTAAATTAAACATGACTAAATTCTTCTGGTGGGGCTTAACAGTAGTATTTAGGTAAGAAATACTACAGTAATCAAATGTAAAAAATTAAGTACAAATGAAGTTACAAAAGTTCAGCGCGTGAGTTTCTGTGTTTAGTTTGATTGACATCTCTGAGGTTTATTAGGCTACTGTCCCTTTAAGAGCTGAACACATGCGCTCGAGTGCGTCACGACTCTGACATGATCTACGAAGCGGAGTCTGAATGCATTTTGCTTCAGGGCGATTCATAAATATTTGGATAAATAATAATCGCGGATAATTGCAGACACAGAACGAGTGTTTTAAAGCTGCTGAAATCTGAAATGCAGCTCATAAATGTTCGTTGAGGATCTCAGAGCTATAAATACCAGGATGTGTCTCTCTCCTTCGTGTGTCTCTCTCTCTCTCTCTCTCTCTCTCTCTCTCTCTCTCTCTCTCTCTCTCTATCATCCCGCTGCCATGTAGGGAAGAGATGCTAGAGGAGGAATGCACACTTGACAGAACAGTGTTTTCCCTCTCTCGCTCTCTCTCTCTCTTTCTGCAGTGATGTGACGTACATTACATTAATGCAAGAATATCACGTAGTATTTGTTATTATTGTCTAATTTATGCTGATTAAAATTATATTTAATACAGCAACTGCCATCATTTATGAAACAAAACTACATTTTCATAAAATATACTTTTATTTTCTTTATGGAAAATATATTTTTTTGTTTTGTACTTTTAGCACATCTCCAATATTACAGTTTCTATGCGGTGCTTGTATATATGTAAATGCATGATACCACAATGTAAACGCAAAACCTAAACTGCCATAAAATAGATATTATTTTTTAATGCAAAATGTATTTGGAATTAAAAAAGCAGCTTTTTTGTATTTTACTGTAAGAACATCCCAAATATTTGTTAATGTACTGTAAAAAAAAAACTAATTAATCCAAGAATAAAATAATGCTTAAAATATTTTCTATTTACCCTATTAATACAGCATAATGCCACAATATACAAAAATAAACACTGTCCATACATAGATTTTATTTTCTTTGCAAAATGTTTTTTTTTTGTCCTTTTTGGTATTCAGTGTGAAATATGAGCTAAATCATCCAGTGCATTAACCCTGATTAAACTAAAAACGTGATCTTTGTCGATTATAAAGATGCGTTTTGCAGCCGATGTGCGAGTTTAGCTCAGTAACTGCGTGCGCCGCGCTAGCTTCATCTGCTAGCGTATGCGTTTGAGGCCCGTGCGCTAAATTATGCATGAGCGCCTCATTAATATTGAACGTCTGCTGGATCCGCTCGTCACCAGGAGAGGAGAGAAACGTAATCTCTCAGTGGCATCATCTCATCCGTGAGAGGAGGAACTCTCTCTCTCTCTCTGTTCCAGTTGATTTCACTCGTCCTGTATTAATCGAGCTGTTTTCCAGTCCGAGTCGGTGGATCTCGTGTTTAACGCTGTGTGTGTTTTGTCCTCAGGGTTCACAGGACTCGATGGGAGCTCAGGAGGGTGTCGTCGCCCCGTTCTCCTCGTTCCCGCCCCCTCCACCTCCTCCCCCTCAGAACGGCCTGGCGCTCGAGTTCGGGGGCGGCTCAATTTACCCCGCGGGGGGTCCGAGCGAGGCCCCGGCAGGAGTTATCAGCAACACCCCCATCTCTAACCCCAGCACTCAAGTAAGTGCTAAAGCTGAGCAAACGCGGGCGTGGAGCGCTCACACCGCCGGCCAGCTGGACACACAGCCGCGCGTCGACACGTCCTCTGCAGCGCTCGCTAACACTTCACATCAATTCACGTTTATTTGCTAGTGCGCTTTTCACAATACACAGCTGTACAGAAAATGCCCATAGTACAATTTACAGTGATCTGTTGTCAGAGGTAACAATTCAGAAATGTACATATACAAAATCGCAGTTAGCGCAACGTTTATTAATTTAACCCTAAAACCGTATTCTGGACAAATGTGGGCAAAATAGTTTTGATTTATTGTTAATAAAAAAAATACTTCGCTTGATCTGAGCGGTGCAAGACTTGGCTACTTTTCCTAAGTTTGCCTCCTGAACAGTGTTGGGTAAGTTATTCTAAAAAAGTAATTAATTACTAGTTACTAATTACCTCTTCAACAGTGTAATTAGATTACTGTACCAATTACTCTCTCTAAAAAGTATTTAATTACTTTTATTTACTAATTACTGTCAAAATCCCATATCAGTCTCAACCAGCTGAATAATACAAGGATAGACATGAATCTGTTTTAATTCTTTCAAATAAATACTATAAAATTGCATGAATTATCCTTAAACAGACCAAGGAGAAGGTTACATTATAAAAACATACTTTTTAGCATCAGACAATACATTTTGATGTTAAACCCACTATTGTTTATTGTCTGATCTCATGATATTTCACAATTTTTTCATACATATTTACAATAATTCATACGAATTTGTACGAGTGTGGTCGTAATATTTAGACGCCTCATAAAATGCATACGAATCGCTGTGAGATCGGATTGATCTATACACAGTATTTACCTCAATTACATCAGAAGTAACTGTAATTAAATTACAGATAAATTAAGAGTAATCCCTTACTTTACATTTTCAAGGGAAAAGTAATTAAATTACAGTAACTAGTTACTTAGTAATTAGTAGCTCCTGAACACACACAATTTTTTTGACTCAATTCTACAATGTTAAGTGGGTGAAAAAAAACTCCTTAATCTTGTATTTGGGTCAAAAATGGGCACCCATAGAAATGGGAAAAACTGTAATTTAGAGCGTTCTAAAATAAGACACCAGGTGACGGCAAAGTCACTTCATCTTTAGGTTTTAGCTCTAAAAACTTATTGGAATGATATTTTAATGTAGTTAAAAAAATAAAACATAAAAATAAGCATAATTTACATAGAAAATATGGTACTTTTTGAGGTAAATAAATTCCAAAATACCTCCAAAGTAAAAAAGAACACCATAAATGGATAGACAAAACTTTATCGAAGACAGTGATATAACATTTATAATAAATAAAAATTAGGATCACACCTGAGTCCTCTGTGCCCAGATTTGTCCACAATTACAGGATTAAGGGCTATACACAGTGTAGTTTAATTTGTCCAGCTGGAACAACAACAGCGCGTCGGACGACTTCCTCGGGAACCGTCGTTCACATTGGGATTTGTATATTCGTTATTGAATTTTAACGATATGATTCTGCTCATCGATTCTTAATTTTGATTTGCAAACCATTTAACTGTGAAAAATCAATCGAACACTTTCAACAAGAAACGTTTAAAAACACCAACTAGCTTAACGAATATACACCTCCAGCGTTATTAACACTCAGAAATTAAAAAAATCACAATAAATAGACACAACTGAACAAAGATACGATTGAAATTAAGATTTCCAGAAACTGTATAAAGTGTAAAATAACTCGAACTTTAAAAATAAAATATACATTACAAATATAGTTACACAAGTCTATAAGACACTTAAAAGAGTTGCCCGATAAAGCGCGAGTCGTCTCAAATTGAATGAAATTATTTACAGTTGTATTCAAATTAGGGCTGTGCAAAAATTAATAGCGATTAATCGCATCCAAAATAAAAGTCTGTGTTTACATAATATATTTGTGTGTGCTGTATATAATTATTTTATATATAAATACCTGTGCATGCATGTATATATTTAAGAAATATTGGCGCTTAAATTCTGTATATATATATAAATACATAATCTATATTATATAAATATTTTATATATGAATAACACATTTTCTCAAATATATACATGCATGTGTGTGTATTTATATATACAAATAATTATATACAGTACACACAAATATATTATGTAAACACAGACTTTTATTTTGGATGCGATTTTTGCACAGCCCTAATTGAAATGTAATTAATAAGAGGAATAAAAAATGTGAATTGAATTGAATATTGAAAATTCTTCCAACCCTAATATTTGTGTGTGTGTGTGTCAGCTGTCAGACGGCTCTCCTCAGGCAGACGGGCAGTGTGTGTCCGCCGGCGGTTCGGGCAGCGAGGACTCGGAGGCCAAAGGGACGCCCAAACGCCTCCACGTGTCCAACATCCCCTTCCGCTTCAGGGACCCGGACCTGCGGCAGATGTTCGGGGTACGGCTCGCTCTTACACTCATTCATCACACACACACACACACACTCTGTGACGTGTAAAAGGGACAGTTCTGCCCCCTGCTGACCGGCTCTGATAGTTAAATCAACCAGCTTTATTTATTAATACAGCGCTTTTTAACACTCGGAGTGTTTCAGAGCAGCTTTACAGAGATAACAGGAACAGAATAGCGTCAGTCCAGCGACGGGTCGTTAAAGGGATTGTTGTAATTGCAGCTCTTCTTTTATAATGGCAAGGCTCAAACCGCTGTGTGTTTATGCTCTCTCTCTCTCTCTCTCTCTCTCTGTGTGTTTTAGCAATTTGGAAAGATTCTGGACGTGGAGATCATTTTCAATGAGAGAGGCTCAAAGGTAATAATCTTTTTAATTGAATGCATTTAAATATAATGTATAATATAGTGGATGTTGTTGCACTAAAAGGAACCGTTCACCCAAATGAAATAAATCCTCATTTGCGAGATGTTTAGAAAAATCATTTTGTACATAAACTTTTTTTTGTCTGTTTGTTTTTATTATGTGTTTAAATGTTTAATATGGATCTGCCATGTAATAGCTGATGATGCTGATATGGGGATAAACTCAAACAACTTGTGCGACCAACCTCCAAAAACACAGAAAAAGCTCTATGTAATAAAGTGGGACGTGTGTTGACCTGATAAGGCACTTGCTTCCAATGTTGTGAATTAAACTTAAGTGCAAAATTTTAATATTGTACAAAGATTTTGCAAATAAAGTCGTGTTCAAGAGAACAAAATCATCAGATCCTGGGAAATTGGTGTAAAATATCATTAATAAAGCTAAGTTTTATTATCCTCCATCATAAACGAGTGTGTGTCGAGCGTCAGACGAAACACAGTAAACGCTGTCGTGTTCTCTGGTGTTCGGGGACACACTTGTGTGTGTGTGTGTGAGGCGCTTCTGGAGGGAATTACACCCAATCATTCTGATCACACACACTTTCAGAAACACCAAACCAACATTAGAGACGCTGCGACGCCATTGGTCCTCTGGGTACTCCAGTTATCCAATCACAGTTTATCGTTGCGCATGCGGGATTTATTCAGTAAATGTGTTTCAATCGTAATTTTCAATTTAATTTTTTTTATTTTATCCCAAAATTTGCACCCCCCTTTTTTGAATAGACATGGAAATGCTCATTTCAAACTTAAATGGTTGTAATTCAAGAATGCTTTGTAATATAGACGTGAGATTGGTCTCGTTTTAAAGAAGACATTTGGCAGATTTTTCTCGGCGTGAAATAAATTAGGAAAGTGAAACAGAAAAAAAGTTATAGAAATTTTAGGTTGTAAAAATGTAGTTTTTTATTAGTATTTTATATAAAATATATATTTTCAAAACCTGGGCTACTCTAAAACTGCAGAAAAATCAAAGCCAAAAATCTGAACAAGTTGTGTTTCAATTTTTAGGTTGATATCTCAAAAAATTAACTTTAGTTTGGGCGCAGTACCAAACTTTTTCACTAGGGCACAACCAGACTCCATTACAGTGTTTTGAGTGATCTGAACCATTATTTTCATAAATTTCACACAATTTATGAAGTAGAAATCCTATTTCAGAAGTAGTATGGGAAGTTTGGCATATTGCCATAACACAAATGGTGAATTTATAATTTTTTTTTTGTAATATTTAAAACATTTTCAGACCTTTTTTTTCCTAAAATAATTCAAGGAATGCATGAAATCAAACTGAGGTTTCTAACTTTTTTTTCATGTTCATTGGTATTTCAAAATAAAGGTCTGAACACGCTTTAATATTCTTGTTGCAAATAGATAAATTACGGCTCCTGTGTAAATTATTTTGAAAATCAGTCACCAAATATGGAAACTAGAGATTGTAAGCTTTCAAATGCTATATATAGTTTGTCAATAATATAACTTAAGGTCTTTTCTAAGATATTTTTGTTTTAAAAATATAATGGCAAGAGTCCCACGGTGACGGTTAAGTAAAAAATCTCCAAGAATAATATAAAACCGTAGCAGTCCCTGTGACTCGTGTGTATTCTGAAGTCACATGACGCGTGTGTGTGACGAACCGACTAAATGATTATTCGCTGAACTAAACATCTGGTTCGGTGCTTCCACACGTGTGGGTGAATCGTTCCGAGTGTGTTTCAGAGGTCATGTGCTTCATCTGTGTGTGTGTGCTCCAGGGGTTTGGGTTTGTGACGTTTGAGACGAGTGCGGACGCAGAGAAGGCGCGCGAGCGTCTCCACGGGACCATTGTGGAGGGACGGAAGATCGAGGTGAGTGTGTCTCTCTCTCTCTCTCTCTCTCTCTGATGTCCCATTTTACACCTTTACTGACCTAATGTGTCCTGGACCTGCTCAAGATGCTCAGCTGTGTGTGTGTGGCATTATGGGAAACGTGTGTGTGTGTGTGAGCTTAGCAATGCATGGTTGCATCTCTACTGCAGTCCACTGAGTTTCTCGGCTGTTTTTGATTGGTTGTTGTCTGGCTGAGTGTTGGTTATTAACAGCATGCGATTAATTTTTATTGATTTGTTTGTTTGTTTTTGAGTTCGTCGTGTTTTGTACTGAGCATGCTCACAGTTAGCCAATCACATGCGTGCGTTTGACGCTGTCTCTGTTTCTCCTGGTTTGAATGGCTTCATAAAACATTTGCTTGGACTCTTACGACACTTGAGGACTGTCCGACGATCTGAATGCTTTTCACAAATTTGGTGTTGTCCCTTTGATATGGCATTCGTGTGCATAGTGTGAGAAAGCGGCTCACTTTCCAGATGCTTGTGTTCTTGTTTTTAGTGCATTTGTAGATTGTTCTATGAATCTGGGAGATGAGAAGAAGCCTGTTGCTTGCTGTGTGTGTGTGTGTGTGTGTGTGTGTGTGTGAGCATGGAGCCGCGTGTGTTTCCCTCGTGAGGCCCAGCGTGTCGCAGTGCTGGTTTTTCTGGGTGTTTAATAGTTCTCGAACTCCTCCAGGGGTTTGACCTGCATGACCTCTGAGACGCTGCCTGTGTTTGTCTCTCATAGACCGGGGGAAATCATTCGGTTTGTTATTATTCTTTCTTTTTTGTCACCTCTCAGGCTAAGTCATTTTCATTTCTAAATTAATTGGGAAGTGTGTTTTAATTCGGGCTAATGGTAATGTGAGTGTGTAGATCAGGGGTGTCAAACTCCAGTGTGCCGGATGTGTTGCGTCATGTGGGTCGAATGTTTTCTTTGTTTCAGTGACCGTCGTCCAGTGCTGTATAACCGACCGCTCATCTGGGAAACCCGTTAGTAAAGCGCCGTTCGTTCGGTCTCTGCCGTCTCTACAAGTATGATCATAAAACAATACAATACTGCACATTTATCTTATTTTCTACATGGTAAGTAGCTGTTTATTAAGGGGGTAATGTACAGTCGCTGCGGGGTCGGTGAGATCGGTGTTAAAGGAGTAGTTCACTTTAAAAAAACTTTTGCTGATAATTTACTCGCCCCTGTGTCATCCGAGATGTCCACGTCTTTCTTTCTTCAGTCGAAAAGAAATTAAGGTTTTTGATGAAAACATTCCAGGATTTTTCTCCTTATAATGGACTTCAATGGGAACCAAACGGGACAGTTTCAGTGCAAACTGTTCAAAGGGCTTTAAACGATTCGCTCATTTAATAAATAAATAACAAAGTTTAAGTTTTATAAGCTCGCTGTGACGCACATTCGTTACTCTTGTTCGGACTCGTTCGTCAAAATGAACGAATCTATTTCCGAGTCATTTGGTTCATTCAACGAACGTAACGGACGAATTGACTCGAACAGGAGAGTCACGAACGTGCATCACAGAACAGTGCAAGGCGAGCATTTGTGCTTATAAAACTTTGTTATTATCAAACGAGCGATCGTTTCGCTTGAAATCGTTTCAAGCCCTTTGAAAAGTTTGCACTGAAACTGTCTTTTGGACCTTGAACCGTTTGGACCCCATTAAAGTCCATTATATGGAGAAAATCCTGTAATGTTTTCATCAAAAACCTTAATTTCTTTTCGACTGAAGAAAGAAAGACATGGACATCTTGGATGACACGGGGGCGAGTAAATTATCAGCAAAAGTTTTTTTTAAAGTGAACTACTCCTTTAATGTTTCTTCTGCTCAGCAAGGCGACATTTATTTGATTAATAATATTAATATTGTGAAATATAATTAGAATGTAAATCAGCCGTTTTCTGTGTGAATATACAGTAAAGTGTAATTTATTCCTGAATTAATAAGTCTTCAGTGTCACATGATCCTTCAGAAATCACTCTGATGATCAAGAAACATTTATGATTATTATCAAGATTCTTTGATGGATAGAAAGTAAATATAATCTGAAATAGTAGCATTAAACCCTACCGTTCAAAAGTTGAAGGTCAGTACAAATTTTTATTTTATTTTTTGGGGGGAAATAAAAAAATAAATCAATACTTTTATTCACCAGGGACGAATTAAATGGCTCAAAAGTGACAGTAAAGACTTTTATAATGTTACAAAAAACTCTATTCATAAATTCTAATTCTATCCAGTTTTAAATATTGATAATAATCAGAAATGCTCCTTGATCCTCATATTAGAGTGATTTCTGAAGGATCATGTGACACTGAAGATGCTGAAAATACAGGAATAAATTACACTTTACTGTATAATCACATAGAAAACATCTGATTTACAATCTAATCACAATATTAATATTTGTAATCAAATAAGCGCCGCCTTGCTGAGCAGAAGAAACAAACATCTCACCGATCGAAAACTTTGACCGTGAGTGAACATTATCACTTAATAACCAGTTCTGTGGTGAAACCAGATTTATTAATCCCATTCAAACCCTTGAGATGTTTAACTATCTGAATGTATTCCATATTTTTTGTTTAGTTTTCTTGTTGTTTGTTAGATAGCCCTGCATCAAAAACAGTATTAAATTTAAATCAGTTACCAGGACACAAACAGCTCCAGATCATGCCAGACTCTTTCAGTGGAGGATTTTGTGAGATTATAACATTTTTCATTTGTCGTCCACAGATTGGGCTTCAAATGTGCACACGAACCAAATAAACAGGTTCCACACGTAAGCGCTCACATGTTGTGCTTAATTGGCAGAAACAGGGATATTCCACCCATATAAGCAAAGCTGTGTTTAAGCGTAGCATCTTTGATTGTGTTTGGCACCCCTGGTGTAGATGCATGATGCCTGTAGCTCTAGCGCCCCCTGGTGTCGTGGCTGTGTGCATGGGAGCGCGGCGGCGGCGGCGACGGCTTCGTGTGGGTTTGCATGAGTCTGATTAGTTTCAGACCATCAGATTCATTGGAAAGCGGGAAACGGGTTTAACAGGCAGACGGAATCAGTTTCATTTGGGTTTGCTTTTTTTGAATGCCATTGAAATATATATTTCTATATGTAAATATGTAATGACACCCTAATGTTTGTTTGTGTTTTCTGGAGAGCAGATCTGTGGAGAGAGCGATGCACAACCTCTTCACTCATCTCTCTCTCTCTCTCTCTCTGGCCAGTCTCACTGTGTTTCCTGTCTGTTGCATCACTTCCTGTCCCTGTGTCTATTTATAAACCCTCTGATGTCACTGTCTAGGCCCCTCCCCTGGGTGATGTCATTAGTCCGGCATGTTAGACTCACAGACTGCTCTCTTAGACGTGCTGCTATTTTGGCCCAGTCGCAGATTCGCTCTGTGCTGCATTTCACTACGTGTGTGTGTGTGTGCGCTTGTTGAGTTCCTCTAATCATTCGTCCCTTTCTCCTCCTCCTCTATGACACAGACGAATGCGGCTGCAGGCTCTTTAGCACTCCTAAAGCTACAGATTTGATCACCTGAAGATTTGTCTTGTCCGTGTGAATGTCTGCCTCAGAGTTTCCCTCGTCCGGTTCTTCACTGGACTTTTGCTCTTTTTGTTTTCCTCTCCTCATTTCTTGTTGTTCACTCATTCTTTGCATTTGGTTTGCTCTTTTTGGTTTTCTCCTTTTTCCTTTCTGTTCCCTTGACGATTTCTGTGTTGTTGTTATTGTTGTCAGTCTCCACGGTAACTGCTCGCGTGTCGTCACGCCGTTTCCTGGCTCATGGTAAGTTTGTGTATGTACGGCTTCATCCCTGATCAATCCCACCAACTCAAACCCCCTGAGATCTAAAACTCCAGCCCTCCCCAGCTTTACAAACTGTGGTCTTTCGCTCTTTTGCACTGATTAGCTTGTTGAGGGATCAGAGATGCGTTAAAGCCCTCGCGGAGACGACGGCAGCCCTCGTCCTCGTTACGAAGTTTGGCCGAGCGCATCCAGCTAGTGGCGTCTGTTCGCGGCTAGCGCAATCGCATCTCCTCCCTGAGGTCTGTCCTGATCTTCTGTTCATCAGAGGCATGGGGGAAAAGAGCTTTATGAAATCATCATGTCTATTATAGTCGCTAAGGACCACAGAGTGCTGACAGAAATGATATTCCCTCCCAGTGCTCGCCATTGCTCCTCTTTTCTCCATCGCTCTCATGATCATTAACACTTTTCCCACGCACTGACATGGCTGATATGAGACTGTCACACTAAACCCCTCCATTTCTCTCCATCCATCCATCCAATGATCTATCCTGTGGTTCTAATGAGCTCTCGTTAGGGGGGTGGGCGTTATGACCAACCGTATACACTTACAATGTGGGTCACAAATTTTAATTTGGATCTTAATGGGTGCAAACCAACACATCAGATCATTTAGCAGACGAGTGATGTTGAATCTGCGTCACATGACTATAACCAGACCTGAGGCCGGTTGCACCCGCGCTATATCAGTCGTAAACGGCAATGGGCGTCGGGTGTGATGCGCGATACTGACGCATTATATTTATGGGATCATATCAATAAAGATAAAAATATTTTGCTGAGTGTGTTTGTGCCTTTGCGGGTGTAGGTCAGTTCGCAGTAGTGACAGAAATCGTCTTGTCCAATGGGTATAAATTACGATTAATTGCATCCAAAATAAAAGTTTGTGTTTATATAAAATATGTCTGTGTAGTGTGTGTAATTATTTTGCATATATAAATACACACACATGCATGTGTATATTTAAGAAATATTTGCATGAATATACTATTTATACATGATTTATATTAAATATAAATGTTAATATTTTATATATTAACACATTTTTCTTAAATATATATGAAGAGTTCAGATGCAAAAGCCTCTAAGTGCCATTTGAAATTTTCTTCTAAAATGATCATTTTTATCAAGCTTGTATATTTAAGTTCAGTAATTTCACTTAAATGGCAATGATAATTACCTATTAATTGTTATTTAACTAAAATTACTGAACTTAAACATACAAGCTTGATAAAAATGGTCATTTTAGAAGAAAATTTCAAATGGTATTTAGAGGCTTTTGCATCTGAACTCTTCATATATATATATATATATATATATATATATATATATATATACAAAATAATTATACACAGTACACAAACATAAATTATGTAAACACGAACTTTTATTTTGGATGCGATTGCCCAGCCCTAGTTTAAATGTTTGTTTTGTTTTTTTAAAGTCAATAATTATATCCCATAAAACTCATCTTTGATAACCAAAATTACATATTTTTTCCTTGAAAAAAATGTCTTCATGCCTTAAAATATCTTGAGTGTAACTCGACACCCTGGCCTCATTTAGTATATTTTGCTCTCTGAATATACAAATGAGCCCCGCCTCCAATCACTCACTCACACTGGTTGGCGATCACCCGTTGATCTGATTGGTTACAAGGTCGTTTTTGACGTCAGAAACAGCAATGCTGTCGACTTATGAATTTACACATGGTTTAGCGTATTAAAAACAACATTAAACGCTGGATTTCCACCAAAGGGGGACTTTGCTTTATAAAGGTTAAAATGCCAATTAACGTTAATGTTTTTTATATATATTAAATGTATGCATCATCTTTTGTCAAATGGAGTGCCGACGTTATCACATCACTTTGTAGGCCAAAATTCGGAAGTGAGTTAGCATTTTAGCAAAAGTCTATGGGATTTTTGAATGGGTTTTTGCTAAAACGCCTGAAATAAGGTCTGTGGTGAACAAAGCCTCTAAATATTTTCACATTTTGATATACGACATAAAAGACACCAGTTATAACCTGCTTGTGGTTTTTTTAAACTTCATATAGGCTTCAAAATGTATACATTTTGGATTAACTTGTAAAGATTATCTTGATAGACAAAACGTGTAAGGATCACAACTCTTTGTTCAACACAGATCTTATTTTTTGCGATTTTCCAAAAGTCTATGGGGAAAATGCATAGCTTTTCGATCGAGGGAACCCATGCGCCGCTAGCTTCCGACGAGACGTCAACACTCCAGACACAATAGGGCTGTTACTAATCAAATGAAATCAGTATCAACTAAATATACTGAAAAGCTAAAGTCATAATATTGAGGGATTTCTAAATGTATTTTTATAGACTAAATTACTCTACAGCGCACATCGTTTAAAACGGCTAGCGACCGAAAGCAACGTGAAGTCTGCCATGTTTTATGGACACAACAAGGATTTATGCGTTGAAATCGCACAATTTAAAACGGTGATTATTGTAAGTCTGAACCCTGCATTAATGTAAACTAAATATGTATGCAAGCGCTTACAATACACATAGTTTCAAAGCAGCTTCACAGAAAATCCTGATAATTTCTATAATACCGTCATGCCTTAGTGGCATTTAGCAGATTAAAGAGCCGAGCGATGATATAGTTTACATTCTGCATCAATACAAGCGATCTAAATCAAAATATGTGATGTCATTGCTCCTTAATGTTAAAATACAGTGGCCGAACGTCGTAAAAATACATTCGATTTCAGTGTGAAACTATATTTACCAGTTATGTGAGGCCAAATAATTGAGGCTAAACTGCGTTTCCTGCGAACGTGAAAGGCCGCGATTGGATCATTGAAGGAAATCATGGGATATTGTGTGACTGAATGAACCAAATTGAGTAGAGAATCCGTTAAATGTGGACTTAAGTTGGGCCCTATAAAATCCTTTTTATTTTTTCCCAAATTCCGTTTTTTCCGTTTTAATTTTTGCAAATTCCGTTTTTTCCGTTTTAATTTTTGGGAATTCAGTTTTTTTTTTACCCTTTACTGTTATTTTAGTTGTAAAAAGACCTTTTAATGTTGCTTTTAATGTTAATGATTAAAATGTACACAAATAAAATAGGCATTTACTCTTAAAACGACAAATACTGCATGATGCAACATAACACTGCACTCTAAGTACTTCAAGTAACAACAAAATATGGTCATGAGCTTTAAACTGTCCTGTAAAATAAATTATATCGCCCAGATTTGCTTCCCCGTCTCTCTGCATTCTTCTCCCACACAAAAAACGAATTTCATTCCAAATATGTAAAATTCCGCGAAATTCCGCGTTAACACTAGATTCCGCGTTAATTGCCCAATTCCGCGATTCCGTGATCGGGCCCTACTTAAGTGAGATCTCAAACAAACCGCGGGAGCGACCCGATCTCTGAAAGGTCGTCTGGAGGTCACGCCACTCTCTTCTGTTGGGTTTGGTTGGGAAAAGTCTCTATACCGATCGACACATTTCTCATGGTCATGGCGCCCGGCCCTAACACGCATCTTTCATCTCATTTGTGGTTGTTTGAATCACTCCATCATGCTTCTCCAGTTCAGGCCCAGATATCTGCTGATTATTGCACAGCCTATGAGCCAAAAACGTCCCTAAATACACACACACACATCGAAATTGTTCCTCAGACGATATTTCTGCCCTTATATTCATGTGAGGATGAGCGACTCAAGCTTGTTTTGGTCTTTGGTTATGGACAGTGTGTGTGTGTGAGTGAGTGTGTGTGTGACGGTGTTTGCATATTGGTCTTCAGCGTGTGAAAGAACCGTGTTGATGCCTGCCGGTGTTTTCCGTCTTCATGATTTCATTTATTGTGACATGTAGCATATGCATCTCTCTCTCTCTCTCTCTTTCTCTCTCACCCATAAACTCCGTCACTCCTCACAAGGTCTGACAACAACCAATCACAGGCTTCCTTTCATTTGACGCACTTTGGTGTACTTGTTCATGACAAACTGGATGGCTTTTTGAGTTTGACGTTTCTGATTGGGTGGATTGTTCTCTCTCTCTCTGTCTCTCTCTTTTCTTCTCCCGTTTTTGTGGTTCCATTGAATGTCGACTGGCTCTTTTTTTCTTTTCTCTCCTGCATCCCTCTGTTTCCGAACATCCCCCCCCCCCTTCTCTCTCGGTATGATGTGTTGTTTTCACGAGGGGGCGGGATTAAGCTGCAGAGTATTTGGATTGGTCCATAGGCTGCATCTGATGCTTGCTGATTGGCTGATATGCTCATTTCTGGTTAATGGACTGTAATTGGCTGAATGTGATTTTGCTAAGAGCTGTGCACAGTGTATTGATTTCGTCATGTGTGATCTCTTTGTTTCTCTCTGTTTATCTCTCTCCTCCATTTTAGCAATGGAATGCCCTGTTTTTCATTTTGCTTTGACGCATTGATTTCTGGGTTTTTGTGTTGAATGTTTGAAGATCAGTGGGAGTTTTTTGATGCATGAAGCAATATAAGGGAATATCAATGAGTCCACAATTTCTGCTGTAAATCTAGTTCAAAGAATTGATTATCGAATGTCTTTTATTTTTGAGATTTGGGTGATCTGTGAACTTCACTACATGTAAATACCGTAATTCAGATTTAGTCGTCTAACTGTTTGCAGAGTGACGTTTGGATTAAAACGGCTTTAGTTGTGAATGCACCAGTGCTTTTGCGTCTCTGTCTCTGATCAGATTGTCCTTCTGTCTCTGTCGAACAGGTCAATAACGCTACAGCTCGAGTGATGACCAATAAGAAGTTGGTTAGCCCGTATGCTAACGGCGAGGGTCTCAGTACACTGCCCTACGGTAAAACCACCTCACCTCGGTCTTTCACTTCTTCTTCAGTTGTTAGCGATGAAGCTAGGCAGATAATCGGAGGCTTTTCTCTGTGTTTGGGTTCAGCCGGGTGGAAACTGAGTCCCATGATGGGCGCCATGTACGGACCGGAGCTCTACGCAGGTGAGACGTTTGGCATCGTACAAAGTAATGTTCATTTTCCTGTTGAAGTGTCGCGTGGTTGTTCTCGTTCTACGCCATCGTCATATGTATCATAAAAATCATTCCAGAAGTAGTGCTGTCAAACGATTAAAATATTTAATCGCGATTAATCGCATTAATGTCGTAGTTAACTCGCGATTAATCGCACATTTTTATCTATTACGCGTGTGCCGCGTCCTGTTGCAAAAGCATGTGGGAAAAAAAAACTACAAAGTTTGCTAGGCCAAAAAGGCTGTTAATCGCGCGTTAAAATGGGTTAACGCCGTTAATAACGCGTTTAACTGACAGCCCTAGTATGAAGTATCCGGATGTGTTCTTGATATCGAGGATCGAACCGTTAAAAATCCCGTACGATTGTTCATACTCTATTCCGGCTGCACGATCACAAACACTTTTTTTTTCGCTTGTTGTTTTGTTCTGTACAATTTAAAGAAAGTGAAAAACTTTTTATTGCCATATAAATAAACTATCTTTGACTGCACAAGTAACATTAAATACATTTAAACAATAGTTACAAATCAAATGATATGTAAATATCATTTACATATTAGGCGCTCCTTGCCTAATTCGCGCCGCAGAAATTTTTCACGCGCGTAACGCGTCTTTGCATTGACTTAATATTGAAATCATTCGCGCCTGACGCGCTATTCGCTATTCCGGTGTGAACGTACCGTTATAATGCAGATTCGCAATCATGGAATGCGTCACTTCTGGCGTTTTACCGGTTAATTGACGTGGGTAATTTGCAATTGAGGATTTTTTCAAATCGAGGAATCGTGACAGCCCTAGTACTAGGGTTGGGTATTGTTTGAATTTGAACGATTCTGATTCCGATTGCGATTCCTTGTTTCGATTCCGGTTCCTAACGATTCTCGATTCCGATTCTTTTAAGAGGCAGGGTCAAAAAAGTTTAGCTAACCTTGCTAACCAACGGTCTTTCTGAAGGAAATAAACCTTTCTGAAGGAAATACTCCTTCTGTAAAAATACTCCTTTTGTCACAAATTTTGCATTTTGTCGAGATTTCGTTATTTTTAGAAAAGTGAAGCCACACTTTGGACCGCCGACGTAAGCTACTCATGTTCGACTCGCGCGGTTATGCCAACACTTCCGGTAGACGCTTCTTCGTTGGTGTTGTTCAGCGGTTTCTTCTTCCGCTCGGCGGACTGTGAATATCGAAACTAGGAATCGAAATTTTAACTTTTGAACGATCCCGGGAAAAACGAAAAGTTAGTCTCGGTTCCAATCGATACTCGATTCTCGATACCCAACCCTAACTAGTACTGACGTTAGTTTGTGATGTTGTGAGTGAAGTAAGAAGATCACCGTCTCGCTTTCCTTAGAGATGCGTTCCCAGTTCGTTCGTTCGTTCATTCTCCCATCTACAGGTCTGAAATTTCTGTATGCGTTTTTTGTATTCGTCATTCGGTGGCTCTGAATAGTCAATTAAGACCTCTCTAAATACAATGCAAAAAACGCAACCCGATCCATGTTTATGACGGACGAGCGTTTCGGGGCGGTGTGCCGGAGCTGAAGCGGTGAGCAGCGGTGTAAATTACATGAAGCCACTGTGAGCGTGTGTGTGTGATCCTGTAGTTCCAGGGTTCCCGTATCCCACAGCCGCCTCCGCAGCCGCCGCCTCAGCCGCCGCCACCTTCAGAGGAGCCCATCACCTGCGGGGCCGGGGCCGACCGGTGTACGGGGCCGTGCGAGCCGCTGTTCCCCAGCCCACCATACAGGCCTACCCTGGGTAACACTCCTACACACACACACACACACTTACAGGCCTACCCTGGGTAACACTCCTACACTCTCACACATACAGGCCTATCTCGGGAAACACCTGCGCTCGCACACACTCACTCATACACACTCATGAACACACACACACACAGATGCAGCAGATGTGATGATGCTCTAGGTTGTCTGCATGCTGCATGCTGCTTCTGCTCACACAATGATGTAATTATGCAATCAGTGACACCAAAAATGCCATTTTCTCCAAACACATGACCCGTTTAATAAGTGTAAATCTGTTATGATGTGACAAAACTGGATCAAAGTGGCATTTTCTTTTCTGTTTAATGACCAAATGCACTGCATGTGTGTGAATTAATGTTTTCACTTTCTCTTTTCCGTGGTCTACACCTGTCCTGCCATCATCTCCTGTGTTTCCTTCCACCGCCACATGGTGGCGCCCTATCCATTTTTTTTTTATTTTGTTCTTCCATCTCTCTTTCTTCCTTCCTTTCTCTTGGCTGTCATTTTGTTTTTCTGTCTCTCAGTGTGGTGTACCAGGATGGGTTTTATGGAGCTACAGAACTGTATGTAAGTATGACACTTACTGTCTCTCGGTTTTTCACTTCCTCTCTCTTTCCTTCTCTCTTTTCCGAGTGCTTTACCGTGTGAAAACTGAAGCCACGCAGAGCCGTTCAATTCTGAATGAGACAACGCAACTCACACGTGAATAAAAAGCGTGTTGCGATTGAATCAGTAAATGAATCGCTCGATTTGTTGTGCAGATTCACACGGCTCTGTGTGTGCCAGAGTGTGTGTGTGTGTGTCTGTGTGTGTGTGTGTGTCCAGGTTGACGATAGCTTTTTCTGTTTTCTCTGTAGAATAGTGTTTCAGGACACTCTGGTTAGTAGCAGAATGCCTCAGGTAGGCTCACAGACGGATAGTGTGCATCTCTCCTTCTGATTAATACATCTGTTTGATATTGATCGTGTGAGATTGCTGTCTCTGTTTCCCTACTAACTCACAGTAATCTGACAGGAGTGAGGGCTGGAAGGGGGAGAAAGAAATTCTGCTTGATTTCTGCACATTTTCCTCTTTAAATGATTCCGGGCGCATGAGAAAAATTGGCGGCGGCACAGCAAGGGAAACACACATTAAACAGCGGTGGAGGGAACACACACCGACATCACAGTACGAGTTATCTTAGCTTTACATCACGGTTGAAGGGAATTTGTTTGATTATCCGTTTTGTTTGGACAAACTACCAGGTCGTCAGATTATTCAAACTTTCAATATAAAACTGATTTTGATTGGATGAACAGCGTTTGAAAACCGAAAGTTTTGCCAAACCCATATCTGAGGCTGTGTTCACTCTTGGCATGTTTGCTTGGATTAAACTAACTCTATCTTCATATGAATAAGTGTGAACGCTGCCATCTGAACCAAACTAGCGCACCGAGAGCTGAAAAGATCCTCGATCCGCTTCCAAACAAACTCTGGTGCGTTTCGACTGAAATATGAACGCAATACGGACCGAAGACAGGAAGATGAAAAGCACAGAATACTTAAGCGCACCTGTTTCTCATTATAGTCGCGATGTTACCCATCACAGTTCAGTACAGGCGTCAGAACCGATTCTCCTCGCTGTGTGTGTGAGAGAGATGGACCAAAGCGGACCAGGACTCACTTTTTTTGTAAAAATTAGACTGAATTAAGTAAACTGAAGCACAAGTGTGAACAACACACCCCAATATAAACACCCCTAAACGAGGGTCTCGTCTACCTGACCGGTGTGTAACGCCCGCATTCCTCATCAGCGTGAGAACCCGTGAGGCCGCGAGAATGCTTGTACTCGTGAGGCCCTGAGAACCCGTGAAAATTCGTGAGAACCAGTGAGAACTTGTGAGGCCATGAGAACTCGTGAGAACCCGTGTCAACTAGGGCTGTTGGAACGAATTCCGAAATTCGTTAAAAAAATCAATACTATTCGAATGCTAAAGTTACTATTCGAATATTGCTTTTATATATATTTAAAAATAAATATATACTTCCGACGTGACCAGGTGTAAACGCCCCCTTTTCGCTTTCTTATTAACAATAGGAGAGCGCGGGAATAGCTTTCGCGTGGCACATTCGCAAGGTCTCGTTCACTCCCTCTCTGCCATGCACGCGCCGCGCGCTATGTATGTTACGCGCGGATTTCGGGAGATTTTAACTAATTTGCGGCCATCAGGGAGACGCTATCAATATGCGGGAGACTCCCGAAACTTCCGACGCGATATGACGATCACATCACCTCAGATCTGAGCCTATTCATCAAGCCAACGCGCCGCAATCTATCGCAAATCAAAGTGAAAGTAAGTCGCAGACGCTAAACACTACCATCTTCATTAAAAGTAAAGAAATGAAATATTACCAGGGCTGTTGCCGCTCTCCCTTATTGCTGTCTTTGCTGATTTTGAAATTAGCCGATGATCAATAAAATGCAGCTCAAATCTGTCGCTTTCGGTGACGTGCACTTCATTACATCTGTATAGCGCGGGAATTGAAGATCGGATTTATATCTGTTTTGCAAAAACACATTTATGTGAGCAGGTGTAAATGGAATCGTTTTGATAAATCAGAGCTATCCGATCTGCGTAAACGGCCCCTAAATGTTTATTGTAGTAATGTTAGATGTCCCTCTAGTGGGCCAAACGTGTAACAACAACCACAGGCTATAGTGGCATTGGCGATCCATAAGAATGTGTAACGGCGTAAATATTAATAATAGGATAAATTTGAGCATTTAATTTTCGAATATTATTCGAATATTACATAAAATAAGGAATGGAATTCGAATAGTATTATAGAGGAAAATTGACAGCCCTAGTGTGAACCCGTGAGAACTCTAGAGAACCCGCGAGGCCTTTAGAGTCCATGAGAATTTGTGAGAACCCGTGAGAACTCGTGAGAACCCGTGAGGCCTTTAGAGCCCGTGAGAATTTGTGAGAACCCGTGAGAACTCGTGAGAACCCGTGAGGCCTTTAGAGCCCGTGAGAATTTGTGAGAACCCGTGAGAACCCGTGAGGCCGCGCTGGCCAGCTCTCGGTGGGGGTTATTTACACTCTGAGAATGTAAATAATTGTCTGGCTCTGTTCTCGAACCGAATGTCTGTTCTGTGCAGCTCAGGCGTCTGAGACGATAGCTTTATATGGACTCTGGATGTTTCGGGTTTTGTCAGACTGGATCTGATTCTGTCCCCTTCCCAGAGTCCCTGTCTCTCTCTCTATATGGCATGTTAACTCGATCTGTGTTGGCATGCAATCACACTTAATTCCTCGTAGATCTCTCTCTCTCTCTCTCTCTCTCTCTCTCTCTCTCTCTCTAGTTACTTGATTTTTCAGCAATGATTCACCGTTTTTCGTTTGACCTTTTCATTTTCAAATCACCTGCTTCTTTTCACCCTCCCCCCCCTCTCTCTCTCTCTCTCCTCTCTCTCTGCCCCTCTCTCTCCCCTTCTCCCTCACTCTCCCCCCTCCCCCTCCTCTCTCTCCCCTTCTCCCTCACTCTCCCCTCCCCCTCCTCTCTCTCTCTCTCTCTCTCTCCCTCCCTCACCCCCCCCCCTTTCTTTCTCTCCCGTGGATCGAGTTCTCTGATTGGCCGTAGGGTAGAATGCTGAGGAGAGAATGGCGGAAATGGCTTGTTATTTTGAGTTTGGGGTGCATGCAGTCTGTGTGGTCGTGTGGATGTTCTCTAATCTCACTATCTGTCTGTCTGTCTGTCTGAATATGGCACCAGTAATGGATTTGATCACCCCTGGTTGCGTTTGGGGGGTGAAGATGACACTGACGCTAATGCACTCACGATCCCCATTTCTGCTTGTGTCTCCCTCTTTGACAAACAAACAATTGATTCTTAATCATTAGCGAATGACTCCTATCTCACCATGATTGTGCGTTGTTTGCCACTGAGGAAGATTCACAGTGCGTAACAGATTACGGTTCTCCGAATGCGGTTTGTTTGACTGAACATCAGTGGCAGATTGCTTGTTAATGGATTTTAGGTTTGCTTTCCTTAAACGTTTTCATGTCCTTTCCCTGCTAACTCACCACCTCACCTGCCTCCTCTCACTGTGTTGATTTTAAACAAATGTGTGTTTCTGTGTTTGTAGAGCGGCTACACCGCGTATCGCTACACCCAGCCGACGGCCGTAGCGAGTCCAACGGCGGCGGCGGCGGCAGCGGCGGCCGCTTACAGCGACAGGTTAGACATTCAGCGGTGGACGTGTGTTGCGAGCGCAGTTTATTATGAGCAGGGTTTGATATTAACACGCGCCAGATGTGGCTATAAATCAGCGGTGGCGGGAAACGGTCAAAACACCAGCAATGTGGCGGGTTACTTATGTTTACTCACTTTGCTGTGGCAGTTCGTGTAAACCTAACTGTGCAGATTTAGCGCAAATACTCGTGAGTCATCATGATATATGAAATACAGCGTATTGCACAGAATCTGCTCATATCTGCTCACTTCAACACACACGTCACACTACACAACAAATAACGGCACGCTTGTTCACTTACGTTTATTTATTATTTACTGTATTTATTAGGGCAATCAAAACGATTAATCGCGATTAATCGCATCCAAAATAAAAGTTTGTGTGTACATAATATATTTGGGTGCACTGTGTATAATTATTTTATAAATATAAATACACACACATGCTTGTATATATTTAAGAAATATTTTCATGTATATAGATTTATATACAATTTATATTATATATAAATATTTTATATATAAATAATATTTTCTTAATATATATATGCATGTGTGTGTATTTTTATATATATATATATATATTTTATATATATATTTATTATATTTATTTTATATATAATATATATTATATATATATATATATATATATTTATTATATATATGTATATATATATATGTGTATATATTTTAATATATATATATATATATATATATATATATATATATATATATATATATATATATATAATAAAATAATTGTACACAGTGCACCCACATATATTATGTCAACACACAGTTTTATTTTGGATGCGATTAATTGTTTGACAGCCCTAATATTTATATATTTTTTGATGTACTGTATTGATCTGTCCATTTAAAACACATTTTGGGCGATGAGGATGACAGGATTTTGTTTGAATAAGAAATGAATGTACAAAATACAAATTTTATTTCATATATATTGGTGTATATATAAGCTGTGACATATTTAATCTGATTTATTTATTTCTGGCTAGTAGTAGTTCTGAGTGAAAGTGAATTTCAAGCCCTGATTATGAGCAAACCCATATGTTGTAATGTCTGGTTATCTAACTCTTGTAACGTGTTGAACATCCTTTACCTAATGTGTCGGCAACAAACCAGCCTTTAAATTCCTTTGTAAATCTATCATTCTAGATTATCACCATTGTTTTTTTTTTAACAGTTATACAAAGTTTTTGAGTGCAAAAATCTTGTTCACCTAAAAAAATATAAAAGTGTGGAGCTCGAGATCATCAGATCCAAATAGAAATCCCAAACCTCTGCTAACTGACAAAACTACTTCATCAAAAGATTGAATCCAGTATTTGCCAATAACAGCATAACTACATCTTTAGTAGGCCGGTCCACGATTCCAATAAGAGGAATCAATAATCTTTTATTTTATTACAAATATCCAGATTTTCAATTCATAGCCACAAATGCAGCAAGGTCAAAAAAGCACAAAACTGATGACAATGGTCAGTAAAAAGCCGACGCGATAGCATTAGCATTAGCAGGAAAAAGAAACTCCTCTCTAGGGTTAAAGGAGTTAAAGGATGTTTTTCATCTCATCACCTTTTACCAGTTATAAATCATGTAAATGATTCAGACAATATTTTCATTATAAAATAGCAGATTTTGACACAAAAAAAATCGTTTTAACACTGGATATTGCTGTTGCTGATTTTCATCGATCACATGATTACCTGAACGTGTCTCTGATTATGAGTGTAATCATGTTTTTTTTCTCTCTGAAATGTGTGTGTCCAGCTACGGGCGCGTGTATGCGGCGGATCCGTACGCGGCAGCACTAGCGACCCCCGCGGCGGCGGCGGCAGCGGCGTATGGAGTCGGGGCGATGGTGAGAGACACACTTCTGTCACACGGAACATTCCCGTACTTGATTCTGATTGGTTGAGCCGCGCTCAAAGCCGTTGTAAATGACTACACACACACACACACACCTGTGAGCGCACTGCATCAGTGTTGCTTGGCAACCGCTCTGGAACTACACTCAAAAAAATAATATGTTGGCTTTAATTAATTTTAATTTTTCAACAGGTTCCACATAACTGGATTACGTTAAACAAACATCATTTTTTTATGTAACTTCAACAGTCATTTTAAATTACCCAATTTAAGTAGTCTCAACATGAATTTTTAAAGGCTTCCTGACATAATTCAAAGGCATTTTATTATATTCATTCATCCATTTATATTTCATTTGATTCAGTGACATTTAATTCAATTGATAGACTTTAGCTAGCTATTTGCTAGCAGAAGCACATATTAGCATCTTGAAAGCTAAGATTTACATGCTCCTTCGTTTAAAGCAATTGAAAATAATGAAATCAGTCGACCGCCAAACAAAACGCTCCGCTCTTCTCCACAATGGTAACCCACTGTAATTTAAATGGTTTAATAATTCCAATGTAATTTAACATTAAACACTATTACACACTATCAAGTGTTCCCCTTTTCTAAATTTCTAAAAAAAAAAACATAAAATAACACTTAATTTTAACATTTATTCTCTCATAATTCAACCATATGCAAAGCATGCTGGGAACTAAAAGCACTGCCCAGTTTCAGTTAAGGCAACACAAATCAATCATGTAATCCAACACAAACGGATAAAGTAAACTTAAGTTGTTCGTAGATTTAAGCAGATTGAACACAATAAAATTACGTTCGGGCAAAATGCCAGTCGGCTCGCACTATACTGCCACCCTCTGGATGTACACATTTTTTTACTTAACATAAATGGTTTGTGTTTAGACAACACATTAGGATTTTGTACTGTTAAGTTGAGACACAATTACATCGACCTTAATAAAAAAAAAAACATTTAAAGTCGAAAAATATAATTATTATAAGTAAACTACATATAAATATATATTATGTAACCTCCCTACACTGTAAAAAATATTTTCAAGATTTGTTATCACAACATATTTTCTTTTGTCAAATCAACTTTATAATAATTTATTTAGTTGAGATAACTTATTATTTTGAGTTTCTGATGGTTAAATTAATCTCCTTCATTGTATTAACTCACTTTTTCCAGTTCAATCAACTTAAAATTTTAAGGCAACCCAGGTTACTTACTTTAAGTTAAACCAACCAAAAATGGTAACACTTTACAATAAGGTTCATTATTCATAACATTAACTAAGAATGAACAATACTTCTACAGCATTTGTTAATCTTTGTTAATGTTAAATTCAACATTTACTAATACTTTATTAAAATCTTGTTAGTTAATGCACTGTGAACTAACATGAACAAACAATGAACAGCTGGATTTGTATTAGCTAACGTTAACAAAGATTAACAAAAACAGTTACAAATTTATTGCTCATGGTTAGATCATGTTAGTTAATACATTAACTAATGTATAATAAATGAACCTTATTGTAAAGAAATTTTTACAGTGTAGTAATCACAACATTTTTTCTTTTGTCAAATCAACTTAAATAATTTATTTAGTTCAGATAACATATAATTTTGAGTTTATGATGGTTAAATTAATCTCATTCACTGTAATAACTCACTTTTTCCAGTTCAATGAACTTAAAATTTTACTTAAAAAATTTTTACTTAAAAAACTTACTTTTTTAAGTTAAACCATCAATATTTTTTTACAGTGTAGTTCATTTTTTTGAGTGTACACTGCTTGGCGGAGGAATAAATGTGTTCTAACGTCATAGTTTTTGTTGCTGGTGTCTATTTTATGAATAAAATGAACATGTTTATGGACTAGCCGTTTTCTAAAAGCACCGATCTTCTTGACGGTGTGTGTTCCAGCGGTTCTAACAGCCTCTCTTCCACAGGCCACGCTCTACAGAGGAGGATACAGCCGGTTCTCGCCATACTAACACCTTCACACACTTCCAGATGTGCGGTCCCTGATCCTTACACCGCTGCTGACCTCGGAGGGGAAATCCTAATCACACTTTTGGACAAAAAAAAAACAACAACAACAAAAAAAACCATGCATAACGCGGCGTCTGTTACGAACTCTGAAAAAGGAATGCAACTCTAAATCAGTTCGAAGAAGGTGGATTTTTTTTTTTTTTTTTTTTTTTTTTTTTTTAAGGAAACCTGACATCATGAACACTAAATCGTAACAGATCTCTGACTGAAACTGCTCGACTGAGAAGCTCAAATCATTTCTTCCTTCGGCTCGTCTCTCTGCACATATGCATGCAGTAACGGCTCTAGACTGCCTCTAGTGGCCATTGAACTACATGTGCTCAGAGCGCAGGACCAGTGAACACGTCACGTCACCCTCACTGTTCCACACTACAATAATGATCAATATTCTTTAAGAAACATAGACTCGTTCATCCGGACCGCTCTCGTCTCGGTTTGAAGTGCGTGGATCCCATCCGCTCTGTACGGGAGGACGATGATGCTATTATCCCAAATACAGCGACGTGACGAGAGACTACATCATGCTTTTCCTTTCTCTGGAGAGATGTCGTGACGCGCCGGGACTGTCCTGATAAAATCCGTCTTGCTGAAAGCTTTGTGTTCTTTAAACAGTACCTCCGTTCAGACCATTTTCAAGAGGCGTACCTTTAAAATTAAATAGTCATTATATGCAAGTAAACTAGAATAGACACAAAATTTTACCAAACATTATTATTATTATTATTGTTATTATTAATTATTATCGTCATTAGTTTCTCATGGTTGTGTGTTGGCTTTGATGAAGGGCAGGACCACATTAATACACAAACACCGGCATAATGACTATAGCAAGTATTTAAATTATGCTATGAAATACCTTTTGTTTTGTTTTTTCAGATTTTGGGATTGAAAAAAAGCCCCTCTTGTGGAATATCGACAAGCTCTTTTATTAGCATAGTTTTGTAAAATATGCAAGTTTCAGCCCAACTTTCTGAGAAGCGGATTAAAAAAATGTCTTTTTAAAGGAAAACTACATAGTATTTTTTTTGTTTTGTTTTGCAGAGTTTGTCTCTTTCCCTTTAGTATATTGGTATTTTGCTTTCTTTGAATTTTGGTTCCAAAGAAGAGTCAAGCACATTTTTGATTTGTGTGTGTGTGTGTAAACATGTTTGTAATTCTATTGTTTGGTTTCTTTTTTTTCTTTTTTATCAATAGGTTTTTGATATTGTTTGAAGTGGCTCGTTCATGATTTCCCAGTGGCTGGAGAAGGAACTGCGGTTTCTCTGTCTGTGATTTCTTCTTTTGTTTTGCAGGACTGTAGACTTTAGGTGCATGTAATTGTAATCGGGTCCAGGACTGAAAACTTTTCGCCATTTTAAAGTTTCGGAGTTCAGCTGTCGTGTGTGTGTGCGCGTGCGTGTGTGTGTGTGGTTGAGTTTCATTGACACTAAGAGAATGAAAGACCACAGTCTGAACACTAAACCAGACAGCTTTCTTTAGTTTTTTTTATGTTTAAATGGTACTTGCAGTCTATGCATACACTTTACACAGTATTATAAGAGATTGAAATATCTACATTCTGATCTTCTGGCTTTTAAAGATGCTTTTGCAAACGACACGGCGGATTTGCTAGTTTCTCTTTCTCTGTCCCTCGCACGCCGACGGCTCGGAGGTCTTCGACTGAATTCTTGCATGACGTTTGTCTTCTGGTGATGGAGTGAGAAGTTTGAGATCCCTCCATTCGTAAAGGATTAAAGATGGCGTCTCTTTTATTCTCCATTCTCGCACCTTATGAATATGATCCCTGTTCCACATACTCTCCTTTGGTTTACAGTGTAACCGTGTTTTTGAGTTGAACTATTTCTCTCTCTCTCTACATATTCTGATTCCATTTGTGATGTAATTTGTATCTGAATGTCCATATAAACTGTTTTTTTAAACAATCACTCGATGGGTGTTTGATTTCAGTTGATTGTGTGTTATTAAAAGTGTAGATGGCATAAGGAGAGGTTATCAAATATAACACGGGTGTATGTTGTGAAAGGTTGCATCTACAGTATGTTGTTTTATTGATGTAAAAGCACTCTGAATGACACATTTACATGGTTTTTCAAAACCAAAAGTCATCATAGTTGGGCGAACTTCTTTAGCGGTGAATGAGAGAATTCATTAAATGTATATATTGTGTTGTCATTTGCTCAAACAGAAGAAACACTCTACAACAGTGTTTTCACAAAGTGAAAAAGAGAGTTTGATAACAGCAGTCAGAAGAAAGATGTTAACATTACCTAGTTTTTGACCTAGCATTAACTCGTTTTTTGTTTTTATTTTATGCAAACATAATATAATGCAAAGTATAGTGTTATAAATATACACACTAAAAAAATGAAAATATAAAAAAGTTTTTTTAATATTTACTGTCCTTAAGTATTTATTTTTTACTTTAAGTACATGTTCTTCCTGTATTCGTAATGTATTGCAAAACACTTCTTCTCCTATAGAGATATGGGTTCGGTGGTTTGAGGGAACAACAGTGTAATAGTGTTCACTGTAAAAAAAAATATTGTTGGTTTAACTTAAAGTAACCTGGTTGCCTTAAAAGATTACCGGTGAGTTGATTGAACTGGAAAAAGTGAGTTAATACAATGAAGGAGATTGATTTAATCATTAGAACTCAAAATAAGTTATCTGAACTAAATAAATGATTTAAGTTGATTTGACAAAAGAAAAAATGTTATAAATCTTGAACATATTTTTTTACAGTGTAGTAGTAGATGTAATCATATGCAGGTGTTCTTTTAAAGTAGAAACAATGTAAAACATGTACACAAGTGCATTGTATAATATTAATAATTGAAATGTTAGTACTTAAGAACACCACCTTTAAAAAATGTAGAAATTTTAAAAACCAAGGGCGAAGGTTTGATTTTGACAGCATTTTAGCATTTGTGAAAGACTTGCATAAGCTTGTAATCTCATAAATTGAAAGAAAAGAAAGTGACAAAAACATGAATCTGATATTTGGCAATAACAGCATAACTAAAGACTTATAAACAATATTTTTTTTTAGATCGGTCATTTAAGCAAGGTGGAAAAATTTGAATGTGATAACATTAACTATTTGTGGGGAAAATAAAATCCTCTTTTATAAAAGGAAAACCTCAACATGAGGGGATGTAATGGTATATGTTTTTACAACAGCAGTGGTTACACGTTAATATAATTTAATTGCTTAATCAAAATTGTTATGAGGGTCAATTTAATAGTACCTAGATATTGGTAGTAGGCATGTGATATACACTCACCTAAAGGATTATTAGGAACACCATACTAATACTGTGTTTGACCCCCTTTCTCCTTCAGAACTGCTTTAATTCTACGTGGTCTCATTGTGAGATGCTGCAGAAAAGCGAAGTTAGTGATTTGTTGATGGTTGTTTGATCAAAATTTTGCTCTCTGACAATCTTTTTTTGCGTGTTTTTACTGATTTTGTAGAGTAATTAAAATGTATTTAATGCAGTGATTTTATAAACATACATTTGAAATTTATTTTCACTTGATTGTCACGTCAGTTCCAACATACATGATATTTATATTTTTTAGTAAGCTTGAATGTTAATAGGGAATATGACATAACCTATCAGCACTGATCCTACAAAATTAACACAATAACTGACATCGACAAATTTCCTGTTTTTACAGACTCACCTCATGTTTTCTCAATGACATCTGCTGTGAAACTGTGGCTTTGGCCCTGCAGACACCAAACTCACCCCTGATGGAGCTGGACATGAGTAACAATGACCTGCGTGACTCAGGAGTGAAGCTGCTCTCTGCTGGACTGAAGAGCCCACACTTCCAGCTGAAGATACTGAGGTTTTTCAATCATTAAAAACATTGGGACATTCTAAAATACTTAACATGAGGCACCTAACTTGCCTTAATTCACAAAGATAATGATTTTAATATAACAAATTCAGTGTACACTGTAATGATGATGCATACAGGCAAGCAGATAAACCCTGAATTTGACAATTTATAATTGAAATTTGAAAAGAATTTGAAACTAATTACAATGCTCTTAATTGCATATAAATTCCAATGGGGAAAAATTACATGAAACTTTGCATGTTGCGTTTATGTTCTGGGTTCATCTATTTCACTGCAAGATGATGATCATGAAGATGATGATGAAGTCAATGAAGCATGTTTTGCAATAAGGATGTTTTCTCCCCATTATGCCACACATGAGAGATGGCATGTCAAATCATACAGTATGTTATTAAGATAAACAAATTAAAGTGGAATTTCTTTGTTATTAGATAATCTGACAGTAGTATATCATAACAACAAATTGTGCAAATCCAAATGCACACAGAAATAAGTCAAAATGCCTGCCTCGACACAAGCAGTGTGTATTGTGGGAATCAAAATGGTCAAGATTGGTCCTGCCTGGAAAAAAACCCACCAATCCGGCCAATATATTTCAGTGGATTGTTTTTCAGTGTGTTTTTTTTTTCTTTTTCAAAAATAAAGTAATAACTAATAATAGTTAATTTCCTAAATATTTTACAGTAAAGCATTTGTTTTGAATATAGTATATGAATATTGTATACTATTAACAAAAACTAAATAAAAGTAAAAAGTTCACTCTTAAATTATAGAGAACTGTTTAATTATGACATTTTTTAATTGAATGTTAATTGATGTGTAATTGTTCAGTTTTTTATTATTCTATTCAGATTGGCAGGATGTGACCTCACTGTTCAGTGCTGTGAAATTATGACATCAGTTCTACAATCATTAAACTCCCGTCTGATCATGAGTGACGATGAGCTGACGGATTCAGGAGTGAAGCTGCTCTCTGATGGACTGAAGATGGACTCAAACTGTCAGCTGGAGATACTGAGGTTTCTTTCGTTCTATCTTTCGTTCTATCTCTATGTCCTTGAAGGGCAATTGGTTTTACAGCAAGCATACAAAAAAGTATGCATTGAAAATGTAATAATATCTACACAAGACAACAACAGGCCCAAACAACTACACACAATTGGGACAAGTTGGAGCTAATACCTAATAATAATACAGTTAATACCTTGGAATTTTTCAGATTGTATTTTGTTGCTAATGACTATTATGACAAATGGAAATAAAATCAATATTTTTTTAAAATGAGAGACTTTTTCATAGCTAGAAGTTCATATTTGAACAAAGTGAAATTAATGAACTTGTTTCAAAATGGACCCAGTTTGAAGATTCTTTATTAGTTCTGAAAGAGAAAAGAATAATCACACGAATTTGGGAAAATACATTTTTTATTGTGTTCTACCGCCAAATCAAGGGTTTTGATGAACTGAGTTGATTCTGACACAGACACAATCACATGTACATTTCAAAACGTTGGTTTGTACATAGTTCATGTGTCTCTGAGATCGATTCCTCCTGCTAAGAGTCACTGTGCCATTTGTACTTTTTTCCCGAAAAAAAAAATCATATAATTTAATGTTATTAAATATTAATCATATAATCATATCGTTTCCTAGTTGTGTGTTGGACTGAAAGCATCTGTTGCTTGTTCAGTCTCGGTGTGGGTAATATTACTTGATCAGAAGGAAAGTTTCTACAAAATGCCATATTTGGCCAGATCGCTGAGCTCCATGTCACCGAAAGCTTCCCAGGGGCAAACCACAGTGATGTCTGTTGAAACCCAGAGAGAGAAGGTGGTCAGACTCATTCAAAACACTGAAACTATATTAGCGTCGTGAAGGCAACTGAAACGCCAGGATTTACCTGTGCCGAGACCCTCCATCCCAGGGATGTCGTCTCCGAAGCCTTTCTGGCCAGGTTTGGGAGCCTTGCTCTTGAAGGTACGAGCGGCCCTCTGCTTGAACTTTGGTGGTCCTCTCTTCTCAACGGGTGCTGGGGCATCCATTTCTCTCTCTCACTGAAACATAAACAGGTTTACCTTAAAAAGTGTCTCTATCGTCCCCTTTACTGATGTCCTCAACAGGTTAGCTGTTAATCTTCTCATTTTGGGATTGTGTTAATCCTAATCTGCTGGTTACACAATTAGTTTATTTACCAACATCTGTTGCTCTTTATATAATCTTGCTAATCTCGTAGAGGAGATGCATTAGCCCATCACGTTTAGCCTTCCCTACTTCTGGAGTCCGAGGAGAAATGTGTTTCTGTTCTTAGTCTGTTTTTACCTGAATTGGCTTTCGCTGTTGAATGTCTTTGTATATTTGAGCTTCACCTAAAGAAGCATGGAGTAAACTCGAGTCTCTAAGGCTGTAATATATGGAAGCTTGTTTCCACCATTGAATACAAATAAAGAAAGGTACAGAAATGGTTGAGTTTTTTATCTCACAATTCCAACTTTATATTTATAGTATTTATTTTGTTATTTTTTACTTAATCGGAATGGTACAAAACTTGGTTATGGTTTTGGCACTTGCTGTGTGAACCCAAAAAACATCATGGATATGATTCGAAAAGATTAGATTCGAAAATAGTGACCCTTTATATTGTTCGTGGTCAAAAAGGAGCGCATTGTAAATGAATGGGAGATCTAGTTGAAGCTTTCAACCTCAAGATATCAATCTCAAGATATCAACCTCAACATATTAATCTCAAGATATAAACTTCAACATATTAATCTCAAGATATCAACCTCAAGATATCAACCTCAAGATATAAACCTCAAAAATATCAACCTCTAGATATTAACTTTAAGATATCAACCTCAAGATATAAACCTCAGGATATTAACCTCAAGATATCAACCTCAAGATATCAACCTCAAGATATTAACTTTAAGATATAAACCTCAAGATATCAACCTCAAGATATAAACCCCAAGATATTAACCTCTACATATAAACCTCAAGATATTAACCTAAAAAAATATCAACCTCAAGATATTAACCTCTAGATATTAACCTCAACATATTAATCTCAAGATATCAACCTCAACATATTAATCTCAAGATATAAACTTCAACATATTAATCTCAAGATATTAACCTCAAGATATCAACCTCAAGATATTAACTTTAAGATATCAACCTCAAGATATCAACCTCAAGATATAAACCTCAAAAATATCAACCTCAAGATATAAACCTCAAGATATCAACCTCAAGATATCAACCTCAAGATATAAACCTCAAAAATATCAACCTCAAGATATAAACCTCAAGATATCAACCTCAAAAATATCAACCTCTATATATTAACTTTTAGATATCAACCTCAAGATATAAACCTCAAGATTTTAACCTCAAAAAATATCAACCTCAAGATATAAACCTCTAGATATTAACCTCAAGATATAAACCTTAAATCTGGAACACAGCTTGTTTAAATGTATGGCTTTGATTTTCTCACCGTTTTAGAGTATAATGTGTTTTGGAAAATCTATTTTTCATATATAAGATTTTCATTTTTTAATAATTTTTTAAATGTCACTCTTTAAAACTTTTTTTCACCTCAGTAATAATCTGCCAATAAGTATAAAATTTAGTACCTCAAAATCCCCTCCAAATACAAAATATTAAATAAAAAACATTATTGAACTAAAATAGTACAATAATTTCATTCATTCGACACGCGAACAGCAACGGAGGGATGAATGTTTAACTGGACATCCAGGATTGTCATTTTGACTCACATTCTGTTTTTCCTCTCCATCACTAAATCTGTCTGTTCTTTACCAGCCCATGAAAGTCTTTCTCTCTTCGTTCTCATGTTGGGTCTGTTGTGTCTCAGGTGAGGCGTATCTCTTACCTGTGCTGTAGTCTCTGGCTCTTCTGCGGTGTCTCGCTTCAGCTCGTGTCCAGTGTTGCTGCCGGACTCTTTTATAGCGCTCGACTAATCTTCTGATCCTCAAACGCCTCCGACAGAAGCAGATAGAAGGATCAGGAGATTGACGCGGAGTATTTTAAGGACTTCAGGCTCTTACAGCGGAGGACACGCGTGTGGTTTATTCAGAACATCTGCAGTTTGTCTAACAGACACAGACATGAACATCAGATATGATGAAATATGTTGAATGTGTGCTCAAACACCTTTTTGCTCATGTACAAATATGGACAAATATGTACACTAGTGTACACAAAAAAAAAATCTGCTCAATTTACGGTAAAAAATTGGCAGCTTTGGTTGTCAGAAATCTACTGCAAAAAATATGGTAACAATAATTTAGGTTTTACAGACTTAAAAAATATATATATATTTATTTTATTTGAAATTAATTTACCGACCAATTGAAGTACTCATGTCACATGATCAATCAAAGTTTATTACACAAGATTGTTAATAGTAATATTCGCACAAACACTAATGGTAACACAAATTATTATTTTAAAATGCAATACACATTATTTTAACAACATTAAATGTAACATAAAACCCCAATGTACATAACTGATTAGAAAAAACTATGAATAAAAAGTTATTTCAACAAAAATATATATAAAATGTGAAACGCAGAGAATTGTAGGAAGGTAAATGTACTTTTTTTTCACTGTAATTATACAATGACTTGTTCTTTTTCACTTCCAAAAACTGTAAATTTAACGGTACTATAAATGAAACGGTACACGGTAAATGTAATAGTGTAAAATTACATTAAATGTACGGTTAGATCTATCACGGTTATTCACTGTATAGTGCGGAATCTTTCTGTAAAATAACTAACAATTTTTGCTGTAGCAATTTTACAGTCTTTTACCATTAAAATCATAAGATAATTCTTTTCTCTATCTTTAGTTCTCATCTTTCATATTATAAACATCCGAGCTGACAAAATATATTGGAAGAACATTGCGCTCACGTTCCCATTAGGTTTGGAACATTTTTTCTGAAATATCTCTCAAAATGTAAATGTTTTAAAATTCCTTTTTACATTCATTTTTACCATTTTCCAAACATTATGGGAACGCTACTTTTAAATGTTCTCTAAACAACACAGACAAACTAAAACGTCTATGAATGATGTATAATTTTTCTGCTAACGTTTTGAGAACATAAGTAAACTCTGAACGAACATTCTATTAATTTTACTTTAAAGAAAGTTTGTAACCAAATAACCAATCAACTGAATTGTAAACAAATTTAATTTAAATCTAAAAATAAATCAGTATGTTTTATTTTGATGCTCTGCCAGTTATGCCATTTATGTTTAAATTATTAAATAGCATTAAATGCTTCTTCTCAACAAAATCAAACTCACAAATACTTGTGAGTTCATGTTGATTTCATGTTTCTGATCTCAGGTCAGGCTCTTTAAGTCTCTTCTCTATCCTGATCCTAAACATACGGTTATATCTGACCTTTACTAATTCAAGATCAAGCTGCTCTAATCCACAATCCCGATCGGCTGTCCTGACAGTCATTTAGGTTATTATATAATCTGCTCATTAACATATGCTGTAATGTTCTCATGTGTGTTTGTTTATTCACACACCATAGCTGACGAGGAGCTTGTGGCATTTATATACAGCTACAAAATCTGTCAATGGCAGAACCCTTTCAAAAGGTGCAACTTTAATAAAACAAACTATAAAATGAGTCTGAGACCAACTTGTAAAAACATAAGTATAGTGTGTGCCAAAAAAGTGGTATTATTTTGGAGAAAAGCTTGAGCAGGTCTAGTAGTTGGTCTGTAAATGAAGTGGTTTGTAATTATAGATACATTACAAAGTTTTGTTACGAACTACAAATACTTACTCTTCAATTTTATCAGTAAAATGCATTATTATATTGGTGTGAGGAAATGTATTTAATACAAAATTTCATATAAGTGTCCCTAATTCCTAATTCCAAGTTCCAAGTCCACTAATACTGTAAACCATGACATGCTAATGAGATCAAAAGTATTAGTGTCTGATCATATAGCTAGAGCTCGTGATATGGGGAACAGTAAACCAGAGTTTTATAAAGCATATAGTGAGTGTGTTAATAGTGTTGTAGATGAAAATCTGTTTCCCGCTCTTTCATTCTCACGTGTGGCTGTTTGTGTTTGTCGCCCTCTGGCGGATGATGCTGTAATAACACTAGACTGATAAACATTACAGTCACTGTGAAACCAAAATGTTTTTTTTATGGAATATTGCAGCATTTATTATAAACTATTTCATGATGACTGTTTTATGAACAAAAAAAAATAAAAAGTAAAAATTAAATAAACATCAATGTGTTAAACAAAAATGCATTCATTACATTGCAAATATTTAATTGAATGTAATATTGATTAAACATGTATATAATAAATTAGCTAAAGCATTGAAAATCCCCATTTCCACCATCAGAGCAATAATTAAAAAGTTTCAAACGACTCAAGATGTTACAAATCTGGCTGGTAGAGTGTGAGGGGAGTTTGAGGGACTAAAGACTAATATCAAACAGCCCTATATCACCACATGCTGTTCGGGAGGGTTTCAAGACAAGAGAAATCCTCCAAAAACAAACCCAAGCATTTTCAGTGGTCAGACACGACTGGATCTTTAAATGGACTGGATTCTGTGATCAGATGACTCTAAAAAAGAGTTTTTTGGCAGCAAACTCTCCAGATGTGATTAAAAGGCCTACCCCAAGGCTCACGATTAAATATGTTGTGGGCCTATTTATTTATTTTTTTTGTCCCTGAACCCTGTGGAAGATGAGTGTGTGAACTTAAAAGATCACTTTTAAAAAAAACGTTTGCTGATAATTTACTCACCCCCATGTCATCCAAGATGTCCATGTCTTTCTTTCTTCAGTCACAAATTAAGGTTTTTGATGAAAACATTCCAGAATTTTTCTCCATATAATGGACCTCATTGGGCACCAAACGATTCAAGCTCCAAATGAGAGTTTCAGTGCAGCTTTAAATGACACCAGACGACGTCTGTTGAATGAACGAAATGACTAGAAAAAAATATTTGTTTATTTTGACGAACGAGTTCGAACAGGAGATCGAGTCACAAACTCGAATCACAGAACAGAGCAAGGCGAGCATTTGTGCTTATAAAACTTAAACTTTTTTTTATTTATTTTTAAAATGACAGATGGTTTCGCTAGATTAGACCCTTATTCGTCGTCTGGTGTCGTTTAACGCTGCACTGAAACTCTCATTTGGACCTTAAACGCTTTGGTTACCAGTAAAGTGCATTATGGAGAAAATCCTGGAATGTTTTCATGAAAAACATTAATTTCTTTTTAACTGAAGAAAGAAAGACATGGATATCTTGGATAACATGGGGGTGAGTAAATTTTCAGGGGTGAGTTTTTTTTTTAATTATTATTATTAAGTGAACTACTCCTTTAAGAGGAAAGGCGCCAACGTGGATCTGCGAATCTGGAGGATCTGAGGGAGATTCGGCGTTGAGGATGAAGGACCGGGAGAGATTTTTGTTTGGAGGAGGAATAGAAAACTCATCCGGCATTAAAGGAGAAGAAAAGTAAGTTTCAATAATTGTGGCCAACGAGATAGCAAACTGACATTGAATCAACGTGGAAACGACGTCTCTCATGACATTGAAACAACGTTGATTTGCTCATCGAATTAACGTTGAACCAACGTCAGACGCGGCATTCTTCAAAGCTAAATGAAATCGAAAATTGGTTTGCTTTCATAACGTTGAAACAACGCGTTGATTTCAAGTTGATTTTCCGTTAGTTTTGAAAGAATGACGCGTCTGACGTTGGTTCAACGTTAATTCGATGAGCAAAACAATGTCAGATCAACGTTGTTTCGATGTCATATTTCCACGTTGATTCAATGTCAGTTTTGCTATCTGGGGAACTAACGTTAGAGGAAACAAAAAATCCAACTGTTTTTGTCAGTCTCTGAGGAAACTCGAAACCCGGAATATTTAAAGAAAAGAAGTTGTATTTCGACTTACCAGCACGTAAACTCAACGTCGTAATGAATGTTATTTTGAAGTTTGTTTTTTTTTTGATTGAAATATGTAGTGAAGTTAAAGTGAAATCCCTGAATCCAGAGATCGCGAAATTCTAGTTAAAAACATACATAACTGGAATGAGTTAAAAGTGTTGAAGTAATCGTGGTTTACCAATAATTGACATGTGGTGTGGAAAAATAACACTACACTTTACAGATCATGTACAGCTTTAAAGAAATTTATAAACCCTACAAAAGCGAATTAGTAGTTTTATATAAAGCCATAGGTATTTATCTGAATTAATACCAATATTTCTCAGATTGTAACGTTATTTTGTTAGTGCCTATGACCAATGGATATGAAAACAAGATTTTACACTTTGAGACTTATTTAGAGGTTCATATTTGACCAAATAAGTGAAATTAACTTGTTTCAAAATGGACCCAGTTTATAGATTATCTTCCAGTTGTGAAAGAGAACAGACAAACTACACACATTTGGGAAAATAAATGTTTTATTGTGTTCTACTGCCAAATCAAGGGTTTTAATTAACCATGATGTAGATTCTGACACAGACACAATCAAGTACAGTTAAAAAAAATAGTCGATTTTTTTCATAGTTCTATATTTTACCACAACATTTAGCAGAGAGATGATCATAGCGTGATATTGCAGCTCTGAGATCCATTCAAGAGTCACTGTGACATTATTTCCCTCCAAAAACAATGCGAATCATGTCGTTTCCTCGTTGTGTGTTGGGCTGAAGCGTCCGCGGCCTAGGTTAGGCTTGGTGTGAGTAATATTACATGATCATCTTGGTTGATATCCAAAAGAAAGATTCTTCAGAAGGAAAGTTTCTACAAAATGCCATATTTGGCCAGATCGCTGAGCTCCATGTCACCGAAAGCTTCCCAGGGGCAAACCACAGTGATGTCTGTTGAAACCCAGAGAGAGAAGGTGGTCAGACTCATTCAAAACACTGAAACTATATTAGCGTCGTGAAGGCAACTGAAACGCCAGGATTTACCTGTGCCGAGACCCTCCATCCCAGGGATGTCGTCTCCGAAGCCTTTCTGGCCAGGTTTGGGAGCCTTGCTCTTGAAGGTACGAGCGGCCCTCTGCTTGAACTTTGGTGGTCCTCTCTTCTCAACGGGTGCTGGGGCGTCCATTTCTCTCTCTCACTGAAACATAAACAGGTTTACCTTAAAAAGTGTCTCTATCGTCCCCTTTACTGATGTCCTCAACAGGTTAGCTGTTAATCTTCTCATTTTGGGATCGTGTTAATCCTAATCTGCTGGTTACACAACGAGTTAATTTACCAACATCTGTTTTCCTTGTGATACGGACAGTGTGAATGATAAGCTCTTTACATAATCATGCTAATCTCGTAGAGGAGATGCCCAGCGCTCTCATTCGCTGACTGTCGTCTGTAATCTATGAAGTCTACAGTATTGGCGAGTTTCCAAATCCAAACTTTATATTCCATGGCGTAAACAAGCATCCATGGAAATCTCTGCACTTCACCTGCAGTTCAACTGGTGTAATTTTGACTCACATTACAGTCACTAAATCTGTCTGTTCTTTATCAGTCCACAAGTTACACTTTATTTCTACAGTCCACTTCAGCTAACTCTCATTAGATTATTAGTCGACTGCATGATATCTGCTAACACTTTATTGTGATGCTCCCCCAACAAAATATGAGTAACTTGACAAGTACAAGTCAACTTATTCTCCTAACCCGAACCCGAACCCGAACGCCTAACCATAACCCAACAGTTTACTAATACTATAATGAGAGTTAGTTTACATTTAGTTGCAAAGTAAGTCAGTAGAATGTCTAAAAATAAATAAATCGAAGTCTTTCTCTCTTCGTTCTCAGGTGAGGCGTATCTCTTACCTGTGCTGGAGTCTCTGGCTCTTCTGCGGTGTCTCGCTTCAGCTCGTGTCCAGTGTTGCTGCCGGACTCTTTTATAGCGCTCGACTAATCTTCTGATCCTCAAACGCCTCCGACAGAAGCAGATAGAAGGATCAGGAGTATTTTAAGGACTTCAGGCTCTTACAGCGGAGGACACGCGTGTGGTTTATTCAGAACATCTGCAGACATGAACACCAGATATGATGAATGTGCGTTCGAACACCTTTATGCTCATTAGTCGATTAACACTTTCTCTATCCCCAGTTTTAATCTAATTTTCATATTATCAACACATCCCAGATGACAAAATATATTGGAAGAACGTTGTGCTCACGTTCCTATTCGGTTATGAAAACATTTTCTGCATGTTCTCTGAAAGTTTAAATGTTTTACAAACGTTAAGGGAATTATAATTTTACAAACATTACATTACTTTGAATTAGAGCCAAACCGATATATCGGCCGATATTAGGCATTTTCCATAATATCGGTATCAGCAGTTATAATGGCCAATAAATGAATATTTAAAAAATAAAATAAAAATGGACGTAACGCGCTTCAATCATCTCTCCTTGGCCTGTTATATTGAAAATGTATGTTTTACAATTTTCAGTATGATGTTATCTATTGCTAAATTATGGCTCATCATAGACTAGCTAAACACAAAGCTAGCTAATACCACTATCATCAGTGGAAGACAGCTAACATTAACATTAATGAGCTTGGAAACCACAATTAACTTTTTCTGCCTAAATAAAGTAATGATTACTGTATTTATAACTAGCATATCTCTAGTTACAGTCCCTGCATTGTAAAATGTAAGTTAAACTTGCGAGGAGTGAACATTTAGACATAGAGAAAAAGTATCAAACGTATCTTGTGCAGAAAAGTTAGCTTTTCTTTTACACGTGTGAAATCCAACAATATTTAATAATAAAAAAAATATCGGCCGATATATCGGAATATCGGATTTTAAAACCCAAAAATATTTGTATCGGTATTATCGGTCGGGCTCTACTTTGAATGTTCTAGTTCATGTTGATTTCATGTGTCTGATCTCAGGTCAGGCTCTTTAAGTCTCTAACCTGCGACTGCGATCTGTTTTTAGCTTAAGCTGCTAATCTGAGAAACACACACCTGATCTACCCTGATCCTAAACACACGGTTATATCTGACCTTTGCTAATTCAAGAGTAAGCAGCTCTAATCCACAGTCATTTAGTTATTGCATAATCTGCTCATTAACATGTGCTGTAATGTTCTCGTGTGTTTGTTTATTCGCTGTGACACGTATTCAAACACATCTATGAGTTTATATACAGCTAATGAGAGTTAGTCTGCGGTTGGAAATCGTATTCATGAGTTTGTTGGATTCAAGTGTTTTTGTTTTCGGCAAAAATATGAAGAGCACCGGGTTCATTCTTGCCTATTTTGGGGGAAAATCTTAGTAAAGCCAAAAGCTATTGAAGTCAATATCCAACAAATTTTATTAGCGTCCTATTCATTGGCAACCAGTTTTAGGTTTTAGGCAAATAAATTGTGTTTTCACTGTGTAAAATGCATACAATAGGCTTGTTGTTTATAATACTCGGGAATCAAAATAAGATGAGACTTTCATGAACATCTTCTGAGGTCTGATCTTTGTGGCAAATCTAGAAATGAAAATCGCTAGTCATTAGCATAAACACACACTGTTACACGTTGCATGACTTGTGTCTGTATGAACACAGTTTGTTTTTAACTCTTAGCTGAGCATTAGCTCTATCTTGAACCCTGACTCTCTCGTGTTGAGAAGAGACAGCTCTTAATCCACCCCGATGTGAACCGGTTTAACCAATTACAGACGAGCACAACATGTGTAGAAAAATAATTTAGCTAATGTTCACAATAAGTTAGGCTATGAAAACTTTATTTTTGATTGTTCTCTGAACGTTCCAAAAAAAATAAATCTTGTTTATGTGAATATTAAAGGGTTAGTTCACCCAAAAAGGAAAACTCGGTTTTTACTCTCCCTCATGTTGTTCAACCAAGACTTTCGTTCATCTTCGGGACACAATTTAAGATATTTTTGATTAAATCTGAGAGCTGGATCACTCCTAAGAACATTATTAAAAAACATATAACTTTGAAAGAACGTTTTATCAACGTTACAGGAAGTATGTTTGTTCATAACCTAGCCAGAATCTTTTTGTTTGCTGGAAATAGAATTATTTCACATCTTGATCATGTTGATGAATATTAAATGGCAGCAGTGAATATCGGTTAAACACATCCATGTTCTGCTGATATATGTATTTCTTTATATTTAATATTGTGAAATAATTTAGCTAATGATTCAAATTAAATGAGGGGCTCATTGGCGGTTTATAAAAAGATAAACCTCGCATATTTCAGCATTTAATTTTTTTTAATAAAAATAATGCGTCAAAAAAAGATAAATTACTGACATTTATAATGCACATTATCAAATCTTTTAGTAAACTATGCAACCATTTCGTTTGCGCATGTAAAAAAATGAGCGCGCCGCGTGAATAATGAGCGCGCCCACATTTGAACGAACTTTAGCGCGCAAAATACGCGATATGTAAACGGTCCCTTGACAAGCTCCAATCAAGCCACGAGCTGGGCTGGCACCCAAAACCGCTACTGGAGGGGCTGGTAATGGGTGACGGCTTAATAATAATTTTCAGCAACTTTTATTTCCTCAACTATATTCATGTATAGTCCTTATGTAGCCCCGCCCCTTTTCAGCGCTGCGCTCGTTGTCTTTTGACTTCCGGCCTGTATTTTCACAGCGATCTTGCATAGGTTTGAATGAACGGCTCGTAAAAAAATTCCCGGTCGACGGTCACATGACTCCTGACTTGCACAACACACACTCTCAAACACACATCCAAATCTCTGTGGTGTGTTTTATGATAATCAATTCAAAAGATGTCAAAAATATTTCATAAGCCTAATTTTCTTTTGCTGGATATGATTACAACAGTTCCTTATATAGTCCCAGGATTTAACAAGGGTTTTTTTTTTTGTTTTTCAAAACCTTGAACCTAAAATTGATAAAAGTATGATTTATTTATTTTAAGTTTTGTATATTTTTATTTAGGCTACTTATTTTTTCATTGTATTATTATTATTATTATTTAATTATAATTATTATTATGTGTTTTGATTTGTTTGTGATCTATGGTCATTGCCGTTTTGTTTTATTGTTAAAATATATAATTAAAAATACATTTTTCTTAAAAACATTATGGACCCTTATATAAAAATATATCATTTCTTAATATGGAATTATATGACAATTTATATACAATTTATATTCCTTAATGACACAGGTGAAGCAGGTTTCTTCTGTTGTCTGTTTGGATCCTTGAGTTTCAATGAAAATCTCTTTACCACCGATTGCATTTTACAATATTGTGTTATTGTAATTTCCATAATGAGTTTCCTTCTGGAGGAAAACCAACACGTGTGTGTTCAGTGACACGTAATCTAAAGCGTCTGACCGCACACCTGTCCGTTTCACACACCTCAGCCAATCAGCATCAGCCTTGAGACGGTCACGTGACCCACGCTCGGACCCCTCACACGAGCACAACCGGTGGGCTTCTTCTCTTTCTTTCTTCACACAGTTTGTCCATATTTAGTGTAGTCATGATGTTTCTCATTGTTTTTTCTTTATTGACTGTGTGTGTGACATCAGAAGATCCAGGTAAGACTTTAATATCCTCAAATATCAATATGAGAAATATCTTCAAATATCTTACATAAAATTATATGCTTTAAATAAGCCTCAAACTAACTTGAATAACTTATTAAATTAAATATTGTTTATACGTGTTTTTGTCTGTTAGATGCCTAAAGAAGGTTATGGACAAACATTTTCAACATTAATAGAAAGATCATTAAAAGTTATGTTTAATAATGTTTGTACCAAAAATATTTGTTTCTGAAACTTGGTAGTTAGACATTTGACTAAAATTTTTTAAATGTTAAAGTTTCAGTTCATCTATTTTTTTTTAAATGTAACGACTTGTTTCAGAAAGTTCAAAGAACATTCAAAAGTAACATTTCATAATGTGTGAAGAATGATACAATGTTCCTGTTCACATAACCAAGAAGAGGTGTTCTGCAAACTGATGTTCTCGATCACTGTCGGCCGTGGCCTCGATTGCTTTTATTAAACTATTGATCACAACAGCTGTAATCTGATAAATTCCCACTATAATGCATGAAGAAATTAAGAAATTCTAAACATTAACATGATTTTTTATAAAGCTGCTTTTGAAACAATGTTGTGAGAAGCGCTGGACTTGATATTAATGTGTGTGTGTGTGTGTGTGTTGATGTTCAGAGAACGGCGTCCTCAGACTGAAGGATGTTCCTGCGGCCGAGGCCTTCATCAACTCCACTGAAGTGGCCGTCATCGGGTTCTTCCAGGTGTGTGTGCTTGTGTGTGTGTGTGTGTGTGATGAGTAAGTTTAGGGGTTGGGTTAGTGTGTGTGTGTGTGTGTGTGTGTGTGTGTGTGTGATGAGTAAGTTTAGGGGTCGGGTTTGTGTGTGTGTGTGTGTGTGTGTGTGATGAGTAAGTTTAGGGGTCGGGTTAGTGTGTGTGTGTGTGTGTGTGTGTGTGTGCGTGTGTGTGTGTGTGTGTGTGTGTGATGAGTAAGTTTAGGGGTCGGGTTTGTGTGTGTGTGTGTGTGTGTGATGAGTAAGTTTAGGGGTCGGGTTAGTGAGTGTGTGTGTGTGTGAGACGGGTAGGTTTAGGGGTCGGGTTAGTGAGTGTGTGTGTGTGTGTGTGTGTGTTAGTCAGTATAGCTGGCCAAGTTCCCAGATGAGTCTCAGGATAGTCCAGTTGTGGAATCCCAGAATGCCGAGTCCTCTGGCCGACTGTGTGTGAGGAGGACGAGGCCGGGATCTGGGATTGTGGGATTGGCACGTCCAGCGCTCCATAAACACACACACACACATACACACACAACCAGAGCCACAGATCCGGCAAACATGAGCTGTCGTTACACCCCGAGTCTCAATGTCCATCCATCCTCAACGGTCTGTGAGATCAGAATAAGTGTGTCTCAAAGCGTAGTGTGTGTAGAAGAGAGTTTGCCAGAAGCAAAGATGATTGACAGGCCAGTTTACTGTAATAAGAGAGCAGTTGTATGACGTGAAATTGTGTCCCTACGCTTGTTTTGCTACACGCTCAAAAGTATCTACTTTTTCTTCACAAAAAGAGTACACACTTCTAAGGTGTAAGTATGACGAGTGTTAACGTCAGTGTCTCCGTCTCTGCGTCAGACGGACGCCGCTCGCGGGTACAAGGAGTTCCTGTCCGCCGCTGCACAGATGACGTCTCTCCCGGTCGCGGTGTGCGGGGAACAGGAGGTGTGGGCCAGATACGGCATCGCCTCCGACACCATCTCCATCTTCAGGAAGGTAAACCCCGCTCACACACACACACACACACACACACAGGGAACGGGCACTCGAAGCTCTCCCAGGGGCCCGCAGGTCAGTTCGCCAACCCTGGGTTTAGGCATCATGACAGTGGTTTGGCTTTTAGCGTGCTCATCGCCATAGTAACTCGCGCACCGCGGCTAACCTGGTGATGCTCGCGGTGAGAGGTTCCAAACCAAACTTGGACCAATCAGCTGTGAGCAAAATGTCACATGTCTGACACGATGAACTGTTTCTACTCCACATTAAAGCTACACTGTGTAACTCGTTTAGTTTATTCTTAGCTAAAAACAGTTCTTTCAAAAATATACGTGCTCATTAATGTATATTTACTTCGTTAAAGTAATAAAGTATTTTCGTGAGTGTATATTATATGCCATTGAAAATGCATACGGGTAAGGGGTTCTAATGTCGGTCGCCATCTTGAAAGTACATTAGCCAAAGAGGGACACACCCGTTAATTCAAGCTTCGCCTTTCGCGTTTGCGTTTGAGCTAACACTCATGGACGAGGTCGAACCGGAAGCCGTGTTAATCTTGGACTACATTGGCCACCGTAGGAGTTAAAATAAAATCGGAATTGAGAGGAACAGAAACTAATATTCACTGGTTGGTCATATACCTTTTCACCACTAGATGGGGTTAAAAATCACACAGTGTAGCTTTAAAGGTCACTACATAGCAAATGATTTTTAAAGACAAAATTGTCTGGCTTTTAATAATGCTTATTTAGAATGATACATTTCATTTAGAAATTATTTATGTAATTATTTTACCCTTAATCAATCACACATGTACGGTTTTAGTTCATCGTTTATTTGACCTTTATTCATATTTGAAATGAATAAAGGTCAAATAAATCAATATTATCAATAGATTTAGCTATAAAATAACTATATGTGAGCAACTGTGTAAATTAACTTCACAACTTTTACTTGCACTGATATACAGTAGCGAGACCTTTTCTTTTAGTTGTTCTCTTTCATAGACGGCTGCTGTGTAAATTTGTTTAAATTCGTAATATTTGAATACTTTTATTTAATAAGTGAATTGCGCTGCTTCTCTCGCGAGAAATTCATTTAAATGTGTTTTGAATGAGTTTCACTCTTTCTCAGCGTGTGATTGGCTGTTCGCTACTGATGATGTCACTCCTAAACTCAGTATAAGTTAAAGCCTGGTTGGATTGGTTTGGTTTTGACTCAACTAATCCTGTAACCCGGAGTTTGTTCAACTACTATCATGGTACGGCCCCTGAAGTGCTTCAAAAGAAATAAAAACATAAAAAAGTAGACTAATATTAAATTGGAAGTAGAACAAAAATATCTCACCCAATGGTTCAATTTATTAGTAGACACATCAGCGCTTGAGAAAATGACTCGCATAGAAACAAAACCACTGCTTTTGAAAAATATTGATATATAAAATATGGAGCAATTTCAATTATGAAATAATGCATATAATCAGAGGTGTGAATAGATTCGATTTATTATACGTTTAAGGTAAATAAATAATGTGAGTTTATTTAAATAACGTGAGTTTATAGTTAAGTGTATTTGTTTTTTGTTGTTTTTGTGCAAATTTGTTTACTTGTCATGTTTTTGTACCCAGCAAAATACAAAATAAAAAAGTTCTTACAGTAAAGTTAATAAAGTTATCTGGACTTTAATAATGTTCTCAAAACATTAGCACAAAAACATATTTATACATAGTTCATGTAAGTTCTTAAAGTTTCAGTTCATCAAAAAAATAATAATAATAATGTAACAAATTGTTTCAGAACGTTCAGAGAACATTCAAAAGTAACATTTCCATAATGTTTGAAGAATGATACAATGTTCCATTAACGTTCACCGTTTAGCTGGAAAACTCCTAACGTGTGTGTGTGTGTGTTACAGGCTGATCTTCATCAGGAGCACCTGAATCTCTCAGAGGCCAAGAAAGTTGATGCTGATGGACTCGTGCGCTTTATGACCATGAATAACATTCGCTACGTCACAGAGTATAATCAAGCGGTACTGAACACACACACACACACCTCAACTTCCTGTCTCGTCTCTTCTTTGTAATGTTAATCTGATTTTATATATAATTATAATTAAAATAATTGTGCAATAACTAGTAGACCAACATCGTGATGCAGAATAAAAATCTGTAAAATAATAAAATTCAATATGCCAACAAATCTGTTGAATTATTCAACGCATGAGCTATTTTCCACTCTGTTTTTTAATTAAATGAACACGATAAATAATGATATGATTGATGTTGATTTATTATCGCTTCATAACATTATTTCTGAAATTCTGCATTCAGCAACTCTGTGCAATTCTTTTCGTGATTTTTGTGTGATCAGAAAACATAACTGCGAGGAAACGATCTAATGATCTAATATAGACATGATAATAATAGACATTAAAACATATGCATAAATAAATGCACTAATAAATAGCTAAATAAATAATTTTGTAGGAAAAAATACAATTATACACAGACTAAATAAACACTCTAAAAAATGCTGGGTTGTTTTAACCCAATTTTGGGTAAAATATGGACAAACCCAGCCATTGGGTTAAAAATATAATTTAAAAATGTAACCCAATGGCTGGGTTTGTCCATATTTAACCCAAAATTGGGTTAAAACAACCGAGCATTTTTTTAGAGTGAAGAAATGAAAGTATAAATAATTATTTGTTTTTGTTTTTATATACATTTCTTTGTATATTTATTCATTTCTTTATTATTATGTCAGGTTCGGCATTCCTTATGATATCTCTTTGCGATATATGATAGCTGTCGCTGCATGGAGAAATCGTCGACTGAATAAAGGAAGCCGAATCACAGTATGATTCCTCGTGTGTGTGTGTGTGTGTGTGTGTGTCAGTCTGCCGTGGGTCTGTTCCAGTCCGAGGTGAAGACGCACGTGTTGCTGTTGGCCAACAGAGGGCGCACAGACTCAGACCCGCTTCAGGAGCGCTTCAGGGATCTCGCGCCAAAATACACCGGCAAGGTAATATAAACGAGCGATTTTCCCGCGTGGAGCCGATGGAGAGAGTGTTATTTAAGAGGATGATGGGGTAAAGTCGCGCTGTTTTACTCTCTAATGGGATTAAGAGCTTCTGAGCTGATTACTCAAGCGCTCCGCCCATTGACCCTAATATTCTCCAGGTCACGCCAGGATTCTTCCAGAACTTTCAGAAATAGTGTATATGAGTGTATATTTGAAATCTTTTAGTTTAAAGCGACAGACTGATATATACAACATTTGAAGTGGATCAAAACCTTTCATTAAAGTTATATTCATGCATGAATTTTGAACAAAACCCAAACTTTTTGATGTAATTACAAGATAATTAGGGTCTCCATTTTACACTGAGAGTAATATTTATCTGTCACAAAAACAACTGAGGATCTTAGGGATGGAATACTGTGAAGATACTGAACATGAAACGGAAACGTGCTTAATAGGCTAATTAATAGGCTATAGCTGAGTCCTATTAAAAAAAATTAACAAAATGAATCGTGACCTCTCATTTGATTTAAACGGGTTCAACAGTTCGCTAGAGACGTGATGATTGTGAATGTTTTTGTGGAACGCAGATGTTGTTTGTGCTGGTCAACGGAAGCGAGAAGTCAAACGCGCGCGTGCTGGAGTACTTCGGCCTGGAGTCACGTGACCTGCCACGGGTCGGCATCTATGATGGCACCCTGGATGAGAAGTGGCTCATGCCGTCGGGTGAGATCACCGCTGAGCGCGTGCAGAGCTTCTGTGACTCGTTCCTGGCCGGAGACCTGCAGGTGAGGCCGAGACTGAAGCACAATCACTGCTGTTATCAACACTGTGTGAACACTGAGCGTCTCCTCTCCACAGAAGCAGAAAGAGGCGGGAACATCCGAAGACAAGACCGAACTATAATACGATCCTTCATTCTCTTCAATACAAATATTAAATGAAATACAGTGGATCCTGTTTGTGGTTCATTATAGGAGCTTTTTATCATTGATTAGGCTGTCAAACTGTGATAAACAACATGACTATTAATAGCTTTTTTCATTTTTTATCTATGCACGTTTAGAATGGAGCTTTGTGCGTATTTAATAGAAATATGCTCTAAAAATGTTTTTAATGTTCCCATTATGTCACGAAAACGTTATTTCTGAATGTCCCCTGAATGTTCAAAACGTTTCATTTTTTAAAAAAAAAACTTTATTTGAACGTTCAAACATTATGGAACGTTACTTTTTAATGTTCTCGGAATGTTTTACATTTAAGAAATAACAAACATCCAACTGAAACATTTCAGAAAAAAAAACTCTAAACTCATAAACGATGAATAAATAATGTTTTTATGCTACATTATTAAGACCAAACTTTGAATGTACGTTTAACCCTCTGGGGTTGTTCGTTTCAGAGTCACACTCGGGGTGTTCGGGTCCAAATGGACCCAAAGGGCGGGATTTATATTTTTAAAAAAAAAAAATCATGATTTTTTTTTTTTTACTCATTTTTTATAATATTGTTTTGAGAAAATTTCAAATATAAAAAAAATATATAATTAGTATTAATGCAATAGTTATGACAAAATTTCCCCCCATTGAACATAATAGAAAAAATATTTTAAAAAATATATTTTTTTATTTTTTTTAAAGCTGTATTTCATTTTAGAGTCAAGCCTAGGCCTCATAAAAGCAATTTTTGAAATGAGATGGATACCATCTGGTGGACAAACTGAGCATTTTAAAAATGCAAAACACATGTATAATCTGAATTTCTTGGTGTGTTTGTGTATAAAAGTGTGTTTGTGTGTGTCTGGATGTGTCTGTTTTGCACTCTTGAAGTTTTATAGATTCACCCCTTCACTGTTGTGTGCTTTTTTTCAAGATCGTGGCTGATTTGTAGATTGTACGCACAAAAAAACTCAGTATTTTCACATTTTTGCCAATTTCCCATTCATTTAACATGCGGGTCCATTTGGACCCGAACACCCCAAGTGTGACTATTTTTTTTACAACCACTTAGACTATTCACATCCTGTCCCCAATTTTTTTGGGTGTTCAAATACCAAATACCAACAAAGTCACCAAATTTCAGACCATTCCGAGGAAGCTGTGACTTTTAAATTTTTTTTTATTTAAATTCTTTGGGTCCATTTGGGCCGAACAACCCCAGAGGGTTAATGAATTAACATTATTGGAAGGGGAAATATCATGAACATCTGACTTTTCGCGTGTGTAAGTGCTGTAATCGGCTGCTTATACTAACCCTGTAACCGTGAAACCCAGTAACTCTGTTCTGGTGAGTCTTTCTCTGTAAGCATGCCAAAAAACAAGCTGTCTTTATCAGATTTCGCTAAATTATTACCCAGTACCTGATTGCCTAATCCCAACCCCGCCCCTAATCCTACCCCTCCCCCACAACTAACTTAAACCTAACAGTGATAGGGGGTTAATAATTTGGCGGGGTCTAAATTCCGCACAACACCAGAGTCTCTGACGCTCATGTAAAGGCTCCGCCCTCTTCTGAACGGAGGCGGAGCTAAAGCTCATTTACATTTAAAGGGGCACACACAAAAACGGAGCATTTTTGCTCACAGCCAAAACAGCCCAAATATGACAAGCTTTAATACATGATCTGGTATTCTGAGCTGAAATTTCACACACACATTCTGGAGACGCCATAGATTTATATTACGAAATATGTCACCATAACCTTGCCAGAACGTTCTGGAGAGCGTATTGTGTCACCCGAACCCAAACCACGGCCAGAACAACGGTCATTAATCGGCTGTCGGAGAACATTAAATAGTGATTAAAGACTTCTGATTTTGGCTCAGGATTTGAGGAATCTTTTAGGATTTTTAATTACGGCAGAATCATCGTATTCACCCGGCTGTAAGACTCAAAACAGCTCTGAACAACAGAATTACAAGCGATTATATACTTTTCTCACACGTAACGAGAAGCCCTGAGTCTGGCTGTGAGAAATACAGTGTCCACGCCGGTCTGCGAGGCTGTAAACGGCTGGGCTTCGCTCGATGTTAGAGCGCGTCTGGATGCCGGAGCCGGCCGGATGCGGATAATGAGCGGTTCGCAATCTCTCACAGCCTTGGACAGCAAACACAGTCTGAGTGTGTGTGTTTATTTGTGTGAACTGGAGATTCGGTGAAGGGATGTGTCCTCAGAGCGAGGTCAGACACACACACACACGATGATCAGCTGATAATGAGTTTATTTCTGCTCACGTGTGTTTATTATTCACATTCATACATGAAGTGGAGTCAGCTCATGAAGCACTGCATAGACTGAAGCATCGTGTGTGTGAGAGTGTGTGTCAGAACGTTAGCTGTGAAAATACTCAAACGTTATCTCACAGTTGTGAACATCCTTCTGCGATATTAATAGAACATGTTCAGTTGTCTTTAACAGTGAGCAGATCATGTATATTTAAAGGGATAGTTCACTTTGAAATTAATTTTTGGTATGTTTTATCTTACCTCAAGGGCATCCAAGATGTCGGTGTCTTTGTTTCCACAGTATTTTCAATTTTGACATTTTTCAGTCAAACCGTTGTTGTCTATCAGTCATACACTGGAAGAGAAGTCCAAATTAAACATGATTTAATGACTCGTACATGTAAGTACACACTGATGGCCTAAGACACGAAACGAGCGGTTTGTGTGAGAAAACCAACAGTATTTATATCGTTTTTACCTCGTGTAATCACAGTGATCTGAATCTGTTGTTCAATGTCCAACTGAAGCGAACTGAATCAGTTCAGTGTTATGCCGGAAGTGATCGCTTGCGTGTGACGTCACTCAATATTTACACGGAGATTTCGGAAGTTTTACCTTTTACTAAACATATTTAGAAATCCCGAAATCGTCTTCCATTGCGGTTTCCCGTATATCTAAATATGTTTAGTGAAAGGTAAAACTTCCCAAATCTCTGTATAAACAAAGAGTGACGTCGATCACTTCCAGACCGAAGCGCCCGTGCCGTCAGATCATTTTGTCATGGCTGTGATTACACGAGGTAAAAACGATATAAATACTGTTGGTTTTTGTTTCGTGTCTTAGGCCATCAATGTGTACTTACATTTACGAGTCATTAAATCATGTTTAATTTGGACTTCTCTGTGCTGCTCTTTGGTGGACCCCCTTAGCCTCCAGTGTATGACTGATAGACAACAACGGTTTGACCGAAAAATATCAAAATTGAAAATACTGTGGAAACAAAGACACCTACATCTTGGATGCCCTTGAGGGAAGATAAAACATTTCAAAGTGAACTATCCCTTTAAACATTAATTACACATTCCTGAATCATTTTAGCAGCTTGTTTGTCTAATGTTTTTTTTTTAAATGTCACTCGTTGTCGAAACACTCAAAAAGTAACGTTCCAAAAAAACATTTGTAACATCGGCAAAATTATTCCCTTAACATTTACATTCCCAAAACATTCAGAAATAAGCTAAATATTCTTAGAGAACGTGTTGCTAGTTACACACTAATCTTATTCCTTACTGAAAGATGTCTTTAGTTCGACATGATTTATCATTAGTATTCTTTTCTCTTTCTCTTACATTCAACATGTCACAAGGCTTTATTTACTCATATTATTATTTATGATTTTCCCCATTGAAATCCTGAATTTGATGATGTCAGAGTAAACATCACACACTTATGAAGTCTGTTTGAACAAGATTTAAAGACTTATAACGACACATGTCATGAATTTGCAGGACAAAGGGCAATTTATCAATGCGATTTTAAGAAAACAAAGTGGAATTGTAATTAAAATTGATTCTGTATTGCACGCTGAACAGAAGGAGATGATCAGGGTTGGTTCACAGACGAGTCAAGAACTCGTTCTGCTAAAAACATTACAAGCTAAAAACAGAAAAACTCTCACTGTAATTATCGGAAGTTTGCAGACATACGGCTCAGAAACATTCAAAACTATCTATACGACCTTTTTTTATACGGCTTTTATATAACACGCGCACACACACACACACATTCTGTGGTTGTGTTTGTGGTGTCTGCTGTGATGGTGGATACCAGAGTTGAGCCACATCAGACACTGCACTACATGAACTCTCTCTCTCTCTCTCTCTCTCTCGACTCTGTGGACTGTGTGTATGGATCTCTTCGGCCTGTTCATCGGCCAGATCCTTTATCAAACTCTCTGTATATTCTCTTTCCGTTTGCTTCTGGATGACCTTGTTCTGCAGCTTTTTGCACTGGTGAAGCTTTCAAACATAAAAAACATCCATCTATACAACACAACCATGAAAATTATAAGGCGGATGAGCAGTCCTGAACACAACACACAGCGCTGTCGTATTTCCACAGAGACACAAACCCAGTGGACTAAACAGAACCTAGACATGGAAATTACACAGCAGACCGGCCAATGCTCATTTCCCTCTGTGTGACACAAACACACACACACACACACACTCACACACACAGGTCAGGTTAGGGCAGGTCGCATCTCTGCTGCCTGTGTGTTGTCATTTGTATATTGCATTTGAAAGCTTGTGTGTCTGTGTATTAGTGCTGCGATTTATGAGTCGTTCTGGAAGACACATAGTTCCACCAGTAGGGGGCGACACGTGACTGTTTCTGTAAAAGAATTATTTTAATTATTCATTGAACCGATTAGTTCAAAGACACTCATTAATTCCGGATCAAAACAAGTGACTGTGAGTGAGTCATTGAATCATTTAGGAACAAAACCAGAGAGTCATTAATTGATTCGTTCAAAAACATAATGTTGAATTTGAAACTGCATACTAGCATACTTCAACGTTTACCATATCTTTCTATGGCAGAAATAAGAGTAGAATGCTAGTATGTGGTTTAGAATTCAGTAAAAATTCATGAACATCACAAGTAAGCGACTGATTCTTAAACTGGTTCATTTAACAACATGGAAAACAATGAGTCATTGAATCATATATTGAATCATTCACTCAACCAACTCACTGATTCATTCTGAAGTGAAACACATCTGACTTTGTTTGGAACTATTTTCGTGGAAACTTTTTGTATCTAAAATGTAAGTTACTCAATTTTAACATGGTTTATTAAACTATAAGCAACATCACACAATAGTGCTACCGTCTATAACTCAAACAACTTCTCCCAACACGATTTTTAATTAGTACAATCAAAATAAGGAAATATTCAGAGCTGTCACTTTCTCATTTCGGGATTTTTTCTTGTTCATGTGTTTTATTTAGCAGATCGACATAGTATGGAAGCTTGTTTCGCCATAGAATGAAAAATAAAAAAAGGTAATTGCGACTTTTTATTTCACAATTCTGACTTTTTTTCTCACAATTGCGAGATATAAAGTCAGAATTGCGAGATATAAAGTCGTGAGATATAAAGTCAGACTTGCGAGATATAAAGTCAGAATTGCGTGATATAAACTGAATGAGAATAGAAAGTATATCACGCAATTCTTACTTTTTATCTCGCAATTCTGACTTTATATCTTTCAATTCTGACTTTATATCTTTCAATTCTGACGTTATATCTCACAAATCTGACTTTATATCTCACAATTCTGACTTTATAACACGCAATTGTGTGACAAAAAGTTGCAATTATTATAATTTTTTTTATTCAGTGGTGGAAACAAGCTTCCATAACATAGCTATGTGTCTACAGTCATTTCTGATGAACGTTCTTCAGATGGTCAATGTGCAACCCAATCACACTAAATGCGTCTCTAAAACTAATTTTCACGTATAAATTGACGATTGCACGCATTTTTCAGTCACATCTGCAAAGTACACGGGTAACTCAAACTCGTGGATTATTGCTCTGTCTACTTTCAGGTCTTTTGCCTTTATTAGTAGAGCAGACAGAAGGAGAATATGACACAGGTGAGACTCGAACCCGATCCCCATGAGCCAACAGCTCAATATTAAAGCCTTCTATGTGCAATTTAAACATTTGCATGCCGTTAAAGGCAAACATAATTGCCTCTTAAAGCACACCTGGCCCCAGAATGGCCCCTTTAAATAGTAACCGGTTGGTGGTTTGGGGACAAATTTATTGATATACGTCCCCAGATGTTAGTTAAATATGGCTCGATTCGGGCACAGGCTCAAAAAGAAAAGTGGCTTTTGCAGTTTAGGTTAGTCATTATAATGAGCTTTAAATAAAAATCAACTCTATGGTATGTTCTCGATCACACAAACATCCGATATACCATATATGTATCGGGCCCACAACTGAAGCAGAGCATTATGGGGGATCCCTGTAAATCCTAATGACATGTTTCATGTGATGTGACCACCATTGTGTTTACTAGTCAGTGTATATATTTAGATAGAAAGGAAGCAAATGGGTTTTATTGCATCTTTGACTAATATCTGCAGAATCGACTCGTGCGTAACACACACACACACGTGAGATTTCCCTTTTGAGTGTCCATCCAGGAACATTTGGACCCTGGAGAGTTTGGAGGAAAAATATACGTTTTACATTTAGAAGCATCGCCTACATTTCCCACAGATATGGCGAGCGCTTGGGTAAAGTCAGCCAGCGACGGGTCACAGGGCATGTGTGTGTGTTAGTGGTTTGGCTCAGTCTCGCAGGTTTAGGTGCATGTGTGTCTGTTTGCCAGCCTGCGGTTGCTGGAACACATGTGTGTGTGTGTGTGTGTGTGTTGTTGTCATTGGAATGCAGAAAGGGGCAAGGACGTTTCTCCATTGTCAAACCAATCACAAACTCAAGCAGCCGTGTGTGTGGGTGACGGAGAGAGTATAAACACGCCGGCGGCCGGACGGACGACACACACACAGAAGAAACGAACACCGTCGACTGAGAGAAGAACCGAGACCTGAGGAAGCATGAAGACTCTGGGGCTCCTGTCTGTCTGCGCTCTGCTGTCTGTCTGCGCGTCTATGGGAGGTGAGACACGCTCATTATAACCTCTCGTGGTGTGTGTGTGTGTGTGTGTGAGAGTCCTTAACAGTGTGTTCTGCGTGTGATAGTGTACACAGAGCCTGAACCTGCAGATGTGGTGGTTCCTCCATCCCTGGCTCCTACTGAAACGGCCTCGTCATCCTCATCTGCCTCAGATTCCTCTTCATCTTCCTCTTCCTCCGAGTCCGACTCTGCATCCGACTCCGCATCCGACTCCACGTCTGATTCGGCCTCAGATTCATCCTCTTCCTCGTCTGAATCAAACTCTGTCAGCGCTGAAGGTGAGAAATAACCCGTCTTGTGTCGATGTGTGTATTATTCAGTCAGTTTGGTGAAGTGAAAGAGTGTGTGTGTGTGTGTGTTTTCAGGCACGCCTGCCACTCATGTCCTGCTGAAGAGAGACGTGGCGGCTTCACTCCTGAGACACCGGAGAGCGGGAGCACCGGCGGCCGATTTGAGTCTTCAACAGCTGGAGAGGTGAAACACACACACATGGATATATACACACACGCGGACACTCATGATTCTCATGGTGATGTTTTTGTCTTTCTGTCCTCCAGTTTGCGAGAGGTGTGTGAAGCGAATCTGGCCTGTGAACACATGGCTGAGACGGCTGGGATCGTGGCGGCCTATACGGCATATTATGGACCAATTCCATACTAACACACACTGACTTCTGATCCTATATCTGACTGATATGTTTTACCCCCAAACCCCCTTTTTTTTTTTGTCAGAACGTGTGTGTTTTTTAACGCCTGCCATGCAACTTACTGTTTCAGGTTTTGCTGTCACAATTCCTCATGTTTTAGTGATTGAGATATGAGTGCAATTGAATTGAAAAGCCTCCAAATGCCATTTGAAATTTTCTTCTTCAATGATGATTTCAGTAATTTCACTTAAATAATTATCATTGCCATTTAAGTGAAATTACTGAACTTAAATATACAAGTTTGATAAAAAAAATCATCATTAACGAAGAAAATTTCAAATGGCATTTTTAGAGGCTTTTGCATCTGAACTCTTCAATTAGACTCTGTGTTATTGAAGTGTGTTAAACTCCTTTATATTCTTATTATGCATATGTATAGAATAAAATCACAGTTAGGATAACTTCATTAGACACTTTAAAAAGATTTCAGTAGTGGATCATGTTAGTGTTGCGATTCAAAGGTGCTATTACACACAAATTATTTGTCGTGTTCTGTATATAAAACACATGTTCTGTTGACATTTTTTTTGTCAATGATACTTTATTTTTTTGTGCACATAATACTTGTATAGAGCGTATACTGTAATAAAAAGAATAAAAAAATATAATGATATTGTCAGATTGTTTCTTGTGTTACGATTTGAACGTTTAAAAAATGATGGCACTTCATTATTCACGCGATATTTGACATTCGCTCTGATCGATCGCACATTCGCACTTCCTTCACGAGAGCGCGCGTTCATGGTTCAGTCTGACGTGAGCGCGCCGTGCCACTCACACACACATTTTACCTCACAGATGGAGTTTCTCATCGGCAGCGCGTTTTCGTCTCCTGTCGGACAGCGGATCCGTAAGTGTTGTACAGTAATAATAGGCCTACTTCGTTAGACTGTGTGTGTGTGGATTCGCGGCTTAATAACTTTTTTAAGTGGCGCGCGCGTGACGTCGCGGAGTGATCTGTCGCGTCTCACGCGCAGAACCGAGTGATGCGTGAAAACTAGGGCGTAAGATTATCAAAATAGAAGAGTGAAGCGATTCTGTCCGTTAATCAGAATGTGTTTTTAAGTATGATGAAGTCAGGCTGGTGTTTAATTGGGGTCAGACGGGACTGTAGTTTCAGGTGTAATCATGGTGATGCCTGTGTGTAAAACGGACAAAGTTCATTGTGCTGTTGTAACGATAACCGTGTCGGAAAGCTTGGTTACTTTTTAACTAAATTGTGACACTTCCTCTTTTCACTTTCTTTACAGTATTTTTACTCGTTTTCACGTTAATATTACAAAAGCTCATCTGAAGAATGTGGTTAAAGGCAGCTGACAGTCACATGAAAGAGTGTGTGTGTTTGTGAGGTCTCAGGGTGAAGCTCATGTTTGCTGTGTTCACGTGGTTTGGATCAACTGTGAGGCAGAGAAATAGAGTTAAAAAACTTAAATAAATTCATTAAGATTTGTTTGCACAGGTTGTCCTAATTTCATGGCGTGAGGAGATATTTTGCAGGAATTATTTCACATTAGGGCGTTTCTCCCTGTAAATATGTGAGTTTAGGTGTGTCTAAGATGGTATTTGGGAAATGTGTTTGTCTTGGTGTATTATGTTTGGGGTATGAGGTTAAAAAGCCATAATCATCAAAATTATAACAAATAAAGGCTTGAAATGTCTCACTTTGCATGGAACGAGTCAAAATATTAGTTTCACCTTTTAAGTTGAATTAATTAAACAAATGACTTTTTGCACAATATTTAAATTTTTCAAGTTTCACCTGTAAATCGTCATATTAGAGTGATTTCTGAAGGGTCATGTGACACTGAAGACTGGAGTAATGATGCTGAAATTCAGCTTGAATAACATGCATTTGATTATATATTCACATAGAAAACAGCTATTTAAAATTGTAATAATATGTCAGTGTTTTTACTGTATTGGTGAAAAGAAGAGGATTCTTTCAAAATATAGAAAATCCTAATTATTCCAACTTTTGACTGCCTGTGCACAAAAGTAAGCTATTTTCTGTGAATGTGCTAATGGCTAAACAACAGAAGTGCAGTAAACGGTAACACTATTTTGTTCTATAAAACTAGTGTGATGATAAATTAAAATAATATGATGACAAATTCCAGTTCCCAGTATCAAGCATCACTATTATCCAGCTAGATTAACTGGAAGCGAATGCGATGGGAAGCCTCGCTCTTTAAAGTTACAGATGCATGCACTGCAGTTTCATTATACCGAAAATAAGGTTGAATCATCAGTATTGAAGGTCAAATTTCTCCTGACATTATCTAGCTGAAAACCCCTATGTAATTCTGGGGATTTTATTTCGGTACTTTGCCTTTGTCGTATGAATTCAACGTTTTCCACGTGGTGCTCATTGGTTGTTTGTGTGTCAGAGAAGGCCACCAGCGCCGCCCTGCAGACGGAGGACTGGAGCCTCAACCTGGAGATCTGTGACATCATCAGCGAGACCGAAGACGGGTGCGACTCGCATCACTTCCTGTTATTATACCGGGCAGTATTCACAGCGCCTTTTACACATTTTGTTATGTTAAAGGCTTATTCCAAAATGGATTAAGTTCATTATTTTCCCAAAATTTCGACAAACAATAATACCCCATAATGACAACATGAAAGAAGTTTGAAATCTTTGCAGATTTATTAAAAATAAAACATTAGTATTCACAGCCATTGACACTCAAAATTGAGCTCCGGTGCTTGAGATGTTTCGTTAACTCAGTTGATTGGACATGATTTGGAAAGACACACACCGATCTATATAAGGTCCATCTGTTAAAGGTGCTGTATGTAACTTTTTTTACTCTACTAAAGCATAAAAATAACATGTTTGCAGAAATTGTATGAAACATGCTAAGTTCACATACTCGTTTCTCTGAAAAACACTTCTACAGCCAATTAGTTAACGTTTTGGTCTGTGTGACTCCGCCCACTGCCAGTTCAGCCAATAGTGTTTCGAACCCGGGATGCCATTTGGCGGGAAACACAGCTTGATGGATCCATGGAAACGAGCAAACAAACTTGGGTCAAAGATCGCAGATTCCACACGACCTAAAAAGCCTCGATATCCATCTGAAAATCTCTACGAACGAGAGCATATTAAAACCCGAATAAATCAACTCAACAAGTCTTCTCGGCTTTCGTTGTCAATTGCGCTCTTTTCCGGTCGCGTGTCCTCAAACTGGCAACCCGCGTGAGCGTTGAGTCTGAGGTGGTGGGGAAAGAACGATCTCTGATATTTTGAATTTGGACTGCAGTACCGATTCCGACCACTAGCTGTCATTCTTACAGACTGCCCATTTAAAGGAGTAGTTCACCTGAAAATGAAAATTTCCAGATAATGTACTCACCCCAGTGCCAATCAAGATGTTCATGTCTTTCTTTCTTCAGTGGAAAAGAAATTAAGTTTTTAGAGGAAAACATTTTAGGATTTTTCTCCACACAATGGACTTCAATGGTAACCAAATTGTTGAAGTCCAAATCAATGCAGTTTCAAAGAGCTTCATACGGCTCTGCACGACCCCAGCTGAGGATCTAGCGAAATTATCGGCCATTTTCTAAAAAAAAAAATTATTTTATACTTTTCAACCACAATTGTTCGTCTTGTGCTGGTCTGCGACGCGCCAGGCATTACGTCATCACGTTGGAAAGGTCACGCTGGACGTAGGTAGAAGTACCGCCCCATTGTTTACAAGTGTGAAGAAGGAGGATCGTTCAAATTTTATTGAATTGACATTTGTGTGTCAGTTTGTTGTTTAAAATGGTCCTTTTCGTGTGCGTATCCTGGATCTTTAAATCAATGGGGCGTGACTTGCACCTACGTCCAGCTTGACCTTTCCAATGTGATGACGTAATGCCTGTCCAGCACAAGACCTACAATTGTGGTTAAAAAGTATATACATTTTTATTTTTTTTTAGAAAAAGGCTGATGGTTTCACTATATAAAGACCCTAATCCTCAATTGGTAATAACCTGTGTGGAGAAAAATCCTGAAATGTTTTCCTCAAAAAACTGAATTTCTTTGGCCTCCAATATCGTAAATGGTTTGGAACCACCACTTTTTTTTTTAGGATTTTGAAGAAAATAATGACTTTAATCCATTTTGGAAAAAGGCTGTAACACAACGCTGTGAACGCTCTCCGGATGCACTGCACTGACGTCTGTCTCTGCCTATCATCTGACTGATTGTGTTGTGTTTCAGGCCCAAAGATGCAGTGAAGGCTTTAAAGAAGAGGATTGTGGGTAATAAGAACTTCAGGGAGGTGATGCTGGCTCTGACCGTGAGTGTCCGTTACATCACTTCCTCTACAGGAGCGAATCGCGAATGTGTGTCTCCATCATGAGACGGCTGCCGATGGATCAGTATTGCGGCCACTGATAGGCGTGAATCAATCAATGTAAAAATATATTACACAAACTGAAAAAAAGAATGCAAAATGATCAGAATAGCCAACAATGTGGTCACGGATACAAACTACAATAAGCGTGAGTCAAAAATAAAAGCTTTAAACTAGGGCTGTGCAAAAATTAATTGTGATTAATCTCATCCAAAATAAAAGTCTGTGTTTACATAATATATTTGTTGTGTGCTGTATATAATTATTTTGTATATATAAATACCTGTGCATGCATGTATATACTTAATTATTTGCGCTTAAATTCTGTGTATATATATATAAATACATAATCTATATTATATAAATATTTTATATATGAATAACACATTTTCTTAAATATATACATGCATGTGTGTGTATTTATATGTACAAAATAATTATATACAGCACACACAAATATATTATGTAAACACAGACTTTTATTTTGGATGCGATTAATCGCAATAAATTTTTGCACAGCCCTACTTTAAACACATTAAAATTTATTTTGTTTTCCTTAGTCTTCACTCTTCTTTCTACATTCTCCACTTGCTTTTCCAAATGTTGCGGTTCGAGTTTTATGTAAATTAGGGCGGGATTAAGCGTCTCCATTGGTCCTCTAGTTCTAGATTGACAGCTCCTCCTCTAGCCAATCAGTTACGATTGATCCCAGAATGCCGGTGTGTGTTTCAGGTTCTGGAGACGTGTGTGAAGAACTGCGGCCAGCGCTTCCATGTGTACGTCTGCGCTAAAGAGTTTGTGGAGGGCGTCCTGGTCAGATCGATCCTGCCCAAATACAACCCTCCCATGATCCTCCACGACCGAGTGCTGAGCCTCATCCAGGTGCGTCTCATGCAGGTGTGCGTATTACATGTGATACACACACCTGCATATCACAGGTGTTACTAGTTCACTTTTAAAAAAAAACTTTTGCTGATAATTTACTCACCCCCATGTCATCCAAGAAGAAATTAAGGTTTTTGATGAAAACATTCCAGGATTTTCTCCATATAATGGACTTCAATGGGAACCAAACGGTTCAAGGTCCAAATGAGAGTTTCAGTGCAAACAGTTCAAATGTCTTTAAACGATTCCAGATGATGAATAAGGGTCTTATCAAGCGAAACGATCGCTCATTTAATAAATAAATAACAAAGTTTAAGTTTTATAAGCTCAAATGCTCGCCTTGCTCTCAGAGCCGGCTTCAGACCGCTTTTAGCAGGGGGGCATTTATTTTCAATGGGTGGGCACTAGGTAGGTATGGGGACTTTTTTTCCCGATATTAGATATCCTATATTTATTATTGCTACTGCCTTTTTAGCTATTAACATGAAGTAATGCAACCCACACAATAAACACATAAAACATTACACATTGTTGCAAGACGAGCGACTCTTAAGAAATTTGATCAAGGGTTAAATAGGCCTATACAACAAAAAACAATTGCAAGACCGACTCTGACCACAGCTTTATAATAGCAAAGCTAACGAACATGTACATAGTCTCTCACTGACAGAATAGCCGTTTATATGCTATCTCAATGGCGGAAGTGAGAAAAAAAAAAAAGCTAAGTTACTCATCTTTATTCTGCTATGTTCTAGCATTTATATTCGTAGCCTTAAAAAAAGCATCATGTAGTTACCTTTATCAAATAAAACCTTTAACACCTTTAACAAATAAAAAACACCCACAACATACACAGATATTATTCTACAATTTCCATTTACAAGAAAATATAGGCTTAAACACCTGTTTCTCCACGGCGGGAGTGAGTGACATTTCAGGACAATGGGCAGCGCAAAAACTAGGCCAACTAAACTATTAGTTTCATCACGTGACAACACATAGTGAACATTACAGTACATGCCAGTTAGATAAATACACTTACGACTCGGACTCGACTGTCTTTGGTCTCGGTCTCGACTACAACACTGCACGGTAGAAGCACCAAATACCAAAGCCGGGCTGTCGTTGTCTTGCTGTATGGGGTAATCGATGTGTAAGGAGAAACTGTGGTATTGAACCATTTTCTAATTTCCATTTTTGGAGAGTTTTCATCTGTTTGCTTTGTTTTGAATGCAGGAAGCTCGCGCGGTCGCGCCAACTGAAAATTAACGTGCGTGATTGGGGGGGGCGGCAGGGGGGTTTCCCCACAGCGTCACACTGGTTTTTATGTTGGCTTTATTGTATTTTCAGCTAATGAGCCGTTTGTAGACATATATTTGTACTATTTCTCACTGAAATGTGAATTAAATTAAACTGATATTATTTTGTAAATTATATCATAATTCAATTTGGGGGGGCACAAAATACATATGGGGGGGCATTGCCCCCTAATGCCCCCCCATAGCGCCGGCACTGCTTGCTCTGTTCTGTGATGTGATGCGCGTTCGTGACTCTCCTGTTCGAACTCGTTCATCAAAATGAACGAATCTTTTTTCGAGTCATGACTCAAAGGGTCCCAGATAAGACCCTTATTCATCGTCTGGAATTGTTTGAACAGTTTGCACTGAAACTCTCATTTGGACCTTGAACCGTTTGGACCCCATTGAAGTCCATTATATGGAGAAAATCCTGGAATGTTTTCATCAAAAACCTTAATTTCATTTCGACTGAAAAAAGACAGACATGGACATCTTGGATGACATGGGGGTGAGTAAATTATCAGCAAAAGTTTTTTTTAAAAGTGAACGACTCCTTTAAAATGCTTGAATTTGTGAAATGTAAGTCCTGGAAAACCCTTTAAATCAGCCATGTTTATGAAAATGTACTTAAAAAGCGCTTGAATTATTGAAAGACAATATATGTGAAATTAGTGTGTAATTCAATCGATAAAACAATCTCTCCACTCATAATGAATCTGCAGTCCGTCTGATACAGATATAGAGGCGTTTCTCATGACTGTGAGTGTGATATTGCTCAGAGTATATGATACAGATTTCATTCTTAAGGTCAATCATATATTCATAGGAGAATAAATCAGTTTGAATAAGGAAAGCGATATCTTTGGTTCCACAGTCATTGCATCCACTGCATTTTATTAGTTTATCTATGTACCTTTTTGTCCTGAAAACCCCCAGTAGTGCTTGAAAGCTCCTTGGATTTGATCGTACAGTGTGTGTTGCCTGTTATTAACGCTACTCTGTGCTCCAGGCGTGGGCCGATGCCTTCAGGAACAGTCCGGCTCTGTCTGGAGTGGTGAGCGTATATGAGGATTTGAGGCGGAGAGGCCTGGAGTTCCCCATGACGGATCTAGACTCTCTCTCTCCCATCCACACACCCAACCGGGTAAATCTCACACACACACCGTCGTCCAGTGTCAAACATTGCTCTTTTAATTATCAGTGAATTTTACGTTTTCCAGACCTATTATGCTATTTTTAAAGGTTCCTTATGTTGTTTTAGAGGTTCCTACAATAGTTTTAAATGCATCAAAGATCAGAAAACACTTTAGTTTCCTCATAATCTGCACTGCAGCGTCAGCTCTCTCTAAGCTCCGCCTCTCTCCGCGATTGGTCAGAAAGCAAACGCTCATTATCATATCTGAATCTCAGCTCTTGATCACAGTGATACGAACACTAACGATGGCGTATCAATCACAAACAACACGAACCAAACTCTTCCAGTCTCAGATTCACTACAGTGATTGAGGGCGGGGCTAAGAGACGCTGTTCAGCCAATCAAGAGCATTATGCAAATGAGTTTCAAACCAAGGCAGGATCAGCAGGAAGTGAGACTGTAATAACTGACGACTCGCTTCAGTTCAGAATCCCTCATTTATCTGCACTTTGATCTTTTTAAACTTTGCAGAGCTTTTATGCTTTATTACACACTACATGAAAGGGATTATCCCACAAAGGGGCACTTTAATAAAAAGTCTAGTAGTTTTCTATGGTGAATATATAGAGGAGCAGCGTGAACATTCTGCTGAACGTCTTCTTTATGCTTCAATGCACATGTAATGTTGGAATGATCAGTAAATGATCCTGTCGTGTAACAGCTGACTCGTCATCATCTCTCTCAGAGTATTCCAGACAACGGGACGTCTCCCTCATCCGTGTCTCCGTCTGCTTCCAGGACACGCACTAACTCGTCACCAGCGGCACACACTCCTCAGTGCGTCCCATCCAACGGACAACTGACCCCTGTGTCAGCTGAGGAGGTACAAACACACACGCTCTCGTGCGTCGTCATGAAAGTGAAGTTGCGCTGGTCTTCTCTATTGTGTCATGTATCAACATGACATCATGACTTTTGCGTAAACATATACGCCACTTTCGAATCAGGTGGCGTGTTATCTCTACGCATTTTGAGCATTTTGAGGAAGGATTAAGGTGCACACTGGTGCTCAGGGGTTAAAAGTCAGGGCTTTGGGTTGCTCAGGGGTTTGGTGTGCTCGGGGGTTAAAGGTCAGGGGTTTAGGGTGCTCAGGGGTTAAAGTTCATGGGTTTAGGGTGCTTGGGGGTTAAAGGTCAGGGGTTTGGGGTGCTCGGGGGTTAAAGGTCGGGGATTTGGGTTGCTCAGGGGTTAAAGGTCAGGGGTTTGGGGTGCTTGGGGGTTAAAGGTCAGGGGTTTAGCCTGCTCAGGGGTTAAAGATCAGGGATTTGGGGTGCTCAAGACTTAAAGGTCAGGGCTTTGGGGTGCTTGGGGGTTAAAGGTCAGGGGGTTTGGGGTGCTCGGGGTTAAAGGTCAGGGGTTTGGGTTGCTCAGGGGTTAAAGGTCAGGAGTTTGGGGTTCTTGGGGGTTAAAGGTCAGGGCTTTGGGTTGCTCAGGGGTTAAAGGTCAGGGGTTTGGGTTGCTCGGGGGTTTGCGGTGCTTAAGGGTTAAAGGTCAGGGGTTTGGGTTGCTATGGGGTTAAAGGTCAGAGGTTTGGGTTGCTCGGGGGTTTGGGGTGCTCAGGGGTTAAAGGTCAGGGGTTTGGGTTGCTCAGGCGTTAAAGATCAGGGGTTTGGGTGTATTGGGGGTGCTCAGGGGTTAAAGGTCAGGGGTTTGGGGTGATCAGGGGTTAAAGGTCAGGGGTTTGGTGTGCTCAGGAGTTAAAGGTCAGGGGTTTGGGGTGCTTGGGGGTTAAAGGTCAGGGCTTTGGGTTGCTCAGGGGTTTGGGGTGCTTGGGGGTTAAAGGTCAGGGCTTTGGGGTGCTCAGGGGTTAAAGGTCAGAGGTTTGGGGTGCTCAGGGGTTAAAGGTCAGGTGTTTGGGTTGCTCAGTATGTGTGTGTGTTGGTTCTGACTGGTTGTTCTCCAGAAGCAGAAGCTGAGATCTGAACTGGATCTGGTCAAAGGAAATCTGACCGTCATGACTGACATGCTGAATCACGTCCAACCTGGAGAAACTTCAGCATCGGACGCAGAACTGCTGCAGGTGTGTGTGTGTGTTAGCCTGCGCTTTACTAGTCGCGTTTTGATCATGACTAACCTGTGTGTGTGTGTGTGTGTGTGTGTGTGAGAGCAGCAGCTGCATTCGGTGTGTAAGCAGATGCAACAGAGGGTTGTGGAGTTGATTCCTAATCTATCAGAGGACGAGATGATCGGAGAACTTCTGCTGATCAATGATGACCTCAACAACGCGTTCATCCGCTATGAGAGGTGTGACACACACACACACACACACACACAGGTGGCGTTCCAGTATAATCCAGTGTCCAGATCTTCAGTATCACTCTCTCTCTGCATAATGACAATATAATAATATGGTTGTCACGTAAAGCAGGATTGAATGACACGGGGTCAACTGATGTTTCATCACGTGTTAAAATAGAGTATGCTAGTTGATAATCTTGAGACTTTTAAATGTAAATGGGAAGTAAATCAATGTGTGTGTGAAGTTGATATTGATGGTAACCTGCAAGTTAATGTCTGAGGTGTATAAATGACATATATTTTTGAAATTGAGAAATATATATATAAGAAACCTCAAAAGTCTCTCTCTCTCTCCTCTGGTTGAAGGTTTGACCGCTTGAACACGCAGAAATCACACACAGAAGGACAGCAGGAATCGCAGGTTAGCCTTCATCTGTTCTGTCCGACTCATGATCGTGTGCACATCTCCTCTAGTGGAGGCGTTCGGTACTGCAGCCGAACACACACACACTCACTCACTGAACGCTCGTTTACTGATATTAACCACAGATTTGGAACACAACGTGTTTAGATGTATGGCTTTGACTTTCACAGTTTTAGAGTAAAATGTGTTTTGGAAAATATAGATATTGTATAAATAAAATACAGGGGCGGGGCATATTGACATTTATCCACATATCTACGCAATAATTTATGTGACCAGACTGAGAATGGAAACCTTATTGACCTCAGCCCTGAGTCTCCATCACCCAATCAGAACACTCCCCCAGCTGTCAATCAACACGGGCCCCGCCCTCCATCTGACCTCACAAACCGTTCAGGTGAGAGAGATCCAGTTATGTGGTTTCATTGAGTGTAAGAGCCATGGACATAACCTGTGTGTGTGTGTGTGTGTGTGTGTCAGCGCCTGAAGACGAGGAGTTTGACATGTTTGCTCAGACGAGGAGCAGTTCTCTGGCCGAACAGAGGAAGAGGTTTGTGTTTGACACAGTTCATCTGAAGGTCTTTATAGGGCATGTGAAGTGAGACGTGTGTGTGTGTGTGTGTGTGTGTGTAGTGTTCGGTACGAGGATCCGGGTGCAGTGGACGGTCTGGCTGAAGCTCTGGACACGCGACTGCAGGTGACGGCAGGGGTCAGTACACACACACACACACACACATGATCACACATGTACAGTACTGTGTCTGACGTGCAGGAGTGTGTTTGTGTGTGAAGGACGGCGAGAGCGACTGGGTCCGTCAGTCTCAGTGGATTTACAGTGAGGGTCTGGTGGGTTTCACGGAGTCGCCGACACACACTTCCGAACTGCAGCAAATATCAGCACTGAAACACTTCAGAACACACACACACACACACACTCAACAGTTTCTGTAAATGTAGAAGAGCATGCTTTGGGTTTTATTATTAAAAAAAAAATAATAATAATAATTTAAAAAAATATAATTTTGTTCATGTCACTTGTGACACGTGAATCATAATATAATAATAAAAAGTGTACTAAAATAGGCCTAAATGATTTACTTTAATGCTGTGAAAATTAATATGTACAGTGTTGGCACCCATGCTAAAGTCGCCTAAAAAGAGGAATAAAAAATCATCTTTTGGATATTGATCTTAATGCCTTAATTAGAAAAATTAGGAAAACTCCAACCTTTAAGGACACCAATTTTCTTTGTGAATGAATAATGTATCATAAATAAATAAATGAAGAGTTCAGATGCAAAAGCCTCTAAGTGCCATTTGAAATTTTCTTCTAGAATGATCATTTTTATCAAGCTTGTATATTTAAGTTCAGTGATTTCGCTTAAATGGCAATGATAATTACCTATTAATTGTTATTTAAGTGAAATTACTGAACTTAAATATACAAGTTTGATAAAAATCATCATTAAAGAAGAAAATTTCAAATGGCGTTTAGAGGCTTTTGCATCTGAACTCTTCAAATGTTTTTCCTTAAAATACAGGGTGCATAAGTCAGGACACCCCCATGTTAAAAATAAAAATTAAATTTTAATACCAAAGGCCAAGGGAACTTTATCAGGATGCATATTATCCGGGATTCATGAAATAACTGGCTTTTAAAAATAAAAATCTGCCTGGCTCTATGGGAATTTAACATAGGGGTGTCCTGACTTATGCACCCTGTATTTTAAGGAAAAACATTTATTTATTTATGATACATTATTCATTCACAAAGAAAATTGGTGTCCTTAAAGGTTGGAGTTTTCCTCATTTTTCTAATTAAGGCATTAAGATCAATATCCAAAAGATGATTTTTTATTCCTCTTTTTAGGCGACTTTAGCATGGGTGTTCAAACTTATTCACATCACTGTATATAAGTAATTGTAATATGTATAATGCAGTCTGATTCGTGGAAGTTTATTTCCGCCACAGAATTTTTATTTTATTTTATTTAACCTTTATTTTACCAGGGAATAAAATCACATTGAGATTATTACAATCTCTTTTACAAGTGAGCCCTGGCCAAGAAGGCAGCACATAGAGGATAACTTACACAAACATACTGGGATGCACAAGAATATAAAAACAGAAAATCACTTTTTTTTAAAAATCACAAACATTTTGACAAATTTGACCCAGGTAGGACTTGAACTCAGTATGTGAAATAAAAACCTGCATTTTGCAATTCATTCCATGACGTTGGAGCACTGTAACTAAAAGCAGTTTTAGTTTGTGGAACATCATACAGTATGTATCTTGATCTTAGATTGTATTTCGATTTACTAGGTGAAAAAAAAAAATTTTCTCATGAAAAATTAACTCGTTAATTCAGAAAAACAGCAAAAAAAAATTTCTCATGAAAAATTAACTCATTAATTCAGAAAAACAGAGCAAAAAAAATTTTCTCATGAAAAATTAACTCGTTAATTCAGAAAAACAGAGCAAAAAAATTTTCTCATGAAAAATTAACTCGTTAATTCAGAAAAAAAGAGTAGATTTTTTTTTCTTCAAGTGAATGCAATACGCCTCCGTAATATCCCGCAATATTGAGGAGAATAAAATCAGAGTTGTGAGATTAAAAAGTCCCAATTATCTTATAAATAGTTTTATACCGTGGCAGAAACAAGCTTCCATACTGATTAAACTCGAGATATCTCTGTGCACTTTATAACGGTGCTTTTTAATATTTATTTCTATACTGGAAAAGGAGGACGTCATTTCTCTAAGAGCTTAAATTTGGATGGCAGAATTGAATCTGCACATTAATAGCGGTTATCTCAAATAATTGTCATTAGATCAAATAATGATGATGAATCAATAATCACAGCATGTTTGTGGGGTGTGTCTCCGCCGTCGGTGATGGTCGGCCGTTGCCCGTTGTGTGTGTGATCTGCACAAGGGAAACTTTCCAATCACACTGATGGATCAGCATCACACACTGAGATGTTGTGAGGAACGTTTGTGTTGTTTTGTGTCCGTCAGGCTCCGGCTCCACGCAGCTCCGCCATGGATGACATCGAGAGGTGGTTGTGTGCAGAGATGGTGAGGAAAGATCTGTTTTTACTCTGATCAATATATGTGTGTGTAATGCTGATCAGCAGCGCCACCTGCTGGAGTCACAGCACAGCACACACTGATGAGGATCTATTCTGCTTTTAACCAACCTTCCCGTCTCTCTCGAATCAACACTGAGTGAGTGAGCCTGCAGTTCCTCCACTGGCCACTAGAGGCGCTGCAGAAGAGACTCACTCCCATAGACCCGCATGTTAAAATGGCCAACTTTACAGCAGAATAAAACATGTTTACAGTCTGGTGCAAAACGTGGTGTTGGTCTATATCGCTAATGTTGCCCTTCATGACGACTGTGAGGGGGTGAATATTTTTACAACTCATCCGTTTAAATATTATTTTAAGCCTTAAAGTTCTGCATAATTAAAGGTGTGGCCACTTGAGTGACAGGTGGATTGCCACTGATGTCACTGCTAGCCGTTTGCCTGCTAGTGTTAGCATCACCTCAGCTAATCCGCCTCACTGAAAACCTGTTCTAGGAGAGCCTGAACACATCAGGAGTTTGCTTGACCTTCCACATCAGCCGTGATTGATTCACTACTATTTTCCATACAAATTTTTTTTTAAATATTTATGAGAAATAGACACCACCCTGCAAAAAAAATGCCTTTCTTTTTTTTTTTTTACTAGATAAGTAAAATTACATAAGAAATTGTTGAAATGAAATTGTCATTTAAACACATTGATGTTTTTCAGCCTGACGTTGATGAGAGTGAGGGTGTGACCAGTGAAGGTGAGTCTGTGCTGATGTTTATTGCTCATTATATCACACACACACACACACACACTGTGAGTCATCCGTCATGTTTTCTTCTCGCTGACAGAGTTTGATAAGTTTTTAGCGGGCAGAGCTGAAGCTGCAGATCATCTTCCCTTGATGAATAACGTCTCGTCAAGCCCTCGACAGGCGACGCAGGAGCAAAGCCACGAGCACATCTTCACGCTCTGAGCATCACACAGGAAGTCCCGAACGCATCACTTCCTGTGCTCAAATCCTCATGGTCCTTAAGGAAGACTCCCACTGCAGATCCTCAACTTCATTTCACATTTCACAGAGAGTGTGTGTGTGTGTGTGTGTGTGAGAGAGAGATTGTGTTTGTACCTTTTGACCACTCATAAAAACAACCAATAAGCTGTTTGTTGCATTTGTAAGTTAATTTGTATTAACATGTGTGTATTCACTGAGTGTAAAACGCATTAATTTATGTTGTGAATTAACCGTGATGATAAGAATGACTTGTCTTACCTCTGACTGAATAAATAGACATTATAATATTCATATTTGTTTCAGATTGTGTGGTTTGATGGTTGTTAAGCTGGATCTGTAAGTGTGTTAAAATGTGATTTTTTTCCACATAAGCAGCAAAACCAGTGTGTCTAGTTTGAGTTTCATCACTCGAGGGATAGTTCTAAAAAATTACACTTTATGGCACAATTTGTGTTCCAAAGCCGGTGTGTGTGTTTAAAGTCGCCAATTAAAATTCAAACGTGTGTAGAATATTGCAGTATTATTTAAAGGCTAAGTGATTTATCCGTCATTATTTTTAAATGAACGTGCCTTCGTTATAATTTACGTTTTGGAATAGTAATCCACACAATGGCACAGAGAAGCTAACAGAAATACGTTTGCCAAATTATGCAACACTCAGGTACAATATTTAAAATTTTATTATAAAAATATATATACAAATGGTTACAAAATAATTCTGACACAGGAATTTCTCAAGAGGTCATTTGAATAAATGAACTAACATACAATCATGGTAATTATTACTGATATGATAAAATAACACGTTTATTTGCCGTTATGTTTTCAGAGTGCTACTGATTTCCGCTTTAAAAGGCGTAGACCATCCCGACGGCCAGAACCACAAACACGCCGAGCAGCGCCCGCAGGAGCCGGGGCATCAGCGACGAGGATCCCTGCGGTGACTCACACACTCCGGCGCCTGAGGAGAACACAAACACGCTTAAAACACGGCGCGCCGAAACACGAATCACGAGAGCCGACGCGAGCCGGTGTTTACCTGCTGTGGTCGTCGTGTTCTGCTGGTGTTGTGTGTGTCTCTGTCTTATTTCCGGTTCTGTCTCTGACACGCGGCTCACCGAGTCCTGAAGTTCGTTAAAGACCTGAGGAGGAGACGAGAACAAACGATCAGCTCATCCACGGCAGCGCCAGTCACTCGTCACGGGAGCTGCTGTTATTGGACCGGAACACTTTTTATAACACCCGATGTACTCGAATATCGAAGAAGTCAGCCGAACCGCGGCCATTTAAAAGGATAGTTCGCCCAAAAATGTAAACTCTGTCAGTAATGACTCTCCCTCATGTTGTTGTTCAACCCCGTAAGACTTTTGTTCATCTTCGAAACACAAATGAAGATATTTTTAATTAAATCTGCGCAAAAAACAAAACAAAAATAACTACGTTATTCAACTATTAATCACACACATGACCAGCGTCGGCCAATAGTGAGCCTGCGTGTGATGTACGCTGTTGAACTCACTCGAGGCCCACAGAGAAGGAAATGAATATTTGAATAAAATCGTTTTTTTTTTTTTTGCGCACAAAAAGGATTTGCATCATTTGATAATCCTAAGTTTGAACCGCTGTAGTCACTCGGACTATTTAAACAATGTCTTTAATAACTTTCTGGGCCGGCAAGTTTCAAATACAATAGAAGCCTATGGAGGAGTGATCCAGCTCTCAGATTTAATCAGAAATATCTTAATTTGTGTTCTGACGATGAACGAAAGTCTTACGGGGTTGAACGACACGAGGGAGAGTCATTACTGACAGAACTTTCATTTTGGGGTGAACTAACCCTTTAATATTCAACAATATTATTACGAGAACTGAACTGGACGATGACATCACTGTTTTCTCCAGAGCGGCCGGCAATATGTATATATATATATACATATGAAGAGTTCAGATGCAAAAGCCTCTAAATGCCATTTGAAATTTTCTTCTTTAATGATGATTTTTATCAAACTTGTATATTTAAGTTCAGTAATTTCACTTAAATGGCAATGATAATTACCTATTAATTGTTATTTAAGTGAAATTACTGAACTTAAATATACAAGTTTGATAAAAATTATCATTAAAGAAGAAAATTTCAAATGGCATTTAGAGGCTTTTGCATCTGAACTCTTCATATATATATTAATATAAGAACTAACTTAATGACTTTTTTTACAACAAAAATGAACCATTACTGATGCTATTTTCCTTCTAGAAACAAACTTTGTTGCATTATTTTCCTGTTTTCACTTTGAAAAGTGCGGTATAAAGGTGAGAAGGAGCGCTCACCTGGACGTTGAGCTCGAATGCGTGGACGGCCTCGCTCAGGACGCCGCTCCTCTGCTCCTCCGTCAGCTCGATGCTGTTCATGCGACTCCTGTACAGCTGCTTGAAGAGGTTCGGGCTGCTCACGCCCGGAAACGAGAAGAACGACAAGCCCTCTCCGTTGCTCAGGCCTAATGACTTCTGCGTGATGCGGGCCAGGACCTGCCCCCCCGACAGGTCGCCCAGGTAGCGTGTGTACGCGTGCGCCACCAGACGCTCGGGGTGATCTCTGCCCACCTGAGAGACACAACACACACATTCAGAGCCACGGGAGGGACCCTCCAACGCCAGAGGTGGAAATGACATAACATCTCAAACGCGACATTGACAAACTCAGGTGTATTTGTTACACATTTGGTTAAATTTGACATATAATAAATACATTTCTCAATTGCATTATTTTAAAAAGCCTGAAATAATGCACTGTAGTGTTTGAACATATCGATACTGAAATTTCTGAAATGCTTCCAATACTCATTTTCCTCAGAATAGAAACACTATCTCTGCGACAGCATTTGTTAACATTAGTAAACATACATTATCTGCATTAGTTCAGATGAACTAACAATTGAAAATACTTCTAAAGCATTTTAATTTTAAGCATGATTCTCAATGCCGATAATCTCACAATGGCCAGATATCAATGCGTTTCCATTACAGATTTGCGCAAAACTTTTGCGAATTTATCTAATTATTGTTAAAAAACGATTGCGAAATTACAGCGTTTGCATTAATCGATGTTATGCCATTAAAACGTCATTTTTTTCCACATGCGATAAGTCATTCCAAACATCATGGCGACAAACATTTACAGAGGCGTATTGCATTCACTTGAAGAAAAAAAATCGACTCTGTTTTTCTGAATTTACGAGTTAATTTTTCATGAGAAAAAAAAGTTTTTCTCTGTTTTTCTGAATTAATTTTTCATGGAATTTATTTTTGCTCTGTTTTTCTGAATTAACGAGTTAATTTTTCTGTTTTTCTGAATTAACGAGTTAATTAGCTCGTGACTGGCGTTTCTTTGAGGTTTAGAATCCAGTATTCCTGTAATTCTTTTGTCTTTTATGAATTTAATCTCATATTCTGTCCAAACACAATCAGGTGACTGGAAATGCGTTTCCATTGCAGTTTTGCGCAATATTTATTTTTCGAATACATGCGAGTATAAAAACTTTTTTGTGAAATTGAGGGTATTTTTAAAAGGGTAACGTAAACGCGTCTACGGATGTGTTGTGTGTGTTCACCTCTCTCAGTCTGCGGGCGTATCTCAGCGTGGCGGCCGGCACCGTGATCTTCTCCTTCCAGTCCTGGCCGTAGAAGTGCTCCAGGTCTTTCCCGACGGACTCCAGCCGGCCCAGCTCCTGAGGGAAGTATATGGGAGCCACGGCATCATGGGAAGCGTTCCTGTCCAGCTCTTCCTCCAGCGCCTCGTATATCTTATACAGCGAACACAAGAGCAGCTGAAACACACAGCAGAAGCAAACCAGGTTAGATATACAGGGAATCATCACGAAGACCAAATCTCAGACCGATTTGCATTTTCTTCTTTTTTTTGCAAGAGTGTTTTTCTCTTAATTTCTTCTTTTGTTTCTTTCAGAGTAATTATAGCCTATATTTTGGTGTATGCAAATCCAAGATATTTTTTTTTGTTTGTTTTTGTCGTTATTGTTATTTGAAAGAGATACAATCATGTTTCATTTCCCTGATCGTGTGTGTGTGTGTGTGTGTGTGTTCTGCAATAGAAAAAAGAAAGAAAAGATTGTTATCTCAGAATAAACCCCGACAGGTGATCAGGATTTTGCATAAACTCAGACAGACAGTGTCTTAAGGTCTAGAATGATAAACTAGCAGTCTTACTTTTCAGAATCAAATTAGCCCATAAATGTACGTTTTTACGTTTTATGAAAATTTAAAGAAAAAAATTTATGACTAACTTGTAAAGTTTTGGTGTATGCAAATCCAAGTTATTATTTTTTTTTTTTGCATATTTATTTATTTATTTTTTTTGCAACTTGAAAGACTAGTCTAGCGGTTTCTGGAACTGACGGCAGGTCTGAAGATGTCTACACTGAGATAACAACCGGCTGGATGTACACTATCCCGTTTATTACACCGATACTTGCCACATCAGTAAAGCGAGTGTATAGCGCTAATGACTTCAGTGACCCGGATGAGCCTGTGTTTTTGACCAATCAGAATCAAGTATTCCACAGAACTGTGTAATAATAAATAATAAACTAGTAATAATAATAATAAACTACGGTTAATACCAACTTCTAACGTTAGTTGAATATAGTGATATAGTCACTCGCTGTGTGTCGCTGTGTGTGTGTTGGACACACTGCGGGTCGCATTACCTGGTACTGTTGAAGCGACACGTGTCCTCTCTGGTAGCTCAGCATCAGCTCGGTGTTTTCCGCGCGCACGTGACTGTCTTTAGTCGCAGCTTTGATCAGCTCTGAGAGATCACTGAGGAAACACACAATCAGAATGATGAAGTCAGTAACACACACTAAGCACAGATAGATAGATAGATAGATAGATAGATAGATAGATAGATAGATAGATAGATAGATAGATAGATAGATAGATAGATAGATAGATAGATAGATAGATAGATAGATAGATAGATAGATAGATAGATAGATAGATAGATAGATAGATAGATAGATAGATAGATAGATGTCAGTATTACCTGTCTGTGATTGCTGTCTGTGTTTTCTCAATCGTCTCCATTTCTCTGAAAAACAAATCAACACTATGAAACTTTGCACGGGTTAATAAAGTGCATCCTGGAGCTGCTCGTGTCAATATAATCCTCTCATGAACCAGACAGTGCAATTAAAATCTCTTAAAGGAGTAATTCACTTTTAAAAAAAACATTTGCTGATAATTTACTCACCCCCATGTCATCCAAGATGTCCATGTCTTTCTTTCTTCAGTCGAAAAGAAATTAAGGTTTTTGATGAAAACATTCCAGGATTTTTCTCCATATAATGGACTTCAATGGGGTCCAAAAGACAGTTTCAGTGCAAACTGTTCAAAGGGCTTTAAACGACTCCAGACGATGAATAAGGGTGTTATCATCGCTCATTTAAAAAATAAATAACAAAGTTTAAGTTTTATGAGCTCAAATGCTCGCCTTGCGCTGTTCTTTGTGACTCTCCTGTTCGAACTCATTCATCAAAATGAACGAATCTTTTTTCGTGTCATTTGGTTCATTCAACGAACGAAATGAACGAGTTGACTCGGGAAAAGATTCGTTCATTTTGATGAACGAGTTCGAACAAGAGAGTCACGAACGTCTTTTGGACCTTGAACCGTTTGGTCCCCATTGAAGTCCATTATATGGAGAAAATCCTGGAACGTTTTCATCAAAAACCTTAATTTCTTTTCGACTGAAGAAAGAAAGACATGGATATCTTGTATGACATGGTGGTGAGTAAATTATCAGCAAAAGTTTTCTTAAAAGTGAACTACTCCTTTAAGGGGATAGTTCACCCCAAAATAATTTCATTTGACGGCACCCATTGACTTCCATTGTATTTTGTTTTCTGTGGCAGTCAATGGGTGCCGTCGTCAACGGTCTGGTTTGCAGTATTCTTTAAGATTCAACAGCAGAAATGAACTCCAGGTTTACTCACTCGGCCTGTGTGTGTCGGTCCTCAGCGGGTCTCGGGATCTGAACTGGAGTCCGGCTCTCTCCTGTTTTATACTCTCTGAGAAACAGGAACTCAAACAAAGGCAGGGAGGAGGAGGAGCAGAGCTAAACATGACACGACACATTCAGGAGGAGGAGCAGAGATGTGGAAAACATGACTGAGGAACAAATTCAATCACGTCCACCTTTCAGCAAGCAATAGCCGTCATTTGACCGTCCAGGTTAACTATCGACCCGATGTAGTCCGGCTATGAGTAACACACTTCCAGACAAAGTAACCTGGTTACATATTTTTGACCAAATGATGTTTGATATTCCATCATGTACTCAAAGTAAACAGTCATTATAAAGTGTTATATTTATTTGATTAACTGATGTCTATTCTTACACGTCCATTATATTTTCACTGAAAGTCCAAGTTTTAGTTAGACTTCTGGGCTGTGTTTGGACGTCTATTAGACGTCTTTTGAGCGCAAAATTGCTTGCTGAGCTACAGGTGTTCACGTGACATTGGGATATATGGGATTGTCTGTTCTCTGAATGTGATCAGTAAAGTTTAGTGGTGGAAAAAAAAGAATAGTTCACTGGTTAGCTCTAAAAAACCTTATAATATAAGCTCAAGAGTCCGAATAATGCGCGTCTGTTATGAAGACCATCTTACATAAGAGCTGCAGGATAATAAAGTCGCGTGATTTATTATTATTGGCTGTGATTTGTCGAGTAGCGATAAGAAACGCAGCAGTAATCTGGAGCCCGATGTTGAAACCGTGAGTCAGCATGAACGCGCTAACCATGAGCGAGCGGAGAGAGAGGGAGCGCGCTTAACATGAGCGAGCAGAACGGTTAAACGTGACTCGACACAATCCAGAACTCTGAACCCGAGACTTGCTCTTTTTTACAGTTTGTGATTTCAACACTTCGGGGTGATTCATTATGTAAACATTATACTCACACACATATAGTTCACAGGGAATGTTTTGATACTCAGAATGAAACCTGTCTGATTCAGTCTGTGCGCGTGATCAAATAACGATCAGTTCAGATCTCTCGCCTTTTCCAGTCGGGGTTGTTTGGACTCAAACAGCAGGGATATTATAATCTATATGCCAAAATACAGTCACATTCATATTTAGAATAGATGGAGATATACGAGTACTCTTTGTCAGTCAGCTCACCGAGATGAGATTCACGCTCGACTCGTTCCTCCTGTCCGCTAGAGGCGCCCGAGTGCATGATGACGCCACACTCTCGAACCGTCGCGAGAGAAACTGACCGCGCAGCGCGGAGCCAAGATGGCGACAGGAGACGCATGAAATTTGATGAAGGTAATATGTGGAAATTGATCGAATGACTGAAACTACATTTTATCACACGATTGTACGCATGTTTAATGTTTTGATTCTCAATTGAACATGCTTCGCTTTGTCTGAATTACACTGTGAATCACTAATAGGGTTTAAAGTTTTGCCAGTTAGCGTGTTAGCATATACAGGGCTAATAACAACAACACAAACACATATTCATACATTCTCCAATACACACTAGGAACAGGTTCATTCATATTTATATACGTACTATAATTTAACTCGCAAACCTATACATGTAAACACACACACACACCAGTAACACAATATGTTTCTATTTACAGCTGTAAAAATAAGTTTGTGAACACATCTGCCCTGTCAATGATCCTACACCATCTTTAGTTGTGAAAAGTACAATCGTTTGTGTGTTATTACTAGTTTAGTCAGATTGTGTCTGTAACCGTGACTCAAGATCAGACCACATTTTATTAATAATTAATGGAGAAATCCAGATGCCCTCAAAGGGTTCACAAACTTATTCTCGCCACTGTATAATGTGTGTGTGTGTGTGTGTGTAGATGGAGGGTGAGGTGAGTCTGGTCGCCGGCCGCAGTCAGAGAGAAAAAAGAAGATCCTACAAAGATCTGCTGAGAGAAGAAGAGATCATCGACGCAGAGGTTCGAAAGACCTCCAAGAAACGGCTGAAGGTACCGATGAAAGACTCGCATCACTGACATCATCATCATCATCATCATCCGTGTGTGTTGTGTAGTAACAGATCTCTGCTCTCTACAGGACGCTGATGACTTTTACCCTGCCAGCGACTTTCACAAGAAAAAGAAGCATTATGAGGATCATTTCTACAGAGGTGTGTGACAACAGTCGCTCGCCTTTCAATTCTATAAGTGTTTTTTCCCCCATTAATTTTCCCCATGCGATATTCCAGAAACTTTGAGGTTGAATTACTACCTTGTCTGTTATTGAAAAAGGGAATGAATTACTTATCCCATGAAGAATTGCAAATGATTAATACATAAAGTTTAACAAAATGTAAGTTAATCAGTAGTTTGAGAGTTTTTCCTTCGTTCTGTCGTCTGATGGAGTTAATGTGTCTTGCCACTGTCACCTTTGGTGTTGCTTTTTTGGCGTTTAAAACACACTTAATATTCAGTAATATTGATATATGATTTTGATGATGATATCACTGTTTTCTCATATATATCACTGTCTCACAATTGATGAATTTGGCAGCATCAACATTTTTGAATTATTATAGATTATAGCTGAATTTCACTAATTTCATAATATATTGACTTTACACAGTTATTGAACTGAACTGACTTTAGCTGAATAATGGCACTATTGTCTTTTAACACAGAACTGAATTCTGTTTGCATCATTATTTTCCATGAAGCTGCCTTTGAAATAATCTGTTTTGAATAAAGCCCTATAGAAATAAAGATTGACTCGGTTCAATTCGCAACACTTCATGAGAATAGGCGTAACAGAGACTTGATTTGATTGGCGGATCACTTTTCAGGATTATGGGTAATGTAGTTCTGCGACTTAGGATTCAGAATTAGTCCCTCTGGATCATATATCACCAAATCAGCTTCATTTCCATTGCGCTTTATACAATTTAGATTGTTTCAAAGCAGTTTCACAGAAAATAACAGAATCAGTGTTGCAAACAAACCATTCAAATTACGAATACTTTAGTTCCAACTTGTCTATAAAACATATTCTTTTGGCCTGCCCAGTTTTTATTGTTACAAGACGGCGCTTTTTTATCAGGACAAACTTTTAAGGACTTGTTTATTGGTCCAGATTATTATTTATTTTTTACAATTTTTAGCACATTTAAAAAATCTTTTATAGAATCGATGTACTTTTTGTTTTCACTATATTGTAATCATGGTATTAAGTTGTTAAAAGTTTAATCTGCTGGTGATGCTGATATGGCAATAAACTGAAATGAAAACAGTACAAAGACAAATTCGCTTATCTATTCAGCAGACACCGTTCAGTGTTTAATTGTAGTGTCTGTTCTCTAACTGTTAAATTATTATTATTATTTTAATCGACGGTGGGCAAGCGGTGTAACCGCTCTTGCTTCTGAACACCGACTATCGTTGCCAGCCTAGCGTTGAGTTGTCCATGTGTCTCTCGTGTAGATCATCACAGCTCCGGTTCTCACCACAAAAAGAAGAAGCGTCCCTCGGAGAGCCAGCGCTCGCTCCTGACGGCCGTGGAGCCGGCCGGGTCACCTCAGACAGCCATGGGTCTCCTGCAGGCCATCACCTCTCCCACAGCGGTGGGCACAGAGACGCTGTTCCCCTCGTCAAAGGAGCGCAGGAAGGACATCAGAGACTCCGCCCCCTGCAGGAAGGACATCAGAGACTCCGCCCCCTCCTGCAGGAAGGACCCCCGAGACTCCGCCTCCTCCAGGAAGCAGCCACATGTGGTGCGGGAGGGGCTTCCTGTGGTGGGCCAGGAGGTGGAGCTAGAAGGTGAGGAGATACTCGCGTCATCCCCGATCTCGGGAACCCAACAGGAAGTTGATGTTTTCATGCTTGTTAGAGGGAACATTTTATTAGAGGCGTTGTTTTTTATGCATGTACACGATCATTTTCTCCCGAAAAGCGTTTTGCGGTTTGCGAAAACGTCGGAGTGAGATGATCTGAGGATCAGTTGAAGAATATTCAACACTTAAAAACAAAAAAATAAAATCTAAACTATGACAGAAAGTTGTTTTTGATCATGTCTAATAGGGCTGTCAAATAAAAATTGGATTTTTGAATATTCTTTGAATTTAAAAAAACTGGCCATTGTTTTCTATGCATGAAAACGTCAGAGTGAGATCTGTCTAGAAAACAACAGCTTTATTTCTATAGCTCTTTATACAGTTCAGATTGTCAATACCTGATAAAACGAATCAATCATGTCTGCAAACACTGTTCTTAGAAGTGAGAGTTTGATCAGCCTAAAGGTGTGTGTGTGTGTGTGTGTAATGATGTGTCCCTCAGGGTGTCACGACGGCGCCGACAGCAGCGGCTCGTCCTCCGCTGACGACAGTGAAGGAGGGAAACTCCTGATCCACGATTCCTCGTCTCAACACGGCAGCAGGAAGAAGAAGAAGAGCAAAAAGAGCAAGAAGAAGAAAGAGCGAGACCGGCCGCGTGAGAAGAAGCACAGCAGTAAATCAGCCAAGAGAATAACAGCAGGTGCAAACCAAACGCCTCTGTGTGTCTTAAAGGTGCAGTGTGTAATTATTCAGGAGGATCTGTTGACAGAAATGCAATATCATAAACATAACTGTGTGTTCAGTGGTCTTACATAACGAACCGTTACGTTTTTATTAGCTTAGAATGAGCGTTTCTCTACACACACACACACACACCGCGGGTCCGCTTACATCCATGTTTCTACGGTGGCCCTGAACGGACAAACGCGTTTCGTCACTATGTTCTTCTTTGTGTAAAGAAGCGAATAAAACACTCACACAACGATGGACAAGTTACAATAATATTCACAATAAACATAATTTCTTAATTTACCTTAGTTAAGATAAAATCTCAGACAACGACATCACTTCCTGTCGGCCGCCGTAACTTCTGTTGGGTGCAGTTCACAACCTCACCACTAGATGCTGCTAAAAATTACACACTGCACCTTTAACGTCTGTGCTGCTCTCATGCTGACCTTTGACCCCTCTCTCAGCCAATGGCAGCACAGAATGGAGCGCGTTCACTACAGGTCATCACAGCCACGAGGAGAAGAGGAGGAAGAGTAAGGAAGGAGGCAAACGCAAGAGCAAAGACAAGGTGAGCAAACCACTGACACTCCAGATGAGTCTAAACACAGAGACCGTCTCACTCACGTGTGTGTGTGTGTGTGTGTGTGTGTATGCGCAGAAGAAGAAGGTCTTGACGGCGTATCAGATCTTTTATAAGGAGTACAGAAACAGCATTCTGGAGGAAGAGCCGGGCCTCGGTGGGTTCATCTTCATCTTCATCAGTCAGCCTGTGTGTGTCTCTGTATGTAGATGTTTGATTATCAGCTTCAGTCATGACTAAAGTGAGCAAACACAGCTGAGTCTGTTTGCTCCTGAAACATGCACAGGGATCTCTTATCACTGTCAAGCATCTCAATTAAAACAGATCAGCCAATCAGATTGGAGCTTGCTGTTTGCTTGTCACAGTATAAGTTGTTTTAACAGTGATCTATTTGATACAGTAGCAGAAACTCACCCTGAGAGCAATTACAAACCATGATGTCAACTTTTAAACATTTATTTTTACAATGGTGGACAAAATAATTTGGGGTTTTTGAATAATTCAGTTTTTAACATCTAAAAAAACTCTTTACACATGAGCAAGTTAACCAATAATAAATGTGTTAATTACAGTGGCAATGAATGAAGAACTATTTGTATATAGCCTTTTGATGTATTTAAGTATATTACTGTATATAAACTATGAATTAACTGTAACCTAATAGTTTACAGATTGATAAACTGTAAGTACTTTAGTGTTGTATACTTGTATACAGTGTTACTGAACTGTGAATATACAATGAAGTGTAATTTATTCCTGTATTTTACTCCAGTCTTCAGTGTCACATGAAATCACTGTAATATGAGGATCTGATGATCAAGAAACATTTATGATTATTATATCAGTGTTGAACACAGTTTTGCTGCTTCAGATTTCTGTGGAAACCGTCATACTTTTTATTTTTTATGATTCTTTGATTTATAGAAAGTTCAAATGAACAGCATTTATTTGAAATGGAATATTTTGTAACATTATAAATGTTTTTACTGTCACTTTTGACCAGTTTAATGCGTCCTTGCTGAATAAAAATATTTCTATATTTAAATTTTTTTTTTTACACAAACAGAAATAAGAACCCTAAATCCTGCAAAAATCTGCAACAGTTTTCAACACTGATAATAATCATAAATGTTTCTTGATCATCAGATCCTCATATTAGAGTGATTTCTGAAGGGTCATGTGACACTGAAGACTGGAGTAATGATGATAAACTCAGGAATAAATTCCACTTGACATAGAAACAGATGATTTACATTGGAATAATATTTCACAGTTCTTACTGTATTTTTTATCAAATAAATGCAGCTTTGGCGAGCAGAAGAGGCTCTTTCAAACACGATAGAAATGGTATAGACCATGTGAATATTTATCGTGTGTGTGTTTGTAGATTTTGGGGACTTGAGCAAAAGACTCGCTGATGCCTGGAAGCAGCTGCCCGAGGGAGACAAACAGGTGCGAACAGCATCATTACCCATCATGCACCTGTGTAACGTGTGTTTGCTGACGGATGGATGTTTGCAGGTGTGGCGGGAGAGATCGGAGTACCTGCAGCGCAAGCAGAAGGAGAGCGTCAAACACGTCAAGCACGTCAAACAGCAGCAAGCGCCGCGGCCGCTCAAAGACAGCAGCAGGGTCAAAGGTCAGCGCTCAGCACTGCGTTTACATGCACAACTTCTGTTTCAGTCGGACTCGTCCCGATTGATGAATCTGAATGTAGTGTTAACGTGAACGCTAAACCTGATCGGGTTTATGTCGCCAGCTTTAACCCTCAGGTGCTCTTCGTTTCGGAGTCACACTTGTTGTCTTCCCGGTCAAAAGTGACCGGACACCTAAAAATGAAAATTTCTCCATCCCAGTAAAACCAATGGAATTTATTTTTGTTCTATAATATTTATTCTTTTTAATTTAGTATTTTGAGACAATTTCATTGAATGTATTAATATTTATGCAATATTTATGGTTTATTTTTGCCATGGAAAAATATATTATTTTTTTCAAAAAAATATTAATGCAGTATTTTAGTTTAATATATAGTCTAGGCCTTTTTTTGAAGAAAATTAGCACCATCTGGTTACAGTATAGAGAAAAAGCGTAGAATCATGGTGTAACCACTAGATGGCATGTACAGCTCTCTATGGAGAGGCATGTGAATTCCCCAGATGTTTATGAACACACATTTTTTTTTGTTGGTGGATTTGTATATATAGTTGAAACAATCTCAAAAACTATTTCTTATAAAAAAAAATGACAAACAAATATTCACAATTTTTTGTAAATTTTTTTTTACAATTTCCCATTCATTTCCTATGGGGGTCATTTTTGACCAAAGACCACAAGTGTGACTATTTTTTTAAGACCGCTTAGCATGCTCAGATCATGACCTCAATTTTTTTGTGTGTTCACATACCTAATGCCATAAAAGTCACCAAGTTTCGTAACATTGCGATGAAGCTGTGATTTTTAAAATTTCAAAACAGAAAATTTTTTGGTCAGAAATGACCGAAGAGCACCTGAGGGTTAAATCAGGATATATTTTTTGTCATGCGCACACTGGTAGAATATACAGAGTTTCCCTCTGTTTGCACATAACTATCCTCCTACATCGGTTCTTTATTTGTTTTAAACAGCAGACTAAATATATTTAATCCATTTCTGGTCGTGTTTTGGAGACATTGAGCGGATGAACCGCTGTGTCGCTGCTTATATTGATCACACAGTAGTCTGAATCCATCACTGGTGGACGTTGTCCTGCTCCCCTTTTATACGACACTTTATTCATCAGGAGAACAGCTCGTCACATGTCATTACGCTATTTTCATTATGCACAGTTTCGGTTTCCAATCCGATCAAGTGTTGTTATGTTCCCATGTTCTCTGGATCGGATTAGAATAAGAATAACGAGCCGATTATGGCGTTTACATGAAGGCCGATTGAGCCGTCGATCCCATTACTAGCGGATTATTTGGTTGCGTGTAAACGTAGCAGTGACGTCACTGTCAGCGCTGTGTGTTTGGTCAGGTCCTCCGCCGTGTGCAGTGGCTCCAGCCGGAGGAGTCGTCGTGTTGAAGAGACCCGAAGTGCCGGTGACCCCCGTCCAGAACGGGACGGCAAACGCTCCCGCTTTCTCTCCGCTCAGAGACCCGGACGTGGACCCGATCGATGCGGCTGCTCACCTGCAGCTCCTGGGGGAGTCTCTGTCTCTGATCGGGCGCCGGCTGCAGGAGACTGAGGTACACATTTGATTTCTTTATTTGAATCCGCCAATCAAATTTCTTACAGAAAGGGTTCAAATATTCTCAGAGATAACACAGCTTTGACATTCAAGGGTACATAAAGCATCACTTATGCCACACCGCAAGGCTGCCATCACAGCACACGCATACACACACAAACATTAGTCACACTGCTTACCATAACAACCAGTTTCAACACTCTACTAACTAACTTAATCAGGCCCCGCCCCTTTATTGTACGTATGAATTAAAAAAATTCTAAAAAACTAAACTAAAAAAGTTTTGGCACTTGCTGTGTGAACACACAAAATCATGTACATGATTCATAAATGTTAGATTGTCCTGAAAAAAAACACTTGTTTTGTTCAAAAAAGGAAATGAATGGCAGACGAGTTTTCTAGTGGAAGCGTTTGGTACTGCGGACAAACACATTCTCACTAAACGCCCATTTTATGAGATGTCAACCTCAAATTGTAAAATGTGTTTTGAAAATATACTCTACCGGTCAAAAGTTTTAGATCGGTAAGATTTTAATGTTTTTAAAACTCTCTTCTCCCCAAGGCTGCATTTATATGATTAAAAATACAAAAAAAAAAAACATTAATATTGCGAAATATTATTACAATTTAAAACGTCTGTTTTCTTTGTGAATATATACAGTAAAGTGTGATTATTCCAATCTTCACTGTCACATGATCCTACAGAAATCAGTCTAATAGGATGATTTACTGCTCAAGAAACATGTATGATTATTATCAGTGTTGAAAACAGTTTTTTACATTTTTATTTCAGGATTCTTTGATGAATAGAAAGTTAAAAATAACAGCTTTTATCTGAAATGGAAAGCTTTTTTAACATTAAACACTACCCTTTAAAAAGTTTGGGGTTAGTAAGAATTTATATTTTATTTTTGGGGGCGAGAAAATAAGAAATCAATACTTCCATTCATCAAGGATGAGTTACATTGATCAAAAGTTACAGTAAAGACATTTATAATGTTAGAAAAGATTCTATTTTGAATAAATGCTGTTCTTTGAACTTTCTATTCATCAAAGAATTTTTGGAAAAAAAATGTGCACAACTGTTTTCAACATTGAAAGTATTAATGAATGCTTTTTGAGCATAAAATCAGCATGTTTGAATGATTTCTGAAGGATCATGTGACACTGAAAACTGGAGTAATGATGCTGAAAATTCAGCTTTTTTCAGAGTAATACATGAGGACATTTTAATATATATTAAAATAGAAAACAATCATTTTAAATTGTCATAATATTTCACAATATTACTGTTGTTTTGTAATAAAAAAATGCAGCCTTGGTGAGCAGAAGGGACTTTTTATAAAAACATTAAATTATCTAAAACTTTTGACCGGTAGTGTATATTTCATATAAAAAAGTAAAGTTTTTTATAATAAATGTAAAATTGTAAACTTTTTTACAACTTTTTTCACTTCAGCAATAATCTGCCACGTGTCGTCTTTTAAAAGAGACCAAACTTCAGTCTGTGATCCAAAGATTTATGAATATTTAAGTTGGAAATGTTATTTTCAGGTCCATACTCAAAAAGTGAATAAATGGATTATAAATACTGCATAATTAAAATTTACAACCATAAAATCCTCTAAAAATACAAAATATTAAATAATAAAAACATTATCGAACTAAAATATAGTAACAATCATTAAAAAAAACGGTCCTGCAGAGAGCAGCCGTTAAACCCCTGCTGAAGTGTTAGTGTGTGTGTGTGTTTACGTGTGTGTGTGTTTCAGGGCATGGTGACGGTGTCGGGTTCTCTGTCGGTTCTCCTGGACTCGGTGTTGTGTGCTCTGGGTCCGCTGGCCTGCCTCACCACTCAGGTCCCAGAACTCAATGGCTGCCCACATCACGTGCTGGTGCGTACTGACCGCTCGTTACTTTAATCACACACACACATCAGTGAGCCAAACGACTCAACTTACACATGCATGCAGCTGCATCTCTACTTCAGTGCTGTCACCACACCCAAATGACGACTTCGATACGATACCAGACAAAAAATACGTCGATCCCGATACTGAATCCAGACCACGGGAAAAAAACGAAAAATAATAGAAATATATAATAGAACTTACAATTCATTGTTTTATAAATTAATTTAAAAATACTTGACCAGGATGTTCCTGCCCTGCTTTTTGACCATACACTCCCCTTTATTAAATAAAATTATAATAATTACACGCCGGTGTGTGCGTCCTTACAGAGATGTTTGCAACATTGACATTATTATCAATCATGCTAATATTTGCTTTTTTCAATATAAGAGTCATTTCATATTTATTTTAAATGTCGTTTTATAATTACAATATAGATAATTAATTTGATTTTATCTTTAATACATTTTTTTAATGCTTCTGTTAAATAGACCTACTGTGGCTGAAAGAATAAAGCCTTCACTCTATCAATGAACTATAGACTGATTCTTAATAAATAGATTAAATGTATTCTATTTTCTTTAGTTGTTTAATTAACATTAGTCACCTAATTAGACACACATAATTAGACCTGCATGTTGGTACGCACACGATTTCTTTTTACAAACGGTTTATGTTCAGCAAAGACATACCTGATTGTGTTTACATGAATACTCGCCAGGATGTGCTTTTTTACGTAGAATTATGACTATTCAAATCACTCTTGCACTATATCTGGTTCTCAGATTCGACTTGTCAGCACTTTTAAACGTCTCTTGCACAATGTTTTAAAGGACACATGCAATTGTTTTTCTTGATTTGTCATTATTTATTCAGTTCTTGCATGTGTAAATTGTGGTATTGTCATTTTGTGATTATTTTTTTGTGAAACTATCTGTGTCTCCATCTTGACCAGTTTTATTTTTAAATTAAAGCAGCACTAAGTAAGATTTTTTTTACCTTAAAATAATGATTTCAGTGGTTCATTAAGTCGTAACAGTGTGAAAGGCACTTCTGGATTCGGTATCTGCTATAACCACGCTATGTAGGATTGCCAGACTGGGTCGCGTTTCTGTAGTTCTAATGAGACATAAGAAAACTACAAATTTGACTTGCTTTACGTCAAGCGTTACAATAGTCATTAGGGATGGGCAACGATGTAGTGTGTATAATTAATTTGTATATATAAATAACCACACATGTATGTGTATATTTAAGAAAAATGTGTTATTAATATATCAAATATTTATATTTATAATAGGGCTGTGCAAAAATTAATTGCGATTAATCGCTTCCAAAATAAAAGTCTGTTTACATAATATATTTGTGTGTGCTGTATATAATTATTTTGTATATATAAATACACACACATGCATGTATATATTTAAGAAAATGTGTTATTCATTTATATAATATAGATTATGTATTTATATATATATATACATTTATTTTTTTAATTTAAGCACAAATAATTCTTAAATATATACATGCATGCATGGGTATTTATATATACAAAATAATTATATACAGCACCCACAAATATATTATGTAAACACAGACTTTTATTTTGGATGCGATTAATCGCAATTAATTTTTGCACAGCCCTAATTTATATAATATTAATTAGGTGTAAATAAATATAAAGTATATACAAGCAAATATTTCTTAAATATATACATGCATGTGTGTGTATTTATATATACAAATTAATTCTACACACTACACACATATATTATGTAAACACAAACTTTTATTTTGGATACGATTAATCGTTGCCCATCCCTATTATTTTGTTTTTCCTTCATTTCTGATACAATACATCATACTTTCATGAAATCATTTTATCAAATTATCAAATTTCAGCAAATTATTTATGACAGCGGTAATGGACAATTCCGCTTCCAACCTGTAGGGCGACCGCAGCGCAAACGTTACCTGGTGTTGCTTTAATATCTCAATGTGATTCTCCTGGTTAAATAAAGGACATGATAATAATAATAACTGTCTGTCTGTGATCAGTCGAACACTCTGGATAACATCGCCTACGTGATGCCGGGTTTATGAGGGACTCGGACCTCCGGCGGCGTCTCCACCTGAAACCATCGACAAAAGACTTTAAGACTTGCACAGTTTTGCACTGGACAAACTCACAGACACTTCAACTTTTAACCTGCTTCTTAAACCTGCGCTCAATTTTTTTTTATCTGATCTGATCTGATGTTAATTTTGTATTTCTGTTGTTTTTCTCAATCTCTCAATAAAATCCATTTTAGTATGTTCTTTTAACTCTTGGAGTGGACTGTTTTTTTTTTTATTTGATTCGGGGGTTTTTTATACATATTTTGAACTCACTAAGAATTTTTTTTAAATGGGATTTTGTAGCGTTTATTGTAAATGTTTAATCACAGTTCCTCTTGCAGCGTCTCTTCTCTGATGTTGTGGGCGTGGCTATAACCTGTCACTCACATGAGATCAGCCAATAGCAAACCACAACCATCCAATCAATTCCTCTTAGACTCAATCAAGCCCCGCCCACATTTGTTCTTGTTCCAGAAGCGTTTCACTCGATATACTGTTGAATTCCCAGTCTCTTTCATGTGTCATGATGCAGAGAATCTTGCTGAGCGGGTTAATCGAAAGTTAACCATAACTATCCAAGTAAAATGATCAGATCAAGTACAGTGTGTTCACACAGGGGAACAAAATCTAGACGAAACTGAACTCATGAGGTCTATAGACGTGAAATAAAATGAATTCAACATTTATAAACACGTCTTGAAAGGATGATTTTGAAACCGTGAGACATCATGATGTCTTTACAAAAATTAACAATGGTTTTATTGGTCGTAAATATTGTCCACAAATAAACCATGGTTTTGCAACACTAACCATAATTAACGATAATTTACAAATGATAATCAATCCACCCAAAAAAAAAACATGGTTACTACACATTTACTGTAGCAAAACCAGCTTTAACTGCAGTGCAAAAAAGCCTTTAGAGGGGGTTTCAGGTTTGGAAACCAACTATTCAAACTTAAAAAACATTGAACGCCAGCAAACCAGTTGTTCTGGGTGTGTCAGCATCAGTGTGATTCACACGCATGCCGAGGATCCTTCCTCCACCCCAACTGCAGGAGACAAGATGAGGGGTGTGGCGCATCTCTGACAGGACACGAGCCTCTTCACTCTCACACAGAGTCGCTTCACTCCTGAATCACTGAGAGAGAGACACTGACAATCACATGGATATCTCTAATCAGGGTAAGACTAAATTTCCATTCATAATCTAGTGTAAGTTATAACATCTATTACTAATGCGTGTGTGTGTGTGTGTGTTCTGCTGAATGCTGTGTAACTGGACTGACAGGTGTCCCATATGTTGTAATGTTGTAGTTCAACTCAAGATATTAATCACAAAAACCTAAAAATTTAGTCTGAAGCTGTGTAAATGTATTTCTTGTATTCCTAGTCTTCTCAGTGTCTGATTTGAGTGTGTGATGCTCTTATGTGTCTGTGACGTCACTTCTGGAGCTTTGGCTCTGTTTCCTGCTGGTATTAAGATGCGTTTGGTGGATCGGTTCACAAGCAGGCGAGGGACACATTCCTGTTTACACCTGGTGTTTTAATCCGTCCACTTTCACACACTTCTGTCCTGATTTCTTCAAGCGAGGGTCTATGGGCAGGAAAATGTGTTTTAGCAGATCTTTAGATCTAATGGACAAATAAGCTCGCGCAATTTACATATGAACACGACCAGTGATGCCATAAGGAGAACAAGAACACAACGGACGCTGAGTGTGTGTTACAAATTAGGCATGATCAGAGAACATTGTGCTTGGTATATTTTTCATCTTCAAACCAAACTTGGGTCTCGATTAGCGCTCTTCCCATAATGTTAGCATTAGCTCAGTAGTCGTTCTTTAGAGGCTGTTCAAACACATTCGTCCACATGACATGAGCACTACGAAAGCAATCCAGTCTAATGCGGTTTCAACTCTGTTGTACTAAGTGGACAAGCTTGAAGCGTTTTAGACCCTGTTTACACCTGTATTTAGTCTCGTTCACTTGTGATCCGATCAACCAAAACGCTTCCTAACACCGGGTGTACCTTTGACACTGTGTTCTTGTGATGTCATCAGTCGACCAGTGTTGCTTTGATGTCATTTCACAGCATCCATTAGTTAATAGTCACTTGAAATCTACAGCTCAGGTGTGTATAGACCTATAGCTCATCTATAGCTCAGGTACTGCTCAGGTGATTGGCTCAAATTTAGGTGTATAGCAGCATGAACTCAACCAATCAGCATGTTCAGCGCCCAATCCCACCTCTGAAAGTTCCTGAACTTTAAAACCTCGCAAACAGGGACTTTCGGAGTGGGAAATATTCACTCAGAACTTACCAGTACCAGCCCAAAGTCCCTAGTCACGGTGGAAACGCGGCTATAGTGGCTGATTTCTGTCTTGTTCCTGCAGGCATCAGTCCGCGCGGCTCCCGCTCTGAGCTGTGTTTGGTGTTGGTCGGCAGCATCGGCTGTGGAAAGACCCTGACGGCGGACACACTCCTGCGTCAGACTTCGGATCTGGGATCGCCGGCCTCTCCCCGTGTGAGCCAGATCCGGCGAGGGCTTTCGGAGGGCCGGCGGCTGTGTGTCGTGGAAACCCCTCGCTGGTACTGGCGGGGCAAGGAGTTGGAGGCCGACATTCAGAAGGAGACCCGGCGTTCCCTCCGCTTGTGTGCCTCCGGGCCCTTCGTCTTCCTCTTCCTTATTCCCATCGGGGAGTTCACGGAGATGGAGCGGTGCATCCCGGATCAGCTGGAGCACATGTTTGGGCAAGCGGTGCTGGGTCACACGCTGGTGCTGCTCACCTGTGGAGAATACCTGATGGACCGCAGTCTGGACGAGTACCTGAACAAGGAGGAGGGGCTTCGGGAGGTGGTGAGGAGGTGCCGAGGACAGTGTCATGTGATCAGAAACCGCAGATCTGACGACAGACAGCAAGTCGTCTCTCTACTGGAGAAGGTGAGGCTACAGATGTCCGACTGAAAGCTCATTGGCTCATACAGTCAAACCAAAAATTATTTAGACACCAGATATAATTTTAGAATTTCTAGTGGGTCCAGGACATTATAGTTAGGATAGCAAAATAAAGTAAACGGTGACATTTTCAAATGCGCATACCTATAGACTGAACACCTGGTGCGCATGTGCAGTTTTCATAGGTTTGCGTTTTTGAAGTTTACATGGAGATGATAATGTTTTTGAAAATTTTTCAACGCCTTGCGTTGTCGAACCCCAAACACTGTTGTGTAAATGAAATTTGTTATAACAATTTGTTATATTTTTGTAATTTTTATTGTAATTTTGAAGTATAACATTAAAGAGTATATTTGAGGTGATGAATTGCTCTGTCATTTAAATTGAATGTAAATGCCTTGAAGCTCCGCCCCCTGTGCCGGGAGCAGCAGCTCATTTGCATTTAAAGGGACATACACAAAAACTGTGTGTTTTTGCTCACCCTCAAAAAGGGACAACTTTAACCCTAAAACCGTATTCTGGACAAATGTGGACAAAATAGTTTTGATTTAATTTAAAAAAAAAAATGCTTCCCTTGATCTGAGCGGTTCAAGACTAGGCTACTTTTCCTAAGTTTGCCTCCTGAACACACAATTTTTTGACTCAATTCTACAATGTTAAGTGGGTGAAAAATGGGCACCCATAGAAATGAATGGGACTGTAATTTAGAGCGTTCTAAAATAAGCCAAAATACCAGTCACTTCATCTTTAGGTTTTAGCTCTAAGAACTTATTGGAATGATATTTTAATGTAGTTAAAAAAAATAAAAACATAAAACATAAAAATAAGCATAATTTACATAGGAAATATGGTACTTTTTGATGTAAATAAATTCAAAAATACCCCCAAAATAAAAAAAAACACCATAAATGGATAGAAAAAACTTTATCGAAGACAGTGATATAACATTTATAATAAATAAAGAGTCTTCTGTGCCCACATTTGTCCACAATTACAGGATTAAGGGCTATAAAGTGAATACGGATTGAGGGTTAACACGCTATATTAAAATATCTATGTGGTATTTGAGCTTAAACTTCACACACACACTCTGGGGACATCAAATACTTATTTTACATCTTGTGAAAAGCGCATTATACCACCCCTTTTTTAAGGGGCACACTGTAATGGGATGATGTATTATGACAAAGTACAAACTGTCTGATTTTGAGATGTTTCTGGTGTCAGGTGGAGCAGATGGTGCAGAGGAACGGAGGATTTCACCTGCTCGAGGAAGAGGAGGAGAAAACGGAGATGAAGCTCAGTGCAGCGAGAGACACGATGTGGAACGGAGGAAAACTAACACAAATCAACAAATCTGACAAACAAACAGAGGAAACCGCGAGTGATGGAGTGATCGAGAGACACCTGATCAATGGGGTTCAGTCACAGCAGCGAGAGGATGAACACACACACCGCACACATGCACTTCTGGAGAGAAGCCCGAGCTACAAACTCAACAAAGGTGCTGAAATAAACCAGAACTAATCCATCTTGTACATTACAATACATTTACTCACACATTACAGTCACATTATCCAAAATACATGTCAAATGGATATTTTTTAGTTTTTTAGAAAGTTTTTATTTTATTTTTTAGAAAGTTTTTAGTCTTGGATGTAGCCACAGATGAGATATCGGGATAATTTAGGAGCATTAACACGATGTAAATGTAAAAGTAAATATATTTTGATGACGAGAAAACTGTTTGTTTGAGATGTGCTGGTGTGTGACTCTAGAGGGCGCTCTTCTCAGTCAGATGATGGAGGAGGCGGAGCTTCAGCACAGCCAGAGCTTCATCAACACTAGTAGGTTCATTATCACTTTTTAATGCATACTACACACATTTAAGTGTACATTTATGCATTTTGCAGACACTTTTATCATTGCATTTTGAATTTTTATCAGTTCTTGCTTTCCCTGGGAATCGAACCTGTGACCTTAGCGTTGCAAGCACCAGCGCATATATGCTACGCACACACATAAAACAACTCAATTGATCATTCTGTTGATATAAAGACTCGTAATTAGAGTGTTTGGCCTTCTTGAATGCGCATCGCTGGGATTTTTGCTCCTGTTTTATGGTTCAAAAGATGAAAACGCTTCATCTGACCACTTAGTAAAGTTGCACTCTCCTCAACACACACATTTGAGGACTCATGCGTGTCTTGAGCTCGAATGCTGACGATGCACAACTTAGTGAAATCTGTGTCCTAATCAAGGTTATTACAGTTTTACATTCTTAAATTTGAAAATCGTTTTCAATTTTGCTTTAAATGTCATATTTGTTTTAGTTAGTTTCATTAATGGTTTAGTTAGTTTTACTCTATTTTTTATATTTTGTGAACACATTTCTGTTTAGTTTAGCAGAGCTGACCAAAGCAAGACGGTTGATCTCAGCAGAGTTTAATGTTTGCACAGATTAGTTAACTCTTGTGCTGACATCTTCAAAATAATAATAAATTCATGGTTTGAGATTGAGCAAAGCACCAAATAATGCAACTTAAAAGTAAAAATGATGAAAACATCAGCGGTTGATCGCCTGAAGCGTTTTATACAATTACGAAACCGATTATTTATTTGTGCTAATTATTATTTTATTTCAGTAGCTGTTGTTAGTTTTATTTAGTTTTTTGGTAACACTTTATTTACAGTGTCCTTGTTACATTTTATGTTACATGTACTTACCAAATAATGCAACTTAAAAGTAAAAATGATGAAAACATCAGCGGTTGATCGCCTGAAGCGTTATATACAGTTTCCCTATACAGCCACATTAATTAGAAGAGCTTATTAATTACGAAACCGATTATTTATTTGTGCTAATTATTATTTTATTTCAGTAGCTGCTGTTAGTTTTATTTAGTTTTTTATGAATTTTGGTAACACTTTATTTACAGTGTCCTTGTTGCATATTATGTTACATGTACTTACCATAGTAATAACAGTAAATTATGCATAATTACATCCAACTATTATTCTCAGAACTTAAATAATTACACTGTAACCATGGCAGCTTATAATACAGGGTTACACTTTATTTTAAGGTGTCATTAATTATATATTTAGAAACTGAATAATATTAAGCAACTACGTGTACTTATTATACGGTTAGGATTTGGTTTAGGGTTAGTTGCACGTAATAATTTACTGTTATTACTATTGTAAGTACTTGAAACCTATGTAACAAGGACACTGTAAAATAAAGTGTAACCTGAATTTTTTATTTTATTTGAGTTTATGAAAATGTTTTTTGACCAATCGTTTTAGTTTCAGTTTCCGTTGGTCCTAATGCTGATATATTTGCGTCTGTTTCTCACTGAAGTCCATCACAGTTTCCAGAAGGTCTCGCAGACTCACTCTCCGCTGTCGTCCTCGGACCGTCTGGACTCTTCTCTGGCCGAGCTGAGGATGGTTCTGCTGGGCCGTCGTGGTTCTGGGAAGAGTGCGGCCGGGAACATCATTCTGGGCCGAGAGGAGTTCGAGCTTCATGGAGAGGATCATGTCGGAGCGGCGCATCAGGAGTGTGTGAAGGCCAGAGCGCTCGTGGGCGACACGCGGGTCAGTGCCACAGTTAGTTTTACTCATGTCATGGAAACATCTCAGTCCTTACTCGGATTATTGCAGTTGTTTACACCTGGAAGCGTTTTGGTTAAACGGGGTCTAAACGCTTCGAGCTCGTCCACTTTCACCACTTCCAGAGGGAGTCGAAACCGCATTCGACCGGATTGCTTTCGTAGTGTAAACGAAATGATTTTTTCCTGATTTTTTGCAGAAATCAGGACAGAAGTGTGTGACAGTGGACGAAAGAGACGGATTAAAACACCAGGTGTAAACGGGAATGTGTCCCTCGTCTGCTCGTGATCCGATCTTAATACCAGCAGGAAACAGAGCCTTTAAATTCAGTTCACAACTTTGACTCATGCTGGAATAGATAGGTTAAAACTGAGATATGACAATGAAAATTTGATTAAAGTGTTTTTGAGCTTTTTGGGTGTGCGTTTAAAACTATTTTAGGAAACTCCAAAACACAATTAGTGACCCTCGCGTCCTGGAACAAATCCTTCCCTCGTGGGTCAAAATGACCCGAAACCCTAAAATTATACTTAATTTCTTTTCTTTTTTTTGTCTAGAAAGCTTAATTTATTTCATTTTGATAATATTTTTTTTGGAGATTTTCTTTTTTTATTTTTCCTTTAAATAACTAGATTTAATCACTAAATAGTCATTTAAGCAAATTCCTTTTAATAAACCTTTTAATTCAGCTCAAAATATCTTACACTGGGTGTCTTTGCTGACCTCTTGTGGAAAAATAATAATATAACATGATCTATCATGACTCTTGCCACTAGATGGCGTTACAGCTCTATATGGAGCAAATGAGCTGATCCGCTGGGTCCTAAAGTGATTTCACTTCAGTATGCATTCAGATACACGTATTTTAGCTTGACATTTGGGATTTTTAGCTTGACATT